GTTGCATGCCTTCATGCCCAACAACACCATGTTATTCCCCTCACATGAACTGCCTCACCCAGGCCCTGTGGTCACAGCAAATGGACAGTTGGAAAATTTGATTGAATGGATATTGGATGAAAAGTGGGATGGGAGAACAAAGAAGTACTTGGTGCAGTGGCTGGGGTATGGGCTGGAGGATGATGAGTGGTTGATGAAGAAAGATCTGGAGGATTGCAAGGCCTTGGATGTTTGGGAAAGAGAACACCCACCATAGGGGATGTTGGTGGTTGGGGACAAGAAAGGGTTGATGTAGAGGTTGAGAAAGGATGTTGATGTGGAGACACTGATGAAGAATACTGAACACATGTGCTGCTCCCCCCATTGCCTTTTTCTTATGGGTTGGGAGGGTGTAAGCATATGCTTACCACTAACACACCACTCACACTATTGACATTGCTCATGCTAACACATCACACTGTCACACCTCCTATCACACTTTTGTCCAGGCATGCAGATCCCTCCTGTGTTGCACTGTTTGGACTCTGAGGGTATATATACTGGTGCTGTCTGTGTCCACAGGATATATCTCTCTTTCTTCCCTTTCTCTCTCTCTGACCATCATCTTGTATCAGCATATATGCTTGATTGCTCAAATCCACACACCTGTCCACATTCTGTTGTTGTTGTGATCAGTTTGAGTGTGCTCACCCCTCTGTGATGAGTTCCAATATGACAGTTGATGTAATCAGTGTATGGGTGCCTGTACTATACTTTTAGATCCTGAGCTATTGGTGTGTAAGAACGGGTATTCTTACTGGCCATCCCATAATAGTTTCGAGGGGAAATCGCACTGCACCTGAATATGCCACTGCGGGGAGACCTACCAAGAAACCCATACCATACTTTACAGTGGACGCGGGAAGCAGTGACGAGCAAAGATGAGAACACTGAAAACCAGGCGTAGTGCATCATCCTGGTTGGTCGTTGACAATCGCAGACTTGAATACCATCGATTCAATCGTCCTGCGTCTTTGCTTCTGCGTCACAGTGGAGTTAAGATATGCACAATGAATTGGCACGCACGCGGCATGCCTTGGGGAGGGCCTAAACCGCCGGGTCACCTAGGGCCCCAATGGGCTGTCATGGCAACGTGTCTGCAGCATTGGTCATGCCGACTCAGTTCCCTTGTCCACACCCTCAGCATTGAATGAAGCTCACAAGTCTTACACGAAATTACCACCCATCGATGGCCAGAGAGAGATTTAAGAAGCTGTTCTCGAGATCTGCGAACCCTTCCAACTCTGGCCTTTTCACAGTACGTGATTGATCTCTTCCAAACGATGGTGGTTACCGATGTGAGATAAATCAGTCGCAGGGGTCGTCTCAGACACCCGCTGGGGATCCTGCCTCTCGGGGATCGTTTGCTAAAATGAAGCATTTCTTCCACCAGTCTGGCAGGGCCCAGCCAAGGACGTATGTGATCTATGTCGTCCCATCATACGGTGATACCTACGGATGGAAAGAATCAAAGATCCACCGCAGAAACAGACTTGGACCCTGTATCAATCAGAACGATGGTCGAAGCTACTCGGGTGGCACTGGATGCCATGACGCCCGTGCCACGAATTGACCAGACAGCCGTCGGTGGCGTGGCCGTGGCTGATACCCTTGTCACAGACATTCAAACTGTGTGATACGTATCTCCAGCCTCTCAAAATCTTTAATTCCGTTGTTACAAATATCGCAAACGTATGCTGTCGATCTTCCTGTGCAAAGCTTGTTCTAATGTTGACGCACAGGTCCACCCTTACGCCCAGGTGGCATTGGGAATTTCAACCGCTGCGTCCAAGGTATAACACTTCGTCATATTCATCCTTTGTGCTAACATGGTCATGGCGGCGGTTGATCATCACCCAAGTCAACCTAGACAATGCGATTTCAGGTCTTTTGGAGAAGCTTGGATCCGTCTACGAGTTACTTCTGGAGGAAGATATGATGAAGAAGTTTGATGACATGAGAAATACCCTTGGAAAGATTGCTCGGGTTGTCAGCGACGCCGCACAGTCCGTTGCTAACTACACAGAGACGAAGAGTTTCTGTAGGTGTCATCATATACATTTGGTTTTCAAGTTCTCAATAATCTGCGCTTCCAGGGAAAAGACTAGACAAACACATCGTCTCCGAAACGCAGTCCACTGTTGATGACTACACCAAGACCTTGGATGATTTGATGCAGCAATACCGCGACTGTGGTGTTCGAGATGTTCGGATCAATATGCACCGCATACTCGAAGACGTGAACCTCGAAGGCATGGCTTATGCGGCTGGGGCCGGCCTCGACACAACCAAGAGATGCCTTGATGGCATGAGAACGGAAATTCTACAGGAGATCACTCGCTGGGCTACCGATCTCGACCTTATTCGGCGAGCGTTGGCGGATGCAGTCTCAAGGGACTACGATCTGAGGACCACATCTGATGTGACGCAGCAGTGGCAGCAGCTCGTCTTGGGGCCGTTTTCCAAGGCACACGGCTTGATAGTTGGGAATGTGGTTGTGGTGATCGATGCCCTGGATGTATCGCGGAGACATATCCTTTCCCTACTCACCTCTACGGAAGCTGCCTATTTACCCGCGAACTTCCGCATCCTCCTGACGTCAAGATCGTTGCCGGACATCAACACGTGAAGGCGGCTTCGTTGGACAACGTCTCTGCAGAATTGACGGGACGTGACATCCGATTGTACGTTTTCCAGGCAGCTTGGCGATCTTCGAGAGATCGGAGACACGGAAGTGCGAACAATAGTCCAAAAGTCGGATGGCTTGTTTGAGTGGGCTCGTCTGGCTTGTGAATTTGTCAAGCCGAATCGACCTGGTCGGACAGTCAGGGAGCGCTTTGACGAGGTCGCATTCCTCTGTTCTGGTGGTGGGGGAGCCCTGTTGGATGCCATGTACAATACAATCCTGGAAGACACTATACCCAATGACGATACCACGCTCGCACGATTCCAGTCCGTGATGGGGCAGATTATGTCGACATTTGAACCTCTGCATATGGATGCTCTAAACAAGATGCGCACTCAGTTTCCTCACGAGGAGGACCGTTTCGACGTGATCGTGATTCTTGAATTCATGTCCCCACTATTGGGTGGCATTGTAGACAGGACTTGTCTCGTTCGACCTCTACACGCATCATTCTATGACTTCCTCAGTGATCCCACACGCAGTGGGATACATTTTGTTGGTGCATCTGACATGTACAGCCTTTCCTTTGCTTCACTGCAAATACTCTGCGGTGGCCTGCGTTTCAATATTGAAAGTTCCTACCTCAGCAACTCTGAAGTCCCTGATTTGTCGGAGAGAACTGACAAAAGCATCTCGACTCATTTGTCATATTCATGCAGATTCTGGGCTCGGCATCTGCACAAAACTACCTTTGATGCTACACTTGTAAGATGGGCGGAAGCTGTTATTGAAAGTGAAAATTATCTGTTTTGGCACGAGACTCTGAGCCTTCTTGGTGCATCTGGGGGTGCTGCAGATTCTCTTGGCAGCACTGCAGCATGGTTACTTGTGAGTGCTTGATGTTTGTACTTGATATAATCTTACATCAACACAAAGGGCCAGGGTGGCTTTGAAGACCTACTGGAATTTCTTCAAGATGGAATCAAGTTCATTTGGAATTTTGGCAGTGTGATCTTATGCAGTGCACCACATGTATACAGCTCTGCTCTTCCATTTACTCCTTCAAACACAGTGCTGTCAAGACAATTAGTGCCCAACTCCTTTTGCCTTGCTGGAGTTTCTGAAGGTATTGAAAAGTGGCCAGCTGTTCAACTTGCCTTGGTAGGACATACTTCTGGAGTCACTAAAGTTGCATTCTCCTCTGATGGCAAGAGGATTGTCTCAGGCTCTTATGACAAGATTGTGAGGATCTGGGATGCTGAGAGAGGTGTGCAGATTGGTGGCCCTCTTCAGGGGCATGATGGTTGGGTCTGGTCAGTTGGATTCTCCCCTGATGGCAAGGGGATTGTCTCAGGCTCTGATGACAGGACTGTGAGGATCTGGGATGCTGAGAGAGGTGTGCAGATTGGTGGCCCTCTTCAGGGGCATGATGGTTGGGTCTGGTCAGTTGGATTCTCCCCTGATGGCAAGAGAATTGTCTCAGGCTCTTGTGACAAGACTGTGAGGATCTGGGATGTTGAGAGGCATGCAGATTGACACCTTATCCATGGCTGCTGTGGTTCTGTTTTCTCAGTGACATTCTCCCCTGATAACATGAAGATTGCCTTAGGCTCAGAGGACTCTGCTGTGAGGGTCTTGGATGCTGAAGGTTTTGAGGGTATGTTCAACACCTGCAAGAACCTGACACTGCCTGCCTGTAATCAAAGACATATACCTGTCCCACCTACAAATGGTGAGTTGTACCTATGCCTTGCATGCCCTGATTTCACTCAAATTGTTAGCAGTGATTCAGGCATACCCCATTTGTTTTTCATCAGTCTCTTCAAACACACTTCCTGATGCTCAGCAACTTCTTGATGGACTCCTACTGGAGGATGCCAGTGTAAGGAATGAACCAGTTAGGTTCCACCCTGATGGCTGGATCAGAGGTCCCCAAGGAAGATTGTTGCTCTGGATTCCCCCAGCATTCTGGAGTCCCTTTTATTCCATGTGGACCACAATGATGATCCCCAGAGGTTGTTGCATAGAGTTGGATTTAAGCCAGATGGTTCATGGGAATAGATGGCATCAGTGTTTCAAGCCAGTTTTGTAGTCCCAATATGTACCATGCCTTTAAATTTTGTGTTTCAAGTACCCAAACCACCCTCCCAATTCCCTCTCAGTAGTTATGCCTTCAATTGGTATCCATGTATCTAGCACTTGATGGACTCTGTTGCAATCTACAGGGCTCATTTTGCTCATTGTCAGCACATGGCTGGTATCTGAATTGAGTTTCCACAACCATTTGCAACATCACTATGCTCTAGGCTTGACACACTCACATTGCCAGATATACCTGACATCAAGCCTGTATGATCATCAAGTAATGAAACTGATACAAGTTACAGGACATTCACAATGAGGTAGGGATATCACAATCTATTTGTCCAAATTCAAACAGAGACAGCAGCAAGGGACACGGAAAAGAGTGATAACTCACAGCAGCAATTCCAGCAATGCTGAGGGATACATGACTAGGTACTACTCGTGCTACCACTTGCCCATTAAGCAGCCCACAGCCCAGATGAGTGCACAAGTACATGTGGGTATCAGAACCAGCCATATCCCAACGTCCCACAGAAGGCGCTTTCCTAATCGTCTTCGCTGAAGATATCGTTCCTTGCGCTGAAGAAGCGGATCGAGGGAAGGACGAGAGGCGGATCGAGATCCTGCTATAGTGCTAGCCGGCACAGAATGAGGTTCCTGAGGTATAACGATGGCAAGGGGGCGTCGGAGGTAATGGATAGTGACGTGTGCCAGTGCTGCATATAAAATTAAAAGGCAAGGCATCGCGAGCATGCCGCAGAATATTCTGTCAGTTTACGTTCGGGATTATCCTCTGAAAGCGGTATGTACCTGGCAGCAAAAATGTACCTGAGCACGCCAGAAAAAGGGTCAGGTCCCTGATAGTATTTGCAACAAACGATGAGGCTAGGCTGAGGAGGACGGCGGACGATACGTAGAAGAATTTGATTGGGTTCGGGTGGGGATGACAATATCCCACGTGCAAGAATCGGGGCGTCGGGGTCGAAACGATGATACTTGGAATGGCCGATGATAAAGTCGTTGCTCGCAAAATTGGGACAAGAACATCAGAGGGAATTGCCAATGTTCTTCCGCTCTTAAAAGAATTAACGTCAGGAGTTGTATGGTGGCTTCGTAGGCATAACTGACCAGATTAATGGCACGTAAAGATGCGAAGACGACAAGAGGGAGCACGAGTAACACTGCCAGTACTGCTGAAGATATGTTCAACAATTTGAACCGTCTTGTTCTGTGTCGTTTCACAGGCCAAACTATGAGTGAACCGGTCAAGGAAGCTGATAAGGGCGCTGTCAAGGTGGTCGTGCACGCAAACACTATACTACCTGTACACAAAAATTAGGACCGGGTCCGCCGGGTAAAACCTTTAGACACGCAACTATATATATTCCACAGAATACCCCGCTGAGGCCAGCTCGTAACAGGGTCAAGATTACCAGTCGTGTTGGCGTGCAATACCGCGATTAACCATGCTAGATATGAAGTCGTCGAGAGTGTGCTTGCATAAATTACCGGTTTTGCAGCGACGGTGTTAGGAATGGACAGCACGAGTACAAAGAACCCCAGGAATGCCGATATGTATAGAAGCGCAAATGATCGCATGCTTTCTGAAACCAATTGCAGCACCGAATCTACCGAATCTATTTTTCATTTATTTATGTTGCAAATAAATCAGACCGACAGGTATAGCCCAAGGATGGAGTGCGACTAACCCCGAAAATACATCGCAGCTAGCAATACTCTGAACAGTGCAACGGCGCTGCTAATGATACAACGAGCGAAATTATGCTGACGGCCCTGGCCTCGACCGCGAACGAATGCCTCGATGAGAATATCTTCCAAAGTGAATTTGTGGAGGTAACGACCGAGCATAAACCAAAGATGGCGACAGAACGCCGAAAGAGATGCTGCAAACATGAGAGTCAAGAGTCCATACCGTAGGGAGATTGGGTCTCCTCCGTCGGTGATATACAAAGCGCCCAGTCTGAGATATGGTGACAAGAGATATAGAAAAACGAGGGCACTGCCAAGAGGGGGTATGGGTAGCCTTTGGACTTCTAGTTGAGAATCGGGTTCGTCATTGGATTGGTCGTCATCGCTTTCGAGGTCGTAAGGATCTTGTTCTTCCGTGTCCGGTAGTAGGATAAGCGCCGAAGATGATGCTGGGCCCGACAAACCGCCCTGTGATTCAGACTGTGGTGAGACGGGCGAGTCTGGCGAGTCGAGAGACGACCTCTGGCGTTCTGGCGACACAGACACCATTGCTAATAGCAAAAGGCCGTGAGCCTTGCGGATGAAGGAGTAGAGTGTGCCGGAAGGTGACCTCGAGGAGATTTGGGGGTTTGTCTTGTGATCAATTACCGCCCATATGATGATGCATGCTTGCACGTGATCGTTTACTTATGTAATAAGCAGCCGCTCGTTACATAGCACTGTACTACTTATTTACCATAAGTTCAGCAAGGACTTGGTCGACCCGCGCAAGTACTGCGGTGACCTACTCAAGCTCGTACCTTTTCCATTTCTTTACAATTGTCAATCTCTTAACTTCACAGAATCTCGGTTTCATGGCTTATGTTCCCGTCGTTTGTGTCATTCCATTGAACGGAATATCCCATCGAGGGGTGGGCAAGTGTAACAAGGAAGGGTCAGTCCGTGATTAAGCCTCCATAGACTAGACATAATTTTTGCACAGAATGGCTCCAAATCTTATGCCCGACGATCGGCGGAACGCTATCCCACCCTGCCAACAGTTGCTGGATGAATCGGCGCAGAATGGTCCATATATGCACGTGCCCCTGCCAGGCGAAGTTGTCTGGCTGCGTAGCAACAAAGAAATTGATGTCATACGGGATGGAGTTCCCGTGGAAACCGCTGTGAGGTAACACCATTACTGACCTGCAATACGGCCAGGGATAGCGCGGCTCGAAAACTCTTACCCAGAAGTCGCTCTACATCAACTGATGTGACGCACCACCGGATTACCACCCCCCCATCAAAGAGTTCACCCACCCAACACATCGCGGCCCAAACTGTACTTAAACACATCAGACCCAGACCCTACCCAAAGAGTTATGCCCTCCGCCTCCTCTGAGACTTGCATCGCACGAACTGGGTGTTCGAATCGGTGCTGCAATAGATTGTGGCCATCAAATTCTATAGGTGTGTCGCTGGTACTCGGTGCAAGTGGTGGGCCACCTGAACGGAGGGACCACAGTCGAATGCGGTTATCCTGACCTGCTGCAAGGAGAAAATCCTCTGACGGGTCCACAGCGATCGGCTGGACATAGATGAGTTTCAGACTTTAAGAGAAACGTCGACGAGGAAGCGTACAGCTTTGATCACATAAGAATTGATGTTGCCCGTAAACACCTTCAACGGAGTCCGAATGGAGGAGAAGCGTAAGTCGAAAGTTGAGATCTGGCGTAAACGCACCATACCCACAGTCGCATCAAGGGCTAAACAAAACAAGCGAAGGAGGCAACTTACCTTACCATCAACATTGGACACCAAAAGCTGGGAATCACGCAGGAGTCTAAGATTCGTAATAGAGTTAGGCGGTTGTGTGAACAGCCCCCCTAAGAGGGCATCTCCTTTTGACTGCCATGTGCGGGTGTCGAATCTCAGAAGGCCACCGTTTCGAAGACCAGTGTAGATGGTATGCTGCAACACGGGGTCAGAAAACAGGTCAGGGTCAGGGGTTGGCTATGGTGACGAACATTTTCCTGTGCTATGGCAAACACGTCACTATATGTGGGAAGATTTTGGACCGCTGCACGGTCTGCAATGTCATCGATGCAGACAAGTTGGTTCTTGGCACCTTGCTCATGATTGGGACAGCAAACGACCACGTATGATACAGCACATTACCTAACGCCAACCGAGAACCTCGAAGATCTGCCGTCCATATGTCGCATGCTACGTGACCGTCAATTCTAGACACCCTGATACTAGTTTATGGTGGTGAGCAATGGAAATATCAATCTGAATACGAAGGCTGAAATCATACTCTTCCGTAGTAGATTCTAATGGGAAATGTAGAATTTTGCAATCGGGGCCAAAGGAAGTAGCACTGTTCCGACGTTATCGTTATCAATAATACTGCCATGCCGGGGAATTTACACTGACATACACCAGGAGTCAGAGACAGAGATGGAGGATACCTGAAAATGGATCAATGGATGACTACGTTAATAGAAGCACCCGTACATGCCTCTGATGATAGATTGAATTCAGGTTGCCATCCGTGGGTCAGGAAACCTGTCGGTTGATTTTGGTTATTTGTCAAAGATGAATGGAACCATCCCATGGAGTCCCCTGCGAAACTCCATACGCGGTCATTGTGATGGACCGTCTTTGTTCTACAGGTCATACCATCGATCAACTGCGAAGTAAACGGATACTAACCTGGAAAGCAGTGACTGAGCCTGCAAGTCCAGACCATGGCGAGTGCATCAGTAATCGTTCTGCCTTGCCGGTCAAGGCGAACCGAGAGCATCGCAGAAAGCTGGAAGGCAACAGGGGTAATTAATTGTACGATTAGCGGGGAGGAGAGGGCGTACTGGGTCAGCCTGTCCTTGTGAGATGTTGACGGTGGCGATGAGCGCAGGCCCGAGAGCAGTTGATGAGGCTGTGATCTTATCAAAGGAAATGTCGGGTTCCTTGTATCCGCGTCGGAAGTTATCCGTTGTTGCGACTGCGGAACGCGGTCAACACGCGGTCGTCCCTTGCCATGGGACGGTGCGGAAGACAGCGGGAAGTAACGCTGCCTGTCCTCATCCCAGTACAAGCCAGGGAGGTCCCGCGGCGGCATGACTGTGAAACGAAGATACGAATTATGTAATGTCTTTCTCTTTCCCCGGTGGAGGTGATTACCTGCAGCTGCATAGGCTCAGCGGCAAAGTATTGGGAAATACACAATAGCCTTGAAGTGGAAAACAGATCCTTCCGCGGAACATAAGTAACGACACTGTAAGCCGTATCCGTCGCACACGATTCCCACCCACGTCAGATACCCAATATTATAATATAATGCGGGGAGGCGAACGGGACATCAATTCATTCCGTCGCTACCCCCACCGCTGCAGTCAGCATCAGCCTGTCTGGACACCTGAAGTTATGCTCATGTCTCAAACTTGCTTGCACGTTGGTGGTTGCCACTGCGGGTCATCTCCGTCAGGGCCGCCGCACGCCGGTAGCATCGCTCCGCTTGTAGTCTCCGAGGAACTGCCTTCGGTCGAAAATTTGCATCCATTCAAGGTTCGCACTGACATTTTTTATACTTGCGGCATGTCATTCCCTTGTGCCAATGATCTCTTGATCTCGACGCGGTCACGTGTTTTCGGCTAGTCATGACCCATATTTTTTTCGGAGGATATTATCGCTGGGTCCCATGGGGGCTGGTGACTGACCGTGTCCTTTTTAGCTACATACCCACCACCTCCCAGTTTTCACCGAACAGGTAATGGAAGGGACATCTGGTTTGCCCGACCAGCCAAGGAAGTTTGGCTTACTGCAGGCTGTCAAGTTACCAAGGAAGCCTTCCCTGCCGTCACTATTCATGTCCTCTACTAGTAGCTCGTTTCTCCAATCGTACCTTCCTTCCGATCTTCCATCTTCACATGTAGTTTCAGACCCTGTCATGTCCACCGAGGACACCAGAGATGTAAACGATGACCCGAATTTCACCATACACGCTCCTTCATCACTATTATTGGACGACGATCCGTTCGCCCTGCTCATATCATCAATCCCGCCCTCACTTCACACTCACTCTTTGCTGGATATGGGTTGCCCTTCAATTTCGGAATCGGTCAAACCTTGCACTGTCCAGCTCTCCCCCAGGGCTCATGTTCCTCGAGCAAGCTCTGCACGTCCCAAATCAAGTCATGGCCAGGTGCGCCCCGCCCACACACGGCCCGCATTTACACCACGTCCTTCGTTACCCTCGCTACGCACTCTCGCGCAAATGAATGTCGCCGTTCCTAGGAAGGTATGACCGCAGGAAAATCTAGACAATTGGAAACGGTAGCACCTGACTTTGGACTTTTGATGCACTAGGTCCGAAAAGGAACCGTTGGAGCGCGTTTACCTCACGAGCCTTGGGATTTGGATCTCAGTGCCGATTCCTGTCTGCCCACCCGCAGTGGTTCCTCATTTGCGCCTTCTGAAGAGAACAATACCATGTTCGTACTGCCGCCTGCGGGGTTACCCGCTGAGAATGAGGCCGAGGGGGGTAACGGTGGTTCTTCCAGTGATGTCAATGGCCAGTCCGCGTTGCACGGCGGATCCATCGTGACTTCCGTTGACAATGTTGCCAGGAAAACTCAAGCTCCCGATGAGGTGGTCTCTTCACTGCTGTTGTCAGCGCATGATGCCGATGTTGGTTCTCTCCCTTCGCTCTCATGTACCACTTCTGAGCCGCCTTCATCCGCACTCTCACGTGCTTCATCCCTCCAATCATCCACGTGGCCAGACATTGGGCTGAGCGAAAATACCCATTCGAGCAACAATGATGTGTTGGATCAGAAAAACTCTGTTTGCCTTGACTACGCAAATTTGCCCGCAGATGGCGACGAGGACCTACTAAGTTACCACTCGGACTTCGATTATTATTACACCCAATCACTCTCCGACTCTTCTGATTCGGAACAAGACTGCCCAAAAAGTACTCAAAACGTGGACGTAACGCCGAGTCCGCGTGGCTCGGTATATCAAGAAGCGCACTTTCAACCCGGCACCTCTGCTGACACGATGCGTAGCCTCGGTGAACGCGCTCTGACGACACGTCACCCCCGCACTCCACATGACGAGCACGAGTGGCGTGGACAATGTGGCTTACCTGACAGGTACACTAGTGGTGGTGACCGCAGAGGATCTGAACAGGAAATGTATAGGCAAGTGAGCCGCCGTTCGAGCAGCCGCGCCGGTAAGGACCAGGGTGGCAGTAGAGTTGGAGGTGTCGGCAGCTCAGGAGATAGACACCACACCCGTGAGGCTTCGTCAAGTGCAACTTCGGATTTCAGTTCGTCTTCGGCAAACGAGGACGGTAACACTATTTACTACAGTATCGACGGCGTCTCCAACGGTCCCTCGCGCACTCATTCTCCCCTACAATCCCGGATACCAAGAACAGGTGGTGGCTCAGATGATGACATACCCCTTGCCCAGCGCATGCCTACTGCTTTGAAAGCACAAAAGTCAATCAGACAGCAACTTCGCGACGAGCGACACCGGCGGAAGTTGGACCGTGCTAAAAGCACCCATCCGCCCCCTCCCGTCCCCGCCCTTCCCCCCACAACAGCACCCGTGGTCCCAAGTTCAAGGAGTCTTGCGCATGATGGTCGGAAACGATCAGCTTCGTCTGCGGCGCCGCCCCGGACGGGTTCTCTCTGGCCAGACTCTAGCTCTTCCCAACCCTCGCCCATCCTACCTGAAGATTTGTCACGAAAGCTCATGCAACTTCAAACATCCTCTTCAGGTTCTGCAGAGCAAGACCTTTCTGTGCCTTTCTTAAGGAAAGCGAAGCTCGCTCGTTCCACCACGACAAGTCCTACCCGAACACGTCACCCAGAAGGTGTCGCATATATGCAACAGTCGACTACGCGAGGTTCTGAAGCACCATCACAGAACCGGCCGTTGAAATCTGCGCCTCCGTTCCAACGTCCTGATCGCCGTCATGCTGAGCCATCGCGGCAACCATTTGAAGCTGCATCAGCGCAATCTCTCGGACGAAGCATGACCGTAGGAGCCCGGCACTCACCAGATGACATCCATGGACATGTTTCTGCGGAGGGGAACACTCGTTCTGTACGAAACGGCCGGGACACGCATGCAGGTCATGAACCAATCGTCAGATCAGGACGCGTTAGCGAAGATAACTGGAGACCTTCTGGTAGCGCATCTCGACCGTCTGTTGATCCGGAAAGTAACACGTCCAATCAACGTGTCGTACAACGTCTACCTCTTCCCGCGGTAACACCTCCCTCGACATCTCCGCTCCAGCCTTCGAAGGTTTCTGTGACCCAACAAAGGATATTTATTGGTGATATGCAACGGTTCAATACCGTCGAAATCGCGTCGAATACCACTGCTGGACATGTGGTCAAGCTTATGACTAGCCAAGGCATTCTTGACAAATCTGGGTCATGGATGGTATTCGAACTGGCTCAAGATTATGGCATGGGTGAGTGCTAATGAGTCTGAATCTCACATTTAGCATAATTGAAGTAATTTGTCGTCAGAGCGACCGGTTCGAGACTATGAATTACTGTCAGATGTTTCAGCATCGTGGGACAAGGACAAACTCTTAAATGCTTTCGTTATCAAACCCACGCCCTTGGCACGGTTGTTAAGCCCATCTGTAAGCTTCATTTCCGTGGATCTCTATTAGTGTTTGATGGTGGCGCTTGCTAGGCGATACCCAGCTGCTCGCCTACACACAGAGGCTGGATAGAATGGGAGAGCAAGCGCGGGAAATGGAGCAAACGCTGGATGGAGTTGAGAGAACATGGTTTATGGCTGTCCAAACGCGATACGGTAAGGTGATTCTCTGTCCTTTTGCCAAGTCATTCACCTTTCCGTGCCTTAGGGGAAAGATGAGACCTTTTTATGCTCGGTGTCGAACTTTGACGCATATTATGTTACTCGGCGGCATAAGTCACCCAAGCCTTTCGTATTTGCCATCAAGTCAACGGACCATCTTTCCCTGTTCGAGAACGCCGCCGACTACCTACATGTATTTTCTTGCAACCAGAGAGACGGCGAAAAGTGGATGGAGGCTATTTTGGTCGCTCGGGCACGTAGAATTGCCTTTCTCTTCTCATTGTCTTTCTCATATCCGCTAACTTCCTCTATTCAGTCGTACGTACTTCACCAAGAAAAGCATGTATTGTGTACTGGACCGACCGAAGTGCTTTCACAAGCGAAACCGCTGTCGCGCACTCGGACCAGGAAGCAATCCGTGTCAGGTCGACCTGCCCAACCTTTGATTAACGTGCCTCCTCCGTTTAGTGTTTCGCCAACTGCCAATGTGGTTTTCGAGCCCGGCTCCTTGCTGGCCAAGCGGAAGGGCGACCCACAGACATGACACGTCAGACGATTTTGATTTTTTGTACTTATATTACGATTGTCTTCTGGCACGGATACTTTCGGCTTCAGCATAATGGTATGGCCATAGTTTGTAACCTTTCGAGTATTATATCGGATATTTGGCGTATTTATTATACCGCTACATACATTGATCGAATCTATAGAAAAACACGAAATAGTGAGCTAAACACGGAGTGTAGACCTTAAGCCGATGTCTTTTGTTTCTTCTTCGCTGGACCATCCTCGTCATCCTTGGCAGTTGACTTCACCTTGGGCTTTGGTTTTGGTTTAGGCTTAGGCCTCTCATCGTCGACGTCCATCGCATCATCGTCTTTCTTAGGTTTGGCCGGTTTAGCTTTGGACTTCGCAGATGCTTTCTTGGTTTTCTCGCCGTCATCGTCGTCCTCATCATCGCTGCCTTTCTCTTTTGTCTTTGCCTTCTTTTTCGTAAGCTTCTTCGCTTTGCTTCCCTTCGCGAGTTCCCTGTCACCACTTGCATCCGATGCAGTAACGCCTCCGCCAGAAGATTCAGATTCACTCTCTGTAGGCGACCCTTCATCGCTAGATGATGCTTCGAAGTCTTCGTCTGAAAGTTAAAAGTCAATAAACATTAAAGAGAACGTCGAGAGCACAGAACTCACCTTCTTCGCTATCATCATCATCGCCGCCAATCCTCGGTCTCGGCTGCTCGTCCCCACTGCTCGCCACACTCTGCATCTCCTCGTCGGAGTCTCCAGCACCAGCTGCGAGTAAATCTACATCCGGTACCATTTCATTCTTCAACTTAATCTTCTTGTCCTTGAGGTAGCTTTCGACTGGTTCATGTTCCTCCTTGTTGATGGACGTGAACGTATATTCTGGTCCACTCTTGGTGATGATCTTGAGATCAAAAGTACGCGCTGCGGTTGCGCCCATGCTGGCACCGACACGGGAGAAGACACATTGGTGAATGTCAGAAAGTTCGATGAGCATCGGCTGTTTGGAGACGAAGAAAATATATTTCTCGAGCATGAAGAGATCACCCTGGACTGCTTTGAAGTTGGCTTTAATGCCTGGATGACCGCCGCGACTGTAGGGTTACGAACAGTCAGGCCGTCGTGAAAAAAAAAAAAAGTTAACACGAATACATACCTCTGGAAGGCGCCAGAACCGATGATCTTTTTCTTTGAGAGAGCACGGAACACACCAGAGACAACCTCAAACGTGGGGTCTTCGTAGTGTTTCTTTAGTTTGTCGTACTTGGCTATCTCTTCTCTGCAAGGACCAGCTCAGATGATACTTCGGTAGAATAGTAGACTTGTACGTACTCTGACAAGTTAAGCTCGGCTGTTGTTTCTTCTTCCCTGGCGAACTGCATAACCAAGTACTGATACCTAGTCTGCCCTTGCCTAATAGGTGTACTCAAACCGAGCTGCAAAGGTCCATTAAGTATCGAGAAACGAGCAGAAAGCAAGAATGGACACACTATGAACAGGACATGTTGGTCGTCCTTTGGAAGAAGGAACAATTTTGATATGCTTGAGTAGAGAATCTTGTAGTCGTACGTCTTTCCACGCAATCGTAGGAATTCGATAGACATATCCAAATCGTAGCGCCCGCGAGGCGTTAGCACAAGAACCTCCTCGAAGCTTAGCACGAGATCTCCAGCGACTTGGCCAATTTCAGCCTTCTCTTTGATCGCATCGTGGAAAGCCTGAGCTGCGCTCATTTCTTCACCCTCTTCATCGTCCGATTTCTGTGAACCCGCGTCGGACCCTCGGACACGTACGTGAGTTCCGGGTACGTGGAATCGAATTTCTGTCATCTCGTCCGGAGCATTTCGCGATGATTTCTTGCCTGGCGATGCCGAAGAAGCGAACTCCAACGAAACCTCAGTCTTCCCAGCAATGTTGGAGTTCGCCACTTGGTTAAGCGGCAGCTCGAAAGCTGTCTTGTTCGATACTAAGAAGGCGAGGTCCTGGCCTTGGTGAGCGGTTAGCAAAATGTACAGGCTTAAGGGCAGAGGCGACGGAGAGCACCTTGGATGTCCGTTACACCCCAATTCCACCCCTTGAATGTAACGTCTTTCACCTCCAGTGTCACCGCGAAGTATTGCTTGAGCAAGTTAGCCAGTTTGTCGTGATCCTAGAGGTGAACAGTTAGGCGCAGCTTCTCGGTGCACCACTCAACGACCCAGATACCCACCTCTCGCATGAACCCGTCGAACGTTTCTCTCCGTCTGTCCTTCAACCCTACTCTAAGCTGGAAGTTTCTTGCAACACGAAACCATTGAGCCCATTTGATGTCACCGGAGGGCAACGCGATGACTTTCTCGTTTTCCTCTCCTTTCCAAGCCATCCCACTGTTGGCAATGCGAAATTCTGGGGGGTGAACACCTGTTTCAGCACATCTCAACCGGAGCGCGCCGCATAGACACTTACTCCCAACTTCCGGGGACAGTCCGTGGTATATTTTGTCGAACTGAGTGGTGGACATCGTGCTCAGCGAAAACGAGTACGACTTTTTGTGTGAGGTTTAACGAAAGGCGATGGTGGTGGACGCAGGTCAAGACGCGTGCGCTAGTTCACCACTAACAGGGTTTCGTGCCACATGCTTATGATGCTTGTCGTCATTTCAAATCACCGCGTCTTAATCTTTCATTATAACCACCCTTCGCGGTAAACAGGCGTGCCCGAACGAACGATGGACTCGACACAGGAGCGAACGTTCTGTAAATGGTACTCCAGCAGTACTTGTCGGTTTCATGGCCCACTAATCCTACACGTTCTAGGCTTAACACGAAGCTGGAAGCCAATGGATACCCTCCGATGCGTTCGCTCGTCCAGGACCTGTCCGATGGAGTTCGGCTCATTCAGCTTATGGTCCGTCATCGTTAATTGTGGAGGTTTCCCCAGATCACTTATCGTCGCTCCGTGCCCCCTACAGGAGATCATGGGTGAGTAGCTATTACCCGTGTCCTGATCTTTCCTCCCCGTTTAAACGTCGGACCAAGGCGATACCTCGCTCGGAAGATACAATAAGAATCCTAGAATGCGAGTTCAAAAAGCAGAGAATGTAAACAAGGCCCTAGAGTTCATCCGCCAACGGGGCATCAAGTTAACCAACATCGGTCCAGAAGGTACGGTCGTCTTCGCGATTTTTCACCTAGGTATTCTCGCTCACATTATATAGACATCATGGACGGAAACTTAAAGCTCATACTTGGGATGATTTGGACACTCGTCCTGCGTTTCACGATCGCGGACATCAGGTCAGCAAAGATCATCTCGCTAACTTTCGTTACGACTCAGACAGACGATTTCAAGTGAGGAAGGCCTTTCCGCGAAGGAGGGTTTACTCCTCTGGTGCCAGCGGAAAACGGCGCCATACAAAGAAGTCGACGTGCAAGACTTTTCTTCTAGCTGGTCAGACGGACTCGCATTGTAGGTTGTTCGCCGCACAACTACCCCTTCAGCCTTGAGCTCAAGTCGCATTAGATGCGCTCTCATCCACTGTCATCGACCCGAACTATTGGACTATGATAGGTTAAACAAGGTAATTTTCATTTCCGCTCCTAGCCCTCTTCCGCGAATGATAATTTCCAGTCAGATCGGCATGGAAACACGTGCCTTGCATTTCAAGTCGCTGCAGAGCACCTCGGCGTTCCCGTACGTCGCTTGTGCAACATAGCGTCCTTTCAGCCTTTGACATGTCGGTGTCCTAGCAATTACTAGAGGTAGAAGATCTATGTGACTCCGCCCATCCCGACGAACGAAGTGTTATGACGTATATTGCGAGTTACTTCCATGCATTTTCCTCGATGGGTTTGTGGCATGTTTCGCTGGAGCTTATCACAAGGGGATTGGTTAATGTAGTACTGCAGATCAAGCGGAGACCGTATCCCGGCGAGTCGAGAAATTCGCCGAACTCATGCAATCGGTGTGGTTGAGCAAGAATGACTACGAACGCCGAGCTCGCAATGTGCGTCCCGAGTTGTTTATGTTAACTGCGTCCCGATGTTGATATTGTGAAGTTACTCCGCGCACTTTCCGAAGTCCAAACCGAATGGGCTGCCAGCATGTTCACGGGTACATACACCGATGCGAAAGCACACTCTGCGAGCTTCAACAAGTACAAGCATTCGACTAAGCGCGGTTGGGTAACCGAACGTCAGGATGTTACTACGCTTTTCGGCAACATACAAACGAAACTTCGGACTTATGGGCTCAGGGAATATGTTCCCCCTCTGGGATTGGCGCTTTCGGTCAGTGGCACTCCGCCCGTGTGATAATCCCGATTTGACATGTTGTAGGACATTGATCATGCCTGGAATGACCTTCTGCGTTCCGAAGCGAAACGGTCGAGGTCGATCAATGCTCAAATCAGACAGTGAGTCTTGTCCAACCTATCTGGATACTGCTGACATCGTCTCTTCATTACAGAATCAAGGAGACGCTTCGAAAAGAGTTTGCAGACCTCGCCAATGACTTTTCGCAACGGCTACATGCCGTCTCTCTCGAACTTTCGAACGTGGAAGGGCCACTTGAGGCAAGTGTATTGCGGCTGGCGAAACAAGGTTGGAACCCACCTATTCTGCAGGAACAACAAGAACATGTCCGAACGCTACAAACCCGGCTACCCGCTCTTAATGACGCCTTGTCCCGTGTTTTGAGGGCAGAGAATGACTGTATTGCAGCCAACGTCGAAGAAAACGACTATACCATTTTCACCTGCCAAGACCTAGAATTCGAACTCGAACTTCTCGCGCAGAGTATAGCTAAAAAGCTTTCATTCATCGATAACCAGGTGCATCCGTCCGCATACACGTGTTACTAACCGCTGAACAACGATGCATCCATTCACAGGCCGTTTCAAGGAACATGACGAATTTAACACCTGCACAACTCGAACAATTCGAAAGCACATTTCGTTATTTTGCTCGCGATGGAACAAATACCCTTAGTCTTCCAGAGTTCAATGCAGCTCTCGCCAGTCTTGGCCTGGTGTATTCCGTGCGTCTGCCTATGATAAAGTTTTAAACTATTGTGAATCGTTGATGGCACAGGACGAGGACATGGATTACCTGTACGACCAGCTTGTACAAGAGTATGGTGCCATCACGTTCCAGGCTTTCATAAACCTCTTGGTAGGTGCACCAGATACGTTTGACCGACGTCGGAAGACAGGCGAGTAAATACTTATCTCAGGTGGACATCACCGAAGATCAGACGTCACCGGACCAATTGCGGGAGTCTTTCCGTGGAATTGCAGGCGACAAGGTGGGTCATGGCAACACTGCACGCCTAACATGCGTCCGCCTCACCACATTGCTTCAGCCGTTCGTTACGGAACTCGACTTGCGACTTGCGCGACTTCCAAGCAGCGCTATTGATTACTTGCGAGAGGTATTACCCTTTCAAAGGAATGAAGTTGGAGAGCCGGAATACGATTATGAAACGTGGCTGGAAGAAGTATTTGTTTAGGCATACCATCATGTATACTTAGTACCGTCACCGCAATCATGTGGATACCACACAGCATTTTTTTTTCCCGCTCATGTTCATTCTCTAATGTTCCAATATTTGTTCTAGGAGGCTAATTTACTCGATGTCATATTCTCAAGCAACGTCAGATGCTAGTAGGACATCGTGTAGTGTGATGGTGACACTAAAATTTTAGACCTCGAAGGTGAACGAAGCGCCAACCTAAACATTTCACATGTTCAGCAGTGACACGATCATCAGATAGCGCTACAAACCTTGTGGGCGGGACCAATGGGGGCGATGTCATTGAGTCGTTGTGTGTCAAGAGCAAGACCGAAGGAAGCCTTCACACCGGGGCGGAGAGTTTGCGTGTAACCTGTAACCACTGCGTCAATCCCAGCCCAACACCGGGTTCAGCAGTGAGACGAACCGAGGGCCAGAACACCAGCATTGTTAATCTTGGCCTTCACAAACGCAGCCGAGTCGAGGTAACTGCTGAAATGTCAGCATCACACGCATTGACCACGGAGGCATTGGCTTACGCCTTGGTGCCAACCTCAAGGGCAACGCCTGAGGTCGTCGACTTGGAGTCGTAGACAGCCTTGGCACCTGCTTCAACGTCGGGGCTAACACGGTGATAGTAGCTGGCCGAGAAGGTGTTGAGGTTGTTGAGGCCATGGACCGTTACGGCGTATTCGGGTGCATTGTAGCCAATGGCTGCGGCATAGCGGGAGATCTTGCCCTCGGTGACGTTGTAGGCAGCCTCAGCACCGAAAAGGAAACCGTCACGGCCGAAGACAGCGTCCGTGGTGAAGGTGGGTCCCTTGTGGAGAGTTTTCTAGTCAGAATCATGAATCTTTGAGACAAGATATGTAGTGTACTTTGAACACGTCAAGAGCGCCACGGGTGTGTACGCCAGACTGCTTGTAGCTGAGGTTGACGAGAGCAGATTTCGAGCCCGAGTCCGGGACCAAGGAGGTAGAGAAGTCAAGTTTCAAGCCTTTTGCGAGGTAGTTCTCAAGCTCGAGCTGCGACTTGAGGATATTGGAGGTCGTCCATGTCTCGGTGAAGACAAGACCGTTCTTGGGGTCCGAGTATTTGGCTTCGATATCGCCGTTGATGGCTTGTGACTTGGAGTCACGGAGACCAGCAACCTTGAAGGCGACGCCCGAGGGGGTCCTGGTCTTGACTTCCAAGGAAGTACCGAAGAAGGGGTAGTCCTTCGTCAACAAGTCGTTGGAGGACTTTCCAAGGTCCTAACAAGACAAGCACGGTGATTAGCAGATTGTTTAGCAGAGTGAAAGGAGATTACCTTCCATGAGGGGGGAACTGGCTGAGGCAAAGACATGGCTGAGAGCTCCAACAGCGGTTCAAATGAGGAGGGTGGTGGAAATACGCAAGCCAAGATCTTTTGAGTTCAACGGGTCAAATCGTGAGAATGTATTACATAACACACGCCTCCAACCGTATTACCCTGTCAGCTGGACAGATATCGCTACGGAGACACTAAGGTAGTTTGCAACGTGTTCTCCGTTGCCGAATACCCTCGATGACGGTTTGAGGATAACTCACCTCGTCCCGGCAGCTGCGGTGACAGCTTGGTATCATTTGCATATGGGAGACCTCACAATCTCCTCCCATCGCTCGTCGGCGGTCATATTGGCACGGAGTGGTCCAACGATAGCAGACAAGATATGTTGGAGCTATGCAAAGTACGCATTTCACTCTCTTCCACCGTCAATAATTGACCGCCACTTGGAGACATCCCTTGCGTAGGGCAAATCTTACTGGCTGGGATCGCGAGCGGTACGGACATAGGGGTAATAAGAGCTGTGTATCTTGAACGCGAGCACGTGTTTTCTCACATACACATGTGGTTGACCACGTATTTCAAAAGATCCCTTGGTAGCTTCCAACTGGGCAGTGGGGACCTTCGTGGTTATATCACTAGGATCGTGCTAGGCGTCGTGTTGCCAGATCATGTCCTTCATGACTCACATGCATTCTGTGCGCCCCTGGGGTGATCGGCCAAAGGAACCTGCAACTTGAGCAGCGCGAAGTCGCAGGAATTGTCAAAGAGGGCCCAAATATTTCATAAGATTGAAGGAAACCGCTAGCTCCGATAATCAGCAGCTGTAGTCTTGGACGCACGGACTCCTTCATTCTGACCATGTAAACCATACGACGCCGGGCAGGCGGTCTCAACTTTCTAACACTAGCCCGGTATGTACATGCGGCCACATCGCCTACCATATGACGTTCTTCCAATTCTCCACGAGCCTTGGATCATCCTGCATTCTTTTAGTACGATGCTTTCAAGTTAGCTTAGGATTTTATCTTTACCTTGTATTTTTCGCCGAAATGGAGGAACCCTCCTCTAAGGACAAGTGCCTCGAAGTACTGCCCGTCACTCGGTTTATGAATGATGTTTCGCGTCTCTTCATAGATCTACAATGGGAGAAACGCATGAGCTCGTGTCCATTACATGCGCCTGTCAAAACTGCTCACTCTGGCTGCCTTTGGTCCCTCTGATAATACAGCGATCAGAATCACAAGGCACAGCGCAATAAACTTCCCTTACCGCTGCTGGCTCAGCTGACAATGGAAGACCATCCGTCGGAATATCCTTGGTGTCCTTGATGAGCTTGTCCACCCCATTCAAGAAGCTCTCCGAAGGGACATGGTAAGATCCCTTGATATTCCCGCCAGCCCAGTCCTGGTCGCGCACGTCGACAATGAGATAGTCTTCAAAGTGCCGAAGAAACGTGAAGGTTTGATCGATCAGGGAAGGAAGTTGTGCTCCATACCTTTCCAAGGTTTCTTGTCACCCAGGATGACGTTTGCCAGCTCCTGTAATCCGAGCGCGCATTAGAGGACTCGCATCATAGCGCAGAATGCGATTGGCTTCTCACTGAGGGACCGATGTACTTCACCATGGTCAAGTTCGAAGCGCCTGTAATGCTTCGCGCAAAATTGACTAGGCCAGCCATTAACGCCGGTCGATCATCAACTGCTTCGTCGATCATCGATATATGTATGATATATATTGACTGCAAAGATACAGTGACACTTTGAGAAGACATATCTTGGTTCCAAACCGTGACCCCGAATTCCATCTTCAATACGCAATCTCACATACATCTCCCTGATGCATCTTCTGCCTGCCCCGAATAACACAAGATAAGTACAAGGATGGCTGGGTATCGCCCCTGGTCGTGTGCCTGTAGTGAAACACCGGTAAACTCCCCCGCGCGATGTGGGCGTTCGCTCGTTCGTGTGTTATCGCGGGCATAGCGACGAAAGACCATATCGTGATTACACATTGGATCAGGCTCATCAGGGAGTCAGATCATAGAAATGCTAGCGTCTTCGTCCCTCGCGACGTCTAGTCCTTCGGGATATCAAAACCCTTTGCAGATTTTTGTACGGAATCGACCGTACGAGTACTTCCGCGTCGATGGGTTCGGCGAATGTAAATGTCTGGGTCGTGTTACTGTCTGCTACTGTCAGCGTGTGGCCAATAGCACAGTGCGCGGACTCCGGCAGGATCGCAGTGTTCGGTGATAACAAGTGACAGTACTTTAATATAACAGAAGTACTTCTTTTTCCAGAGGCCTTTGATGTTTGACCGAGGAGTTAGTGGAAGTCGAGCAGTTGCCGCGGATGCCTAGGTGTTATTACAATGGCCCAAACGCCAGTGCAATAATATTCAAGTGCGTTGCGTACCTACGATGACAGACGTCAGTGCCATAGTCGTGAAGCTTGAAATTTAACCAGTCCGAAATGCTTTGGAAGACGTGGTTGCAGGTACGCGTCCGCGGTCCCAGAGGTACCTCTGAAGCTTGTAACGTTCCACAGCCGAGCGGTGCTCAACCATCATGATGAATGTCGAGGAAAATCAAGAGTGTCGTACACAAAATGCGAGGCTTTTATCTGAACGAACGAGGGGCTGACGCCGGTGCCGTTTCAACCCAAGAATGGGTACAGAGAGGATTTTCTGTTTTGCTCAGCTGACGCGTCGTAGTGAAGTGATAGTTTGTTGCAAGCGTAGTTAAATGCTCAAGGCGATAAGTCCAGAGGAAACAAAATGGAATGGTCATACTTAAAAGAAGGGGAATTAAAGGACCCGATGGGGGTATAATACACAGGGAATGTTGCTACCGTTCGAACATGCAAGAGGGTGTTCTACAATCTAGCGGATACAAATCCGTATCTTCAAAAAACAAAGTTATATCTAAGTCGGGGTCAGTCAGCCTACCAGCATCCCATACCCGACGAAACTGCCACTCACCATAACGTCATAAGCGTGTCGATCACTGATAAACGGGTGAGTCGGGCGCCTAGTTGTGAGAGGCAGCAAACGCATTCAGGTCGCCAACACATGTGATGTGCTCATTGTCGAGGTGACGTTTGAGAGCATCGCGTCTACTGAATTCTCTCCCACATCCGCCGATCATCATTTTGCCCTGCCAATTGTACGGCTCGGCGCCTTCTGGAAGGGCGTGCCGCCCAGCGTCCTTTAGGGGCACACCACAACAGATCCATTGGGCGGGGCGCTCAAAGCGAGTGTGAGTCCGGATGTGGCGCTTGAGATCAGGCGTCCGGTGGTTACGCTGGACCCATTTGCAATAGGGACACGCCCAGGGGTTGTTCTTCGAGACTGTAGGGACCGTTCCTGGCATGGCTTGTACATTACGGGAAGGGGGGGAACAACGAGAACGCTTCGCTGCATGAGAAATGTTCGCAACGCGTACTGCGGATGCAGGAGGGGCACTAGTAGATACACGGGTCCGAGTCGTTCGACGCCGCTTCCTAGAATTCAAAGAGGGAGAAGGTATATATTCGTCGTCATCGCTGTCCACGTCACTCTCGGCATCGACTTGCTCTTCTGGATCACCCCGCCCGTCAAACTGATTAGTCGACACACTACGTCTTCTGCGCGGGGTCCCAGAGCCCATAATCGGAGAGGTCGGAGGAAGGAGAAGTGGGGGATCTGAAGATGCATGGCGCGGAGTGGGACAGGTAGTTTGTTGCATGGGATGGTAATATCCCGCAAGCGGGACGGAGGTAGGCTGGGGGAGCACAATGGAGTCGACTGGGGGTATGTACGGTGAGTCTGCCGTGTTCATAAACTCATCTGACTGGCTGTAGAATAGTCAAATTATTATACATCGAGATCTCGTGACAGACGGTTTACTCACAAAAGGAGGGGCATACATGGCGATTGGTCGTAAGTGGTGTAGTCGAAATCGAAAGTCAGAGAGGAGAAGGGTTCGGCTTCTGACTCTGATTCCGAGCTGAGGGCATCGTCCGAACTAGATTCGTCACTGGAGCTAGTATCATCGACGTGACTATCGACCTGGGAGGATTCGGCGGAGGGAGAAGACGAGGAGGTGGATGAGATCGAAGACAAGTAAGGACTCGGTGCGACCGCAGGGGTATAGAGGTCATCCGATTTCTCTTCGGGACTGAACTGGGCCAGCCATGCCATGTCATCTTCGTCACTCTGAGCACTGAGCTTCTCGTACAGCTGGGCCATAGACTGGCGACGGTAAACTGTGGTCGGGGGCATGGCGCAGACAAAATGATTAATGGCGGTGGGGCATACCACCTCCAGCCCCAGATGTTATATAGTGTCGGTCAGCCTCTTTTCTTTCATGTCTCAGCCTTGACCATTGCCGAACCTCGTTTTGTTGTTCTGGTAACTCCGACGCCTACGAACCCTCGTTATAAGTCACACTCGAGGCAGCCTTGTTGCAAGCAGTATCCCAAGAAAGCAGCCGTCATCCCGGAGATTCGGCTCATCCAATAACACAAGAAAAAAGGATGTCATCGCGGACGTCGGTCAAAGCGTAAGAAGTGCGATTAATGACTCCGCAACGAGGTTTCCCCACGTGGCCGCTCTTCCAACATGCTTGGACCCATATAACACAGCAGACCACGGATCCAAGTAATATTTCGAAGGGTCTGCAGTCGTTTCGATCAAACAGCATTGTAGAGGTACCGCTAGTGTCCCGCTCACGGATGGGAAGGCGAAATGCGATTCCAAGTCTTGGGCACACATGAATCACAAAGGATGCGGCCAATGCCGACCACTCACTAAGCTAGAGCGCTCCGCCTCACAGAATCTCAACAGTATTTGGCAACAGCAATCTCCTTTATCTTGGTTGCCTAGCGGAGGCCCCCTGTCACTACATCCGGAAATAATTCCCCGAGTCCCGGTCAACACCACGGAAGTTCGTCGTGCAATGCACAAGGATACTATATCAGTCCGCCATCTACAGCACACAATGAATGCACCTTAGACTACCGAATCCGCTTGCCGTGTTGTACCGCAGGTCCCCATCTAGTGCAATTAGAAGTATCCCTGAACATAGCCTTAGTAGGTGATACTTACCCTCGTATCTTCTTCTTCGGTTTGGGATTCGTGAGCGAACTGTTCGATGGGAACATCCTGTCGGAATTTTTCCATGCACCACAGAATGTATCTACACTGAACGTCAAGAACAAAAAAAAAAACACGGTGGCTTCCACAGGAGCCTGCTCGTACCTCCGATCCCTGACAGGTACACTAGCACTCTTTAGATCCCATCCGGTCAACCGCCAGAATGCTTCCCAACTATCGGTGGAAACCTTCTTCTCAGAGCTGCGTCCTATGGCGCTCAGGAAGTCTTGCGGCGTAGCAATTTTGCCTGTTTGGTAGTTAACGACCTTGCAACTAGGAATTCCATGGAATCGAGCACAGCATACCTCTCGGTTCAGGTATTGGTCGAGGGACGGCTGCGGCAGAGTGAACCAACCTCGGCCAGCTCCATGAGACTCGCTTGAATGAGTGCCGTACTGAAAACATGACAAGGCCATCCGAAAGTGCGCCTGAGGAGGCTTGTCAAGGGCCAGTCACGTGATCACCACTGCATGGTCGTATGAAAAGCACGAGATGGCGGGCATTTGTATGAACCTCCTAAACACCCGCCCCACTATATGTACGATTAAAATACAGGCGCATCTCTTAAGAGTAAGTTTCTCTCCTCCTTCTTTACCCATCGAGTCACGGCGTTCGCCGCGTTAATTACCGCTGTTTTCGGTAGCCTTGGCGATAGGACGATGTAAAGTTCGAAGGGTTGTGTAATCTGAAAATGAACGGATTCCTTCATCATCAGTTACACTCTAGATTTAGATACGCCGCGAGTGAAATTTACCCATCCCATTACAATTTCTTTTTCTGTACGAATGCACTGCAACTTGAGGGGTCCAGATTGACCAGATTTCGCATGGAGGGCATCGTACACCGTTTGGTACATTGCGATGATCCTGTAGTTCCGGTATGAGGAAAATTTCAATCTTCTGCAACAAGAACTGCGCACCTTCGTACTTCATCGCGACTGTCGTAGGGATCCTCGAATGCTGGAAAAGTAATTTGGACATCTGGTCGAGATTTATAGACAAAATGTCGTAATCCTGGGATCGCAAGCTGGGAAACAGAGTAATGTGTCTTCCTGGACTCCATTGCATCCGTGATTGCTTTCAGTGTGCCCTGGCTTTGCAATTTCTGTAAGAGACAATGAGTGGACGGTTGTCAGTAGCAAACAGTGTATAGTCACCTGAGCAACGGAATCGCACCAACTCCGGACAGTCTCGAATTCTCCGCCACCGCTGATACACATTAGACATATTGCTGCATCTGAAGAAAGGTTAGGTGGGTGGCGACCGTCTTCTCTACGAGAGGATGAGGATGATTCTCGAGACTCGGCATTTGACGATGTTTCTATGCTGTTGTCCTCGGGTTTCCATAAAAACGAGATATACGCATTTACGAAGGTCGCTGGGTCGTACTTGGGGAGACAGACGGGGATCCAAGAAGCCGACGCTGGTGAATTATAGATCGACGGAGCATGTGCAGTATTGACGAGGACGTGAATGTCTACGGGAGGCACTATTAGCACCGGTTGAACTACAAAGAAGATGTGAAAAAAACCTGCAGGATGTATCGAGTGTTTCCTGGGTCGTACGAGGGTGACAACGCGACCGCCGGCGATGAGGATGATATACAAAGTATCCTGTGGGTGCATGAATTACTCAGTGCCTCTTGTCTGTGACCTGCAGCTGACCTTCATCTTTGTTATGGGTACTAGGGCATCAGCTACTCGCGAGCGTAGATTCGGATCGAGTTGTAGACAGTGCAGTGACGATGTAGACATAGCAAGGTCCAATTCTAACCGGCTGAGCAGCGAGAACAGAAAAGGTTCTGCGCCTGTGTTGCATGTTAAACATACGGAAAATACGAAACACAAGGCACACGAGGATACCATTCAGGAGGCGTCTCAGATCAAAGTTCGTGCGGCGTTCAAATATGCGTCTGAGCTGCGCAGCAGTGACGATGCTAAGGATTTGTAGGTGTAGATACTCGAGGTGCGTACGTGTCTTTCTGGAAATGAGCCTCGATCCGCTGAGGGAAAACGGGTTACTCACTACAGACTCTGGTTCTCCCCAAGTCGATGCACAAACATAGTAGAGTGGTGATCGCAAGAGGAAAGTAATTCTCAGTTCGCCGGAGTTGATGGAACGTAACTTGTCTCCGTCGTCGATAAACACGGAGAGTAAGGCTTGAACTAGGCCCATGGTACACGACAATGTATCGGAATCTCCATCCTCGCGCCGACTAGGGTTTTCGCATCAGCTGTTTCTTCGGTCGCCATTGAGTGTGTAATACCTCGTGAAAACTGGCTTTCCAGCATCTGTAAGCACGAAGTACTCACGCGGCTTGAACGGAGGGTGGTTATTGTCTGAGAGGCTCATCACTTGCTTGAGAGATAGCAGGACAGGGGGACTAAGTGTTACGTCAGCAACTCGCAAACAACCTATCAGCCAGCACGGACACCAGAATATAAAAACCAGAGTTCAATGTAACTCAGATATCGATATCTGGGACTAAAGGCCCTTAACACATGCACTGCTCGAAGGTAGGAGGAAACCACGCTTGAGAGTGAGATTACATAAGCGCATGTGCACTGTGGGCGCACGCCCTTAACCCTTCTTCCTCTTCCAACGCCGGATAGGTTCTCAGTACTATGGGCGAGCAGCAGATCTTCACCGCTACATCATTCTTCTCTCTTGCAGGTGTCGCAGGGGTTGCTGTCGCAGCCGTTGCAGCCTCTCGAGCCCTGCTACCAAAAAGTGCGACTTGGCAGGACAAGCTTACGTTCGTATGGCTGGTAAGAACAGCAGGCAAAACGAATCAAGTATAGTCTGATGTCATCGCTAGGCTTTCGATGGGATCATACATCTTATATTCGAGGGGTCCTTCCTGTATCTTTCGACTTTTGGCAGGTCTGTGAACACTAGTACAGGTGTCTTCGCTGAGATGTGTGAGATTCACATCGACCTTCGTACGTTATTCATGCTCATTATGTGTAATAGGGAAGGAGTATACCCTCGCGGACACGCGTTGGGGCGTTTCGGATCCAACGGTAGTGTCGCTCGAGATACTGACCGTGCTTGGCGGAGTCCCACTCTGCTGGTATATTCTGGGGCTACTTGTTAAAAGTGACCCGGCTCGCCACTACTGGATCGTGGTCTTGTCTGTGGCAGAGCTTTACGGCGGGTACGTGGTCATTTTTGTGGTGTCGTGTTGTATTCAACGTGGATGTTGTACAGGTGGATGACGTTTTGTCCCGAGTGGTTAAGCGGAAGCCCCAGCTTGAATACCTCCAATATCCTGTTTTTGTGGGTGTACCTTGTGGTATGTGTTCTCGCCTCATTTGCTCCGTGGGTCCACCGAATTTACTTCCCCTGAACTCTCACTGGCAGTTCATGAACAGCATGTTAGTGCTCTTTGTCTGCCGTTACGACTGTGAAATTGACATCGCTTTTAGATGGGTCGTGATACCCTTGTGGTTAATGGTTGATTCTTACAACCACATCGCCAGATCCTTGCGCGAGGTCGCTAAAATCAAGAGAAATTAACGGAGCCACTCGTCCTATTCATCTCAAGGGAAGTCGGATGTCTCGTTCGGCTTCCACCTACGCCCCCAGCTCAACATGGAGAATGTTCCGATCTGGATATCCGGTGACTTGTTTTGTGTGATACTGACCTGGAACCATGATTATTTTCTTGCCCATGACGTCTTGAGGATTACTAGCTTGATTGTAGCAGAAATTTGTGGCGGCATCTGGAATTCCGCCCTTGTTCCAATATTGATGCTTTTGTCTGTGCGAACAGTTCATCGACTAGTTGAGGAGCATTTACCTCTTCTTGTACTACCCGTAGGTAAGGCGTGAGAGTTCCTTGCATACACGGCTACTTCACACAACGAATATGCACCTATATATGTTCTTGAGAGTGCAGCACGATCACCGGTGACCGGTGAAGCTTGAAGGGTGGTGCATGCGTAGGCTTTCCAGGCAAACTAGGTGGGGGAGAGAACTGCACAGTTGAAATATAAAACAAAATTTGCTAACATTAGCCATAACGCAAGCAGGGACTCGGGGCTCGTAGAGAACCGGGGGGACACCATAAGATCGAAACCGCCTGCCCGGCGTCGTTCGGTGTACGTGCACAGAATGAAGAAATCTGTACATTCAAAACTACGACTGCTGATTATCCGAGCTCGTGTCCTTCGATTTTATGAACCGTTTGGGCATCTCTTCGACGACTCGTGCCACCCTACGTCGTTCAGCTTGCAGGTTCCTTTGGCAGATCGTCCTAGGAACACGCGCAGCGTATGAAGGACATGCACCACCTGATCTAGTGACCTGACACCTACCACGATCCTAGTGAGATGACCATAAAAGTCCCCACCGCCCAATTGGAAGCCACGAAGGGACCTTGTGAAAATACGTGGTCAATGGCACGCGTTTGTGACGTAGGTTGCCAAGAAAAAAACGTACTCGCGCTGATGGCCCTTATTACTCCTACGCCCGCACCGCTCGCGATTCCAGTAAGTAAACTGTGCCGTGCACAAGGCATTTCTCCAAGTCGCTGGAAATCATCGACGATGGATATTCGCTAGCTTTCGCACAATATTGTATTACACGATGTAACTTATTGAGGGCAGCAAGAGACTGAACTGCGTACCTTGCATGCCTCCCATACATCTTGCCAATAGTTACCTGTTGTCTCTGTTTTGTAAATCGGTCTTCGCGAATGATTCGATGGTGGTGAAACATTTTCTGGCTTTGGCTGCGTGGCAATGTCGTCGGACATGCTAGCCATTGGTGTGATTCTTAGTGCAGTATTACTAAGGGCACAGAATCGGGGTCTATATTTGCTCTTGTTTGGCAGTGTTCGCACATCTCACCGTGTGGTAAGTATAGGGGTCCGTCGCGGTCCGCTGGCTACTGTGGCAGATGGTCGGTCCTCCGGACATCAACCGCACGTGTAACGCCCTTAGGGCCAATTGCACGCGAAGTCGAGCTGTTCGAAAATGTACCAGCAGTAGCAGTAACTGCAAGACATGGTCAATGAACTTCACCACCAATAGTGTGTATTCACAGTAATTTGATTGACTTCTCACATGGATATAGGCTAGATTTACAGCCAATGAGAATATATAATGCATCCCAAGGCAATGCTGGCATTCTCAAGGGCCTTCATGGGCCATCCAAACACACAACTACTTACAGTCGATGGTGAGTTCCAAGAAGTGTGGGGCATTCATCCTTTTTGAAAGCCATAGGCTACCTCAGCAGTGAGCAAGCTACTGGGGAAATGCTAATGTACTGGCATTGAGATTGTTTGGGGCTGATCAGGGAGGAACAAGAATAGCCATGATGCTACCCCGGGTGTGTTCGCGTAGATACCCCATCGAAAGGTGAAGTAACAACCTGTCTCGTGAAGAGCAGTGTTATCCTATAATAAATTCATGAAGGCGAAACCTAGCCACCCATCATCCCCGAAGACGTCTCTGATGCTAAGATCGTCGGTGGTCCTTCGGAGCTTTCATCAACGGCCGGAAACAAAATACACTCTGAAAAACGCTCTGACATGCTCTCATCGAGAGCACGCGAGTTATCCGTAAGAGTTTCCAGGGTACCTGCTGCCAAAGACGAGTTTGGTTGCGCAGTACAGTGGCTCAGTGAGAAATCTCATGAGTGGTACGCGAACGCTTTTCACCCGAATGTAAGGTTTGATTTTGGCGAACAGGCTATGGTGATCGGTGGAGTCACATAATAGCGCATCGCGAAAGTATGAGGTATCACAACCTGGTAAACCTCGGGGCAATTGCCCCTGCTTCCAGACACCACATGATACAATGTGTTGTGCGTTTCGTGGGTTTCGAGCGTGCTATGGTCGGCCGCATAAATGGGCCAGATAGCAACTGCTGACGAGATGACGATAACTTATCCACCGCCAAGCAACATTCTGAACGTGTTGCTATACTACTTTCTATCGGTAACAAAGAGGGTTGATCAGTACATTCCACTGCATTCCACGAGAAGCGTACTCACTGATAACGCATTAGAAGTTGGACTAAGGCAAGACACTATACTCGGGAAGAAATTGCTGGACGCTTTGAGAAAGACGAGAAGACACGCGCGATCACAACTGCGATGACGCCAACTGTGAGTACGGACATCCTCGTACGAGTGGGAAGGAATGTGCGAAGACCACTCCGAAGGTGCAATGGAGGCACCCCACGCCACTTTAGTGGGTCCTGAAGAAATTTCAACCAGATCCTGGTTCAAGGCCGCGCAACTTTGGTGGAGTTGAGGCTGGCGACGGCAACCGCTTGCCAGCACATAACCAACAATTACCAACTTTTGAGGCTTATCGATTCACCCTTCATCCACGGTAAAATCCTCAACCTGATTAACGAAAGTACGGCGAGTCGCTGTTGGAAGCCGTTAGCTCTTCTGCCCATCTGTTCACCTTAATTCGGCTTAATAGAGAATCCAGCATTGCGATCAAAGAAAAAGGTCGAATATATTGTCCGTTTGTGAGGATCTGCTAGTGAGGTAAAGTTTTACCTATAAGCTCTATCAAAGCACCAGGCTACTGTCCATAGCAGTACAAAATAATCAGGCTAGCTGAGAAGGATCATCGGTAGTCCGTAGTCATGAGTCCATAGTCATGCGAGAGAATATCCGTGCTTAGGATTGGGTGGCGTTGTTGGGAGTGATAGTAAATTGGGGACTGGCATTCCCGGAGTCACCGAAAACTGTGCAGATGTGTCATCGTGCAAGAATATGAACAGCAAAGTTCGTATACGTACGGACAACGATATAATTGTTCTTGTAGGTCAAGTTGCTTGGGACCGTGAACTCTACCCAGCCTTGAGCGAGAGGGAACTGAGAGGCAAGTGGGTGATCTAAAGGCATTAGTCCAATATTTGCTGCGAGTCAAAGCCTTGAAGAACCGCAACTCACAGATGTCCAAGTTCTCCGAGTTGTTGGCTTCGTAGCCCAACAGAAGAAGACCAGTTGTGTTCTGCTTTTCAGCAGGGATATTGCTCGTTAACCAAGTCACATTCGCCTTTGTGTTGGTGATCCAAACAATACCAGCGGTAGGGGAGGTAATGGTAGGACTGAAGACCAGGAGTTCAACTGGTTGAGTTGTTACTGGTGCTGCCCGAGCGAAAACCGAAAAGAAGACAGCAACAAAGAAAGAAAACAGTGCGGCGTGCATGTTAGAGCGTTGATATCGAAGTCAAGGATCGTTATTTAACGAGGGAGTTGATTTTTGGCACAGGAGGTAGGAATGGTAGCGAAAAAAGAGCGAATGGTTTACCCGAGACTGGGACGGGTGGGGTTTTATAGGGTTTTATAGTCACACCAGGCCCGATCCAGGAAGTAATAAGACCAACGCGAAACTTACGTTTTGATGCCTGTGCAGTGGGGCCCAAATTCTTGCCGAAACTTCCATCACGTTTGAGGGATTTCGCCGAGGAATGCGATCCTCTGCAACTTGCAACTTACGTCCCTCGATGCTAAAAAAAACTAGACTGTACCTCGACATTATCCACACAGTTCCGCACAGTTCAAATGCCCTGTTTGAGGGTGAAATCAACCAGGAGGGTGACGGGGTGAATATGCCGGTTGCAACAAGCGGAAATAACATCGCGGCAATGGTTGTACTAATTTGGAAAGTATCGTGCTTCGTGCTTACGGAACTGTCACAACATCGCTTTCGTTTGTTCATGTCGGTCGCCATCATAAAATCGTACGCACCAAAGATCCGCTGGCGATATTACCTTTGTCAGAGACTTCACCCGACGTATTATGCAAGTTCTTTCATAGTAGATGCGCCAAGACGAAGCGCAGGTTTCAGTATCCTTTGTCGCGCCTACAGTAAGCCGGCCATATTTTTCCGGTAAATCGTAATGGCCAACAAAGTTGATCGTGACGCTGCTGTTTGGTTGAGCCGTGCACCCGTCGTGTACTCCCAAGACTGGCCAGAATTCTGATGTTGACATAGATTCCGTGGTCGCCGCATAATGTACATCTGTGACGCATTAATGGATCGGAGTCGTTTTGCAGACGTTAACTCCAGAATGCGACCGATACGTGAATGCTTACACGTGCTTCAACTTCTGAATGGTAGCATCTGATTGTCGAAGGAAGGGTCGATGGAAATGTGGTCTGATGGCAAGCCTCGAAACAGATGCCTTGGCATGAGGCTAGTATGAGAAGATGCGTGGGCGTGGGAATATGTGTCCCAACTGGCCACGTGATTTACCACATCCTACATATCATGGCGCCGTGTCTCAGGCCACCAACATCCCTCCGCTGCCGTTGCGGATTTAGTCGACCACTAGAAGTGCACTGTGGCAGGTGAGTCGTGTAGTTGATGAGATACACACCTATCAGTCCGGAGATCACTCATATCATGCGGCGCGTCTTGCAGGTTGCGACTTGCTGCCACTGTGACTCACGGGAATCCGTCTATTTCCTTGCAAGTCCAGGTTGCCATGAACGACGTGTTCCACGCTAACTTAAAACGAGCCGGACGCCTAACCTGTACCTAAGGCGCGTGAACGTAAATGAGCGGCAATCCCTCAACTCCTCTCCACGACACTTCGTATCTACTGTCAGCTATAGAAACGATCACGGATTCAATGCAGGATAGCTCGTCAGTTTCCTCCAATGACCTCTTGGACGCGTACAACACACTCTCCGGAAGACTCAAGTCGCAGAGTCAGGCTCTGCAAGAACCCGCCACATCGTTCCCCGCGTTTGAATGCATAACTCTAAATAGAAATGATCTGTTTGAAGCATTCCGTCGCGACATTGGACTCGCGCATATAGACCCCTTCTCCGCAGATCACCCTCCCCGTCGTCCGCCTAAGGACTTGTTCCTGTCCGATACACGTTCTGCAGAGATTGGGTCAATACAAATACAATGTGCAAGGGACTTCTCATGTTTGTGCAACTACGCCTTGTCTACACTAGCTGTAATATTCAAGTTTCCCTCTTTATCTTCCCTCTTCACTAGTGAGTGCAGCATGACTGGATCACAAGTCGCATCTAATGTTGGGTAGTCGCCGACCTCACTGATCTGTTCGGCGATGTCCTGAGCATAGTCCTTGCGAAAACTTTACCCGTGTTTAACAGTTCGAAGGCACTTTCATTATCTTTATGGATGTTGCGTTCACAATGTTTGCCGTGGGCTGTAATCAAACCCCACGAGACTAGTTTGATGACGGCCTTACAATACTGTCTTACTGGCCCGAAAACGTCCACAGATACCACGCTTGATGGCCTCAAGGTACCATATAACTTGCTTCAGTCCGTTTCATATTCACTTTATTCATGTAGGTTGTGGCGCACATGTTAGATCGCCATGCCAGAGAATGCTTCAATCCAATGTCTCAGTTATTACCATTGGTGCTGGAGCGCCTTCTTTCACAGTCGACTGATCATCGCTTGCATGCCTCCGGTGTTTTATGCAGCTTTGCAGCACCGTTGGTGCGTGAATTCGATGCATTCTCCAAGCAGGATCGACAAGCAGTATCTACATGCGTCTTCAGTTTTCTGCGGAATCAAGCTACTCTCTCTGATATACCTGAAACCTTGATTGGAACCGTACAGGCTGCGTTCAAAGCCGGGTCTCTGATGCGCCCGGGGGAGGGTCCAGTGTGGATGCTTACAGTCGTGGCATCTTTGATCATAATTTGTGGCCCTCTGATATTCTCTGACGCCCACACTTTAGATTTCGTCCTCGGTGCGATGGCGAATGGTCTAACGCACGATGCCGCAGTCGTCCGTTCGCTACATCCGCTTGTTTGGAGATGCTTCGTGTGGGTTTATGCTCGTATGCTTTCAGAACCGGAGGGTATCGACGTCAGTTGGGAGAATTTAGCCTTCCGTGCTTTGAAGCAAGAACTCTGGGGAAGGACGGGGATTGCAGTCACGGGGATCCTGCTACATACCCGCAGTACAGGGCCTTCAGCCTCGTCCGTTAGAGAGGATCGGAGAGTGACACAAGCATTTGCGATCATCTCTGGCATGGTGCAAAGCAAGTGCGCACGCGCCAAGAAGGAGGGCATTGCCCTTCTCCGCGCGGTTACGATGCCGACTGCGAGCTTAACCGACATTTGTTTGTTCAAACAGTTCGACGATATGGCTCCCATGGTTTTATTCGATGGGACTATCGTCAATGCATCTTGTGACGTCCTTCCTGACATCCAGCGAAAGATTTCCCAGTTCACTGTCGACCGCGTTTGTCCTCTCACCGACGTAGAGATCACTCTCTATTACGAGACCATATTTGATGGATGGTGTGGATGCATGCCTCGTCCGCCGACTGAACAACTAGACGTGAGTTTGTCATTCACATCGCCTCTATTCATACCCACATTTCGCGAGAAGGATGTGCTGGTAGATGTCTGGCGGTCCCTGCTTGACTTACTAGCGCAGAATCATACTGTTGCACAAGGAGCATTTAAATGTGCCGCAAAATCACTTGTTAAATGCTTGCTACCGCCGTTTGATCCACTAAACTGGGGCTCGTGGGGTATAGCAGACCAGAAGTATTGCCTTGATGCTGTGAAATGTCTCTGGTCCGCGATGAAGGACGCGACCTTCACCCGGGACCTCATGGAAGCTTCGCAGCTGATCCTGTTTGCGATTTCGAAATACAAATTCAACATACGCGATCCCGAAATTCAGTGCATGTGGAGCGTGATCTGCGCAGATCTCATGGTTATCGCTTCGCCATCTTTTCTGGGTGGCATGATGGGTCTCACAGAATCACAAATGAGGGTTGAGACTCAACGACAGCTATGGGGAATAATCGCCACTTCCCTAGTGGGCTGTGCGTCTAGTCTGCAGTGGGCGAGTGTTGTCGAGTTTCTCTCTGTTCCCATCTGGTAAGTTCGTCTCTGCATACCAAAATATCCTTGCTCATTGCCACAGCACGTGGGTGTTGTCTGAATGGGAACTTGGTGTATGGAAATCTTTATTTCACTCTGCGGTGGCGCTATCCGGAGATTTCCATGTGGTTGTTGATGCAATCTTTGAACGATTGCAGGGGAGAGACGCGGGACAATGGTAAACAATTTGCTTGGCCCATCAGTTGTTCGTATGCTGACGTTTACGCCTCAGGGAGTTTGTAATTCAAGTCCTCACTGCCATCTTTTGCAATTTCATGGAGAAAGGTCACATGCCACGCGACTCTGTCTTAGGGCCCATCGATACTGCTTTATCGTGCCTTTACAATCAGAGACAGGCCACGTCGGATGCCTTTAAACACGTTTTTTACCTTTTCGCCGTCCTGCGTAATTGGATAACCGCTTCTTCGCCAGATAACGTTCTGGTTATCCTTGTCGCACTTGGTAATGGACTTCGCCTTTGGATTGAGGATAGGTCCCACATCATGCGCGAAGATGATTTTAATGCAGTGGTGCGTTTTGTTTAGCAGTGAACCAGGGTGCAATTGAATGTATCAACAGATAATTCCGTTGTATTGCGACACGCTAAAAGTCCTTGAAAGACTTCCTCTATCCCATGAGGCACTGCGGGACATGGAATCATTCCTCGCTTCTGGATTTCAACGAATACCAGCACCAGCTGTCGCACCATTCGCGTTTGAAGCTTTCTGGAGGGCAACATATTACCGTCAAACCCAATTTTACGACAACCTTCCACCTAAGATCAAGGATTGCTTGACTTGTTTCGTTGCGGCTTATGGTGGAGATTTGGCGTTCGGGCTGTCTATGTCCACAGAATCGCAGTCTCAATCACAGGATTCGTTGGCTAGGTCGGTGGGGGGTGGAAATCTTGTGGAGATATGTGGTTCTCCCCTGGGCTATCATTCCTTGTCCTGCATATCCACTGGTAGTGACCACCTTTGTGGCCCGTGGTTGCCAGTCGCGAAAAAATCCAGCGACGGGCGAGCCGTGGCGGATGCCATAGCTGAGGCCGAAGAGTGTTCTTCCATTCTAGACACTGCGTTCATTTTACCCTCTAGTGACGATGGGGCAGATTTGCTCTCCCCGGACAATTCTCAGGAACATACCGGAGGCAATGAACCATCGTTTAAGGAGCCGCCTGGTGTGCTGCATTCAGGCGTACCGGACTCGCGGTTGTCTTCAGGTTCAGACATTCCCCTCAGGCTGCGGGAACTCGGTAAAAGGTTACGAGCAGCTGAAGGTGACTCGTTTTGCGCAGAGCACGAACCCAAGAAGCGATGCCGAATCTCAACGCAGGACTTCCGCAAAATCAAATCGGAGCCGATTAGTGGTCGAAGTACTCCCCTTCCTTCTGTCCTTCGGCTTCGTTCTGTTCTTGTGGCCGAGAAGAAGATGGTATTCGATGGCGTCGAGGTCCCGACGTTTCGTAGCATCGTACAACGGGAGAGGACGCAGCGTATACGGAAGATCTCAGAAACGGGGATGCCATTGCTGCACTGGAAACCACCTCTGGCAACAGTTGGTCACATTGCCGGAAGACAGTGGTCACCACTACCGTCGTCAGTGTCATCTGAAGCTGACGTTGATGACGATGTCGGTCCTCGGCGTGCTTCTCACAGACTTGATAGAACTCCCTCTGGTATGACCTCTCCATTGCAGTAATGGCTGACCCTTGCCAATCCGTTAAACCATCCGAACACAGAGATCGCCGTCGATGAATCGCTCGCCGAACCTTGTCCAAGTTCTCCGCGTCAGGAGTCGATAACCCGAGGTAAGGTTCGCTTATCCCTTACTTATCCTGTCGCCAATATGTATAGATGACCTGCGTGCCCAACAATCAAGGTCGCAGGTAGAAAGAGAAAGTCCCCCACCTGGACCGAGTCCGCCGCTCTTACAGAGGTCGAGGACAACGTCTGCCAGACTTGACGCGCTACGGAATGCGTATGTTGCAGTCGCTGAAGGCGCATCACAGGTTTCTGTGACGGAATTAGTACAGGCGACAACGCTTGTCCATCGGATTGGTGCTGCATTGAGCGAGCAGATGGGCAAGAGATTGGGGAAGTCCGGTCAATGAGAAGTGCAGTTTAACCAGAGGTCCGGTTGAGAAGGTCATCCGAACTTCGCGTGGTATTAGATCACTTCTGAACAATTCTAGCATTAGAAGACACCCAAATCTATATAACACGAATGCTTTGCGAAAAGAGACGGAAAACGGTATGACGTGCAAGACAAGTGTGCAATGAGTTTAGTGTACAATGTATGACAATTGTCTTTAGATATTTAACTACTAGCTATACATCAAGTTTGACCTGTGACGCTACCAAAGCGTTGCTGGCGGCGTGCGATAAGATCCCTCGAAGGGCTGGAGGAGAAACCATCGCTTGAGAAGTCATAGTCAAAGCCGAGCCGACGGCGAGGGGCAGGAGAAGCTAGATGTCGAGGGGAGACTTGGCCTATATGTGGATCGTCGTCCGAGCTTGGGTGTTCGGGTTGCGGGCCAGCCATGATAATGGAATCGTCTGAAGGGGAAATTAGTTCAACTGATAGGGCCGAAAGGTTAACGGTAACTTACCACTTCCTGCTATGACGATATCTTCGAGTGCCTTCAGGGAAGATCGCGGAGAAGCGTCAGACAATTCAGCATCCTCCAAATGTCTCAATCGTTTCACTCTTTTAGCCTGCGGAAGAGTGTCACCATCGGAATCACGAAGGTGTGGCAGCGACAGTCTGCGATGGAGAAGAGAAGGGCTCATCGGGGTTGCGGCAGCATCTTCAGCACTTGCACGTCTTTGCAACTGCCATTGACGCCGCACATCAACAAGCGGAGGAACAACAACGGCATCAAAAACAAGGCGAGAACGTTTGCGCTTCCGGCTAGTAGGACTTTCTTGAGACAACTCAGTATGTGAAGCGCCGTTGCGGCGGGGTCGCTTCTTTCCAAGAGGAGCGAAGAGGCTAGCTTCGACGGCCATTTCTTCTTCCAAGTCGCTTTCAGACGAAGATGGAAAAACGACGGACGAACGGATGAAGGTTGCAGCCGGAGATATCGTGCGGCCCTTTTTCGGTGTACCTTCGTATGGCGATTCTTCCAATGCCTGTCGTTTTCCGAGGACAGGAGAAGCCGTACTCAGACTTGATCCAGGGCTGGATCTGGCTGATAATCGCTCCATCACGGACAGAGGGAGACTGGGTGAGACATTTTCTTTGTCGTGTAACTTGGCCCTCTTGCTTGGTGATACACTGTAAGAAGACTTTGGACCCGGGGGTGTGCGCTTCGGGGTTGAAGGGGCACTCGGAGGAATAGGAAGCGTTGGGGCAGGCGGACGAAGAATAAGCGACTGATACGACTCTGGAGTTGTAACAGGCTTTTGAGGACGGGGAGGCGTGACGGTGGATTGTAGCTTTTTGATAGGTGTAGACAATGCCAATACTGTGCAAACCTGCGCAGGAGTAAGAGCTGAGCACTTGACCGAGCCGCCCAGATCTCCGAAGCGCGTGAACGACGCGGGTCTGAGTCGACCGATGATAGGTAAGTCATCAGAATCGACTTCGGATTCAGAGTCGGACTCGGATCCTGTATGCACCGTGGTACATGTCGATTCGTCGTCACACAATAGCGACGTTGCCCTGCTGGAAGACGTGCCAGAGGCAGGGTACGTGCATACAGTGGCGTCTGAAGGTGCTGGCTCCGACAGTTCACTGGAGAGGTCTTCTGGGACGTCATCTGACGAGAGACCACAGTATCGGAGACAAGCTCGGATGTCTTCAGGCCACCCCTCTTCAGGCCCGTCGCAATCAGCGAAGGAGGTAATCCAGAAGTCCCTAAATGCCTCTTTGGAGATTGGCAACACTTCACCTCGCCCACTGAAGGCAGAGTGCAAGAAAGGTGACAGAGTAGTCAGGATGTCTATTTCTCCGGGAAGGTCCTTGAGGCTCAGCAAGGCGGTTTGATACAAGGGTAACACATCGTAGATGTATTCGTCTTCCGAGAAGACGCTGCGATCGTCTGCAACCCAAATGCTGACGCCGTCTTGGATGGTTTGTAGCAAGTCCAAGATTCGATCGACGGGACACCCATCGATGATTCGGGTGAGCGTGGCTAATAACCATGTGCACGGTTTCAAGTTGCGAGGTTCCGGCGGATACGTGGAGAGCAGCGTGTCGTTGACGAAGTCGAAGACATTAGCGGGTATCTGTCTTGCGTCTCCAATTTCGAAGTGAGTAAGGAGGAGATCTGCAATCCGCGTAAAGGAAGCTTGCGCAGGACCGGGTACGCGGGCTAAATCTTCCGCAACATGGTCCAGGAGGGTCATTGCGTCCAAGCCACCGTCTCTGGCCTGGTCCATGGCATCACGAAGGAAACCATCCCATATGTTGAAGTCCTCATTATTAAGTTCCCAGGCATACGATTTGCTGTCGTTGTTGAGCAGAGAACCCTAAACGGAGGCAAAACACTCACTCGAATGGCACGCCGAGAAGCACGACGGCTCCTTCCCATGAACTCTCCGCATCCTCTCTCCACTTTTCGACGAAGCGCCGCCAAACAAGATTTTGAACGCCTGCCTCATATGGCATGAGCGCAACGGAGCGCGCCCTTCTTACCCAGAACTTGCGCAGTTCGTCGACATCGCAGACGACTAGGGTCTCAGCACAAAGATATGCCCATTGTGTCCTTGCGTTGTCAGTCGTAGCCTGTTCGGTGAGTACCTCCTCATCCTCTACCAAGTATTCAAGGATCTTGGCACCACCATTATGAAGCAGGTTGTTGGGAAAAGTAGTGCGCATAATTGCCCATAGCTCAGCGAACGATTTGGAGCTTGATCGAAGCATTTGACGGCGACGACCGTTCGAGTCTCCGCGCGTAACGATAATAAGCTCCAGGAGTTGATGGTGTTGGTGAAGTCACCCCAGCTGCCGAGGTGAAGTTGAGTGTGTGGTCACCAAGGATATCAGCCAACAAGTTTGCAGCCCGAGTACCAAAGTTGACGATGCCATTATGATCATCTGCGTCTGATGTTCTTGGTTAACTCAAGGGCTGGAACGAAAAGGGATCTTACTTACCTAACAGGAAAGCCACGTTGGCTTTCATGAGACCTTCCCATATCCCAGTGATCTCGAGCTATCTAACGTTAGCCACGCCCTCGTAGGTTGGCGATATGACTCACCGGAAGGGCATACTTCTCAGTCATCCGCAAAGAACTGAGGGCAATCTTCCAGAGTTCTATAAGTTCGTCGAACACCCAATCCCGCGACAGTTCTTCTCGAGTGAGCGAGCGAACGTCGGTGAATTGTGGGCATTCGTCGAAGATTGGTCTCACTACGCCTGACAAGCCGTTGTATTCCGCGGTGAGCAGACCCGGATTAGACGAAAAGAGGGAATGAGGTAGGAGTTTGTTCAGCGTCCACGACTGTCCGGTGTTCTCAAAGCTGACGAAAATCCTCGTAATTTCCATACCATCCTCACATGCTTGGGAACCCTTTTGGATCATACCCTTTACAAGCTCAATAGCCTTCCTCAGCCGATCCTCATCGTCGAGTTCATCGGTAATCAGCGCGGCAACAGTCGAAACACCGACGCCCATATCGACGACGGAACGTATTAGTTTCCAGAAGTTTTCCCGTGCCAGTTGGATGTCCTCGTCTTGCATACCCACTCCTTCGTTATCTTGTTTTGCGTTAAGTTCGGATCTCAGGGGCGGCCGCATGTAGGCCCATGTAATGCACCGCCATAACAAGCACCCCAAAGCCCTGACGGAGCTCTTCTTGTTGCGAATCGCGAGCGTCAACAGCGCGGACACTATGCGAGTGAGCTGGATGTCGGTGCAGAGTTTAGGGCCGAGCAGGACTATGAAGCATGCCAGCACACTGAGAGCCCATACAGGACCATGAGCTACATGGGTAGGGTCGGAAGCGTTCAGTGTTGAACGTAGGGTACGAACGATGAGGGGTTCGGGTTTCGAGGTATTTCCAGTTTTGGTGGTACGTGGAGGGGAAGCAGCCGATGTTGTCAAGAACGCAGCGACTGTGTTGGATATGCGTGTGTGCAAAACCGAAGGTGGCAAGGCAATAACTCCAAGGACGAATCCTCCGAGAGCATGACATGCTTGTGTTCGCAGTGTCAGCGTGGGCGCAAGTAGATTTGATAATATCGAAGGAAGCAGCTCGACGAAAGCGGGGACAAAGGTAGAGGGTTGGTACAACGACAGATCGTGGATGGCCTGCAATGCACCAGTCAGTGATAACGCTTGCAAGTAGAGTGCTACTTACTTTGAGACCATCGCAAGCTGATCCTTTTTTCCCTTCCTTACCAAGTTCTCCCTCCATACCGCGACGCAAGGCAAAGGCGATTCTGTCCCGCGCAGGCAATAGGACTTCTTCAGGTAATCGTTGAACTTGTAGAAGCCATATCGAGAGCGCGCATGTCTTGCGCGCGTTAGGAGTAGGCAATGCTTCGGCCATGGGGATAGCAAGGACGTGCGTTAGCATATCCCGCAGCTGCGCCTCTGTAACCGTTCAGTATTCAAACATGCAAGAGATAAAAACTCTTACCACTAAACAGCTGGTACACGGCGGACGAGGTGAATACGGCACTGAGGAGCCGGAGAACGGTGTGCGTTGTCGTGCACAAATCGCGTGCGAGTTTGACCTGGGCCGCTGACATTCCCTTTTTCTTTTTCTTGGGGCTTCTCTTGGGGGAGGGAAGGAGGGAACAAGTTTCCTCCACGTCGCATTCATCGCCACAGTCAAGGACGGGAGGCTCGTCGTCCTGTACCGTGATAGTATCGGGTTCGGTGAGTGCTCTGCCCAGGTCACGACAGATGCCGTCGACTAATGCCTGGGTATGTTTACGCAAGGGCTGGAAAAGCGGCCATGAGGCGTCGCCGTCGGTCGAATCTGTCGCGGCGGCTCTTATACGTGCATTGAGGACGGAATAAGCCTCAATGAGGTCGCGTAAAGAAGACTGCGGGTCAATTATCAGAGAGACCGGTCGCGCTAGGTACGTTAAATTGACCAGAGGGTCCTCTGGTTCTGGGGTGACCTCTCTCGTGTCGTCTTCCGGGACGGGAAGGAAAGTCTGCGAGCACTTCTTTAGGATGGACTTGGCCGGATGTTCCAGGTGTCTCGGGAGAGGTATATTGGCCTTGGGACTGGCCGTAAATGCAAAGTATTGGTTTTGCTGTGACCATGCGACACGCGAGCCGGGCAGCCTGATGTCTCGGTCGTGATGAGTCGTGCTCGGTGGTGTAGGAAGGGCCATGGCGAGGATGTCTACGACGACAGACGAGGCACGCCCAAAACGACCGACACAAGGTTCGTCGTCGTTGTCGAAGTTGAAGCCAAGAAAGCCACTCTCCATTCCAAAATTTGTTACCATAATTCATTCCGTAACGTGACCCCATTAAACGCGTCCACCGACGCGTAGTTTACATTTGTTTTGCTACACCGGTCACGTGGTCGCATCTCGTGTGCTGATCAGGTTTAAACTTTTTACGCGGACCTGCAGGCCTGACCCGAGCTCATTTATCTCTGGCAGTAATAAGTAGCAACCTTGATGCCACATGTGGCCAAACCGGTCCTGGGGACATATTCTTGTTATGATTCTTCCCTATGCCTATGTCTTGACGCACGTTTATGCACGAGCTGAATCTTGATGACTTGGATTCATCAACACAGGTGAGTGAGCTGTGACCGCGGGGACCTAGACAACCGTCAATGAGAAGAATCGAAGTCCTACTGATGGCGAGGATGCAGTTAACTCCTCCGTCTACGGGCACTCGCAGTGGCTTGCAGCTTGTAATGGGCCATTTTCCTTCACAATGGGTGGATCAGGAGATAACATTCACACCTCTTGAGTACATGCGATGAATTTCGCGTATCCGGGGCACCTCTAGACGTCTTCCAAGTTGAGTTCGTCCATCTTGAGATGCTTCCGTTGCACGCTCCTGACCAGGCAAACTGCGACCCACGGTAGATCACATACTGCCCGTGCAAAGGGACACCAGGGTGACGAATCTAGGAGATTGTTTTTCTCGCGTGTTGTCCCAGTGCAGCTGCCTTCATCACTCCAGCGAGCTGCTGTATCGCGACAGATACCAAACAGTTTTCCTTTTCACTTTCTTAGATAACACGTGTTGGCGTCCCGGAGATCCTTTTTGATTTCGTTTTTGTATCCATTGACTGGATCGGGAGTAGTAGGTGCGTGAAGACCTGATTAATCTAATGAGACAATTGACCTAATATCGCTCTGAAAAACCGTCGTTCTGTCGTTCATAACAGGACCAGAACTCTACATTCGGCAGCCATGACGGACGTTCGGGCTTGAGTGTCCCATACGCCGGAAGACTGTATACTGGGCAGCTCACTACAACGAGGTTCATCTGTCGCCTGTGGATGTACGCAAGCTATGCTCCATATCATTCTAGCGGGTCTTCGGGGATCTGCGTGTTCCACTGCCTTGCCGGACGACTAGACATCTGGTACGAATGGCATTGACACACTTTCTACATCCTAATCGGTTCCTGAAAACCCTTAGTTCTTGCTTGATTATATGCACCAGCTATGGAATCGCTCCGGTCCTGCGTCTGTCGTCACCTCCCTCGGAAGCTGACCCTTCAATATAAAGGGAAGGAAAGAAGACAAAGAAAGCGATCGTACCTCAAGGTGAATTTACACGCCTCAAGTCATTGATAAGTACCACCCCTGGCAGTAGAGCTCTGTTTCCGTCCCAAAAATGGCTCGTCTTGTACTCTCGTTTCATCGCTTTACTTCCGCCGCGTACATCCATATTAATCACGCCGCAGCAACGTCCATACACACGGTCAGATACACTCATAAACGATGGAGTCCGCCAAAGCCATGCCTCGTCGGTTTATCGGACATTATTCTGAACACATCATGACCCTCATTCCTATCCTTAGCATCAACACCAAAACCCATATCCTGTCCTACCCGAATCAAATGACCCAACAACTTGATGGCGAACGAGAACGGAAAAAATGCCATGCACATACAGTGGCGTCGGAACAAAGCCTGGACATCGTTCTCGCGATGACGTCGTACTTCCCTGCTTATATCTATGTTTGTGCTGATTCATTGCCTCCGGTCTTTGATCAGCGGGCCCGCAAGCGCTGGTCCCCGTCCTGATCAGACCATGTTTAGACGAACCAGTTTTGAAAGTCTCAAGGCCTACGAGCACCCAGGTGCAATCATACCCACTCGAAAAGTTGACCTCACGGAGGCTTGGACACTTGGGAGTATGAACTCTCCGACCACTACTGTTGCGAGGAATTCCAGTTTGCATAGTACGTTTAGGACACACCTGCGCTCGTATACTAGCAAGGCCGACCTTGAGTTCGACCAGCCTGCGGCGTGTTTGATCGATACAGCCTAACATCTGCACTAACTGAAATGAAGTTGGCCCGTCACGAGTTTCCGTCAGTGGCAGAGGCTGTAGCACAGATCAGGGGACTGGCTATGTCATCACTGGTCCTCTCGTGCAAGTCACTCGACCCACAAAACTGGAACGACGAAGATCTCGAAAACTTCTTTCCCCTTTCAACGACTGCTTTCGCTACAACAATCGGCTCCTGGAGACAGTGGCGGCTACAAGGGAGTCTACAAGGAAGAGGATTGGATTGAGTGGCGATGTATCATTGCCTCAACCGCTGCGGAGGCGGACCCTAGTCCAACCGCGCGCCTACTGTAGTCTGTCACTTACCATGAGGATGGTATTGGTATAACACTGACTACGGTTTTCTGATGAGCCAACTTGGACCCTGCATAGCTATGTACTAGCATCCATGACTGGCAAAGGTTTGTCACATGCGTAAGCACTTGCTATGCAATTCATGTTCTGGGGGTCAATGATCAAGGCGTGCTATCAGAAGCTGTGGAGTTGAAGCGTCACACATGCACTGGCCAGTGCCGCTGCCACTGTCCATTGGGTCGTGTCAAGTGTGGACGCTGGCACACGTCTGGATTGAGTCTAGAAGCAACAGGAAGGCATGTCCATATATGTCATCGTTAGCCGGAACACGGGAGCAAAGGCAGTGTGTGGTCATGCGGAACGGTCGGATCCGGCTATCATCGTACACGTTACACTTCATAATTAATATACTGTCCACCCTCTCCCTGGCCTACAAATACCTGGGCGGACCACACCACAGCTGTGAGACACCTCTCTCTCGAACACCTTCCACTTCCTTTACTTACTACCTTCCCAAGATGATGTTCACGAAGTCTTTTATGTCCTCATTCTTCGCTCTCATGTCCCTCCTTGCACTGGCGATGTCCGTGCCTGTCCAGAAACGAGATGTCTTCGTCCCGCCGGTCCTCGATCCTCACCAGGGGACCGTTTGGTACGTTGGACAACAAGCAGAAGTCGTCTGGTAAAGCTTTTACTTTATCGATGGTGCAATCGAGCGACATCACTGACACGATTCCTAGGGACACGAGTAACGCCCCTGCACAAATCACAAATTCAGAGGGACAGATTTATCTCGTCGTAAACAACCTCATCGATTTCGGTGGGTTCTCTCCCAATTTGGCTAAGTGAATTCCATCTGAAGGTTACCCCAGACTACTTGTTGGCCAATGATTTCAATATTCTCGATGGGAGTGTGATGGTCACAGTACCGGACGTGCCGACTGGCATTTATGCCATCGTCTGTAAGTTCCTATTTACTCGATTCCTTTCAGTCGCTATGTATACTAAACGGTGCATTGCAGTGTTTGGTGATTCTGGCAACTTTAGCCAGAACTTCACCATCATAGCGTGATCCCATGCACGTTCCTTGCAACTTTATCTCTCTGAACGATTTCATGAACAAGTGATGAAGGACTTCTGTTTCGTTTACCTACTCAGGACTTGGCTTCATACATTAGGACAACAAATACAATGCATCCGGAACATTTAGCAATGGACTTCTAACCCCCTTTCGCATTCTGCTGTACGTATATGGACTAGGATCCCGGACCATTCTGCTACTACAATCCTCAGTTACTGTAATCACTGTACGATATTCTAGCTGTTGAATGATGTACCACCTACTTGCCTGGGTCTCGATAGCCGGTCTTAATGCCACTTGGCACCGGCAAACTAGCCAATACAACTGTAGCCATTTCTCAAAACAGACAACCACAAGTCTCGACGGCCGTAATAACAGACATGAAATGTGAGGTGATCATCGTGCTCCAGCACTGAATTCATCAACGACTAGCATTTGGGTTTGCATCGTCGACCCGTTGCAACTGACATTACCCGAACTCAATAGCAATAGTACCCGCTGCCTAAAGAGCTGTTTACCCCACAGATTTCACTGCAGCACTGTCCAGGGTCACTGATGTCACATGGAGAGTCTGTTGGTATGCATTGTTGCTGTTTTTATTTATCAGCTCCGAACGACGAAGAGAAGTGCTTGCTGACGACTTACTGTACACGTCCCGACTTCCGGAACATCACTCGACGTTTGCGTGCAAGCGCCACTGCAGCAGAGGCTGGGCACGGACGTGAGGCAAGTCGTGCCCAATGCAAGACACGGTAGGCAAACTTGAACGGGCGCCTGTCTCTTTACGTTACGGAGAGCGTGAATGTCTGGGGTGACAGCACTTCCGACTGCGATAGTCACCAGGGCTGCAAGTGTAGCAGAAAGGAAAGGAACGCGCATGCTGAGAAACAGGCTGAAACCTTTGGAAAGCCTATCATACAAAGGAAGTACATTTCTTATACTCTATCCATTCCTCGGTTCGCGGGCTGTCACAGTCATCCGGCGCGTACATTTCAAACTAAAGGTAACCGATGGCCTCTAGACCAGATCGGTGAAAACTAAACGCTCAAAAAGTACGTACATGTTTAACTTTTCGATGAGTGCTCATGGACACCCTTCTAGAATACGATTTTGGCATCAGCAAAAAGGGTGCGCTATGCGCTTGCTGAGTTTTTCAATATTTAGAACATTTGGCTGGGCAAAGTCGAGGTTACCGATTTGAAAGCTCTAAAGTTAACCGACAGCCTTGCCCCGAAACCTAAGTACTCAAACGAACGCTCAATCTACCTGTCTTAAGCCGATAGCAAAAAAATGAATACATCAAACGATATTTGAGGATGACTGAAAACTTTCGCAACTCGGCCTGTTAAATGATAGTACAACTTCAAAGATATTTCAGCAATCTAGTGAGTCGTTACGGAGTCCAATTTTCTTCCTTTCGTTGCGTGAACACGACAAGTACTGCATATAACGGACACGCTCCAAGCAGGATGTAACTTACTGACTTAGCAATAGGTCCCACTGCTGAGTCGTCGTAATCAGATTTCTTTCTCAATGACCGCCGCCGCAGCCATCAACTTTGATTTCATGATTTACCAATACTATTCACCTCCACTGCAATAACCGACAGGCCAAACAACGTAACAAGCAAAGCTACATACTCGTGAACACCGTAACCATAACTGCCGTTAAATTCCTTTGCTCCAAGATGAATCTTGGTGTTAGGAATTACTGTCCAGCTAATTCAGAAGGTTCAGCAATGAATGAATTCCTTCTAACTCACCACACACAAGTAAGGACCACCATTGGTGCTAACGCAGCTACCACTGCAGCAGTTGCTGTTCGAAGTGCATGCAGTGCCTGTTGAATAACACTGTACATACCACATTGAGTTTCATAAGACGTCGTGTTTAACCCGCAACTCACGGAACATGTTCCTGCATTCAAGAGAATAGAATTTGCGGCTGATGCGCATACACCAGAGCAGCAAAGGTTGGGCAAGGTCACATCGCAGACTTTGGCCTGGGGAGAACAAAGGCAGGTCTGCCGCTCTGTCAGGCCACCGAGGCCCTCAGCATTTCGGCTGACGGTGCCACCGACCACGAGAGTAGCCAAAGGCATGACGAGGAAAGCAAGCTGAGGAAGACGCATATTGGACAACGAAGAGGTTGGATGGGTGTTGGGGTATGAATTTAACATTTCCCCCGTCTGCTTTATACCTTTCAGTGTTCGGCTCGTGGCCTTTAGTAACGTTGCAGGTGGTCTGCCAGAGCCTGTGACAGGGTTACGATTAAGCCTATGACGCTGCATCTGTAACATTAAACAAACAAAAATAAAATAGCCGATTGCGCGACTTTTGCAGCACTGCGCAACTTAAAAACAGTGACCCGCAATTTTTGCAGTCACCCCTCCATTTTTTTTTTCGAGTGGATCAATAAGACGTTTTATCATAATATGAAGATACCCATACTACAGCTCAGAGATCTGACTACCTCGAGTAGACCTGTGGCAGACGGAAGTATAAGTAGGACAAGGAAGAGCGTGGGGGGCGTGTCCTCAGAGCCTTGCGTTAACTGCGTGGAGGACGCATTCTCTGCGCCGCGCTTCTCGTACACCTTCTGGAAAAGGCCTAGCGAAACTTGTTGAGTCTCGCCGATCTTCTCCTCGATTTGCTCGGCAGTGACAGAAGCATCGCCGGGAGGCCTTTCGAGGCCAATTCACTAAGTTCGCCAGCGAGTTTCGACACCTTCTCCCTCTCGGCAGCATCAAGCTGCTCCTTGAACTCGTTCATTGCTATCACAGGTGCGAATCAATGCGGGAAAGTGAAGCACCATGTAGTAAATACGTACCCTTCTCTGTGTCGACACAGACTGACTCGCCCTTGTTTGCTTCCTCGATGAGTTCCCAACGGGCCTTATCCACATCGGCATACTTCTCAGCGTCAGAGATCATGCACTCAATGTCCTTGTCGCTCAGACCTGACAAAGACGCGATCGTCATAGACTGATCCTTGTTGGTTGCCTTATCCTTGGCGGTGACGTGGACGATATCATCTACAAGGGATGAGGAAATTATCTGAAGACCTGTATAAAAGACATACCAGCATCGATGTCGAAAGTGATCTCAATTTGAGAGACGCCCTTCGGGGCCGGAATACCGACGAGATTGAAGTTGTCAAGGAGTTTGTTGTCCCTGACGAGTTCACGTTCACCCTGGAAAATCTTGTCCTCAATGGCGGTCTGGCCATCGGCAGCGGTAGAGAAAACTTGCGACTTCTTCGTTGGGATGGTCGTACTGCGGTTGATGAGTTTTGTCATGATACCATCGAAAGTCTCAATGCCGAGGGAGAGTGGGGTGATGTCGAGAAGTAGAATGTCGGTGACATTTCCGGCGAGAACACCACCCTGGATAGCAGCACTAATGGCAACGGCTTCATCAGGATCGACACCTTTACTCGGCTCACGACTGAAGATCGACTTCACGGACTCACCGACCTTAGGCATGCGGGTCATACCACCAACGAGGAAGACTTCGTTCACCTCACTAGACTTGACTCCAGCATCGGACAACGCTTTCTTGCAGGGATCAACGGTACGTTGGATCAGAGGGCCGGTAAGGGTCTCAAATTGAGTGCGGTTCAACTTCAAGTTGATGTACTTTGGACCGGTTGCGTCCGTGGTGATGAATGGCAAGTTAATTTCGGTCTGCGTCGTGGATGATAATTCAATCTTGGCCTTTTCGGCAGCCTCACGAATGCGCTGAATGGCCATGCAGTCTTGATTGAGGTCAATGCTCGACTCTTTCTTGAATTCGTTGAGGATGTGGGTAACAAGAGCGATGTCAAAGTCCTCGCCACCAAAGTGGGTGTCTCCATTGGTGGACTTGACCTTGAAGACTCCTTTGTGCATCTCCAGGATGGAGATATCAAAAGTACCACCGCCAAGATCGTACATGGCAATCACTGATGATTCGGTACGATCAAGGCCATATGCCAGTGCCGCGGCCGCCGGCTCGTTGATGACTCGAAGAACCTCAAGGCCAGTGATTTGACCAGCGTCCTTGGTGGCCTGCCGTTGCGCATCGTTAAAGTATGCGGGGACCGTAATGACCGCATGACTAATAATAGTAGTCAACACTGGGGGACTCCTAACTAGTATACGCGCAACTTACTTGACTTTCTTGTTGAGATACTGCCTGGCGGTCTCACGCATCTTGGTAAGTACCATGGACGATAACTCCTCAGCACTCTAGAAAGTATATTAGTTCTCTTACTGATCCAGAGGGGTGAAAAGGCATACGAATTGTTGTCTCTCGCCACCGATGTCAACCTCGACAGCTGGTCGAGCATCTTGAACACCCTGCAGATGATATAAGATGCTTTCCTATTTAACAATTGTCGCATGTACTAACCAGTGCTTCATGTCCTCCTGGACCTCCACGTCCTTGAACTTGCGGCCGATCAAGCGCTTAAATGTGAAGACAGTTCTGGTGGCGAGTGGACCAATGGATGGAGCTTGGTGCGGTGAAGGGCAAGAGCAGTGAATTTCTGTATCTTGGTCTTCAAGCCGGACGAGGATGGGGGCAACTCCGGGCAAGCGAAAAAGCAGGTGATAAAATGAGTACGAAGAGGCATCAAATTGAAACATGTTCATGGCTGTAGTATTCGTCTTGTCATGCGATGGGCTGTGTCGGTGGTGGTTTCGACGAAAATATGATATGGGAATCCAATGTCGACCGCAGGTGCCCGCACTCGCACTGGTAGTTGGTACATAGCAAGTCGTGTTGCGGTATATCCGTCTTCCTCGGGCTCCTTGGCACTTGCATCGTTGGTAGTCTTGCATGGATTCACGACGACGAGGGCAGTGGAGCTGATTCTAGTGCAAGGTAAGTCCGCACCTGTGGGCCCGTGACCGTGGGAAATGGTGTCGCACTACTGAGACAGTGGCGACACACCAGCAATGTCGATGCCGTGGACATGAGCTCCATCGCCCAGCTAGCGTTCCTGCCCCTTCCACAGCCCAGCCTTGGTAGATGGCCAGCTAATATCCAGACCGCTCATGGAACCATCAAGAAAGTGTACGATCAAGCTCTTTATGTCCTGCGATCTGATAGTTTTCCGGATCCCACTCGGGTTTCATTCCACATAGACGCACTCACTTCAACTGCACTTCCCATCCTCGAAGCACTTATCCCTAGTGGTGCTAGTCATGAGGACGAATCTCTGCCTCAGGAGTGGTTGGTGGGTGTCGCAAGGCTCATTGGGCAGGCAGTGCAAGATCTTCGGGACGTGGCACAGGTTGTTAATATGTTGTATGTCCGATTTTCTGTCGGTGAATGGCGCTTGACTTCTTTTCAAGTGAATGGCGAGAGGTTAGTATACCTGAGCTTGTAACGGAGTCCAAGAATGGTCGGCGCGGACGGCCTCAGAAGTCTGTATGCCCTGACTTCCTTACTGAGGTTGTCACCGATAATAGCCGTCACATCAGTCTCAGTGAACTTGCTCGCATCCTAGGCATTAGCCGCATGACACTCTGGCGAACTATGCGGAAACATGGCCTGAAGCGGAGCTACACCGTATTGAGCAACGATGACTTGGATGTAGTTGTGAGGGCGTTCAAGAAACACAAACCAGAGTCTGGATTCCGCTATTTACTCGGACACTTACGCCATCATGGGATTCGAGTCCAACAAAAACGAATATGGCAGTCATTGTCTCGCGTTGATAGACTAGGTCAGCGGTTACGTGAACATCGTGTTATAAAACGCAGGGTGTATCGTGTCAAGAGGTCAAATGCGCTCTGGCACATTGACGGACACCACAAACTCATCCGATGGGGATTTGTGGTCCATGGAATTATTGATGGTTACTGTCGAACGGTGTGTCGCAGCGCTTACTGACATGTTTGATTGACCTTACGCTTTCAACAGATTACTGGTTTATGTGCCAGTACAGACAACCTCGCATCAACCGTTTTCAATGTATTCCTCAATGCACAGGCAGAGTATGGAATGCCATCACGTATGAGAGGTGATCGTGGTGGTGAAAATATCGACGTGGCTACATACATGGTAGCTGTCCGAGGTCCCAACCGTGGATCATTTATGTGGGGATCGTAAGTCACAACTACGCGCCAATGGCTGTCTTTTTGATGTCATGTACTACAGGTCTACCCGAAACTCGAGGATTGAACGCGTGTGGGTCGAAGTTGGAACTCAATTTGTACGCCGCTGGCGGGGATTTTTTTCTCGGTGTGAAAGACTTCACTGCCTTAATCCTGGTGACAGCAGTCACCTGTGGCTCATTCAAAGGCTCTTTCTTCGGGAAATTAATGATGATTGTGAGGACTTCCAGTGCGAATGGAACCTTCATCCAATTAGCGGGCCAACGACCAATAATAAAAGTCCACAGGTGTGTGAAGCATATCATTTTAAGGATGGGCCGCACTCAATTTTACTGACATATCCACAGGATTTACGGCTTATCAGTAATGTCACGCTAGGAGAATACTACGACGAATATGAGGGGATCCATCCCCTCACTATTGAGCGATATTATGGCGTTCACGGCCATGTACGGGTTCGGCGGAATGGCCAAACGGGTGCGGGCCATTGCCCCGACGAGGAGCCAGAGGCCGATGACGAAGAAATTGCCACAAACGAACATAATGGTATTCTGAGAAGGGTTGGAGCTGACCTCCAGGAGCAAGTGCGCCATGAAGCAGTGGAAGTTCCTGGCAAAGGATCACCTTTCGCATGTGTCAAAGACGAGGCAGAATTTTGGTCAGTGCTTGACCGCGTTGTCATTGAAGATATCACACCAGCAGGGTATGGAGATGATCATGGGTCAGAAGGTGATGAATCAACAGAGGAGCACATCGCAATTGGTCGGCAGGGAACACGGTTTGTTACAGTATCATTAGCAGAGCCCATATGGGCAAGACGGGCAAAAACCTGGTGTCAGGCACTCGCCGTTCTAACTCTCTTCGATGCAGATGGTTATTTTTGATCCCCCCCTAGTCATACATGCAATGTATTTACTGTACATATGGTCATGGTCAATTCAGTGGTTGTCGAGTTGAGCACAAGCACAACACTACCGGCTTAGTCAACATTAGACAGACACATCAGAACTCAGAGTCCTGCCTCGAGCTTCAGTCTTCACTCACTCCTTCTCTCGTTGCCGGTAGTTGGTCCAATCCCTCCATGCCAGATGTCGACGAGCGGCTCTGCTGCTATTTCGATGAGAACGGAAAACAATGCAGTTGCAGGATGTTTACCGCACCTGCCAACAAGAATGCACGTTATCACTGTCGTGAGTGCATGCATGGTTTCAGTAATCACCCGGAAGCACAATTTAGCAACAAATCCCCGAAATTGACTATGGATGTAAAGGTAGAGCCTGCAACCGGCAACCGGCTTTTGGATGTGTTCCATCAACGGAAGACATCTCGCACTATGGAGTTGCCTAACTCCCTCCAGCATGTGCGTGAAGAGGTCCTGAAAGGATTCCGTGCTGGTAGCAGTGGGACACAACGAGTTACATCAACTAAAATTAAGGTGCGTTGGACCACTTCCTAAGCCAGTGTCCATACTCCAATATTGATGATCACAGAAACCTAACTCTACTGGGAAGCGGGTCCCATCTGGTAACCATGATGGGTCCCAGCAGGATGTTTTAGTTGGAACGTGGCTACTACTGATCAATGCATTGGATGAGGTATGTGCTATTGAACTAGCTCCTAACAAGTATTAATCACAGATATACAGGCAGGTGAATTGATCCAGACAAAACCACTGTCGAGAACAGAAATGTACACAGCAGAACATCGGCAGTGTGTGCACACTGGTGCCAATGCGGCCAAATTCGCATTCCGGCGGGACTGGACTCACGACGATGTCGACAAGTACCTCAGAGAACACGTTTTCCCGCGTCCGATGGAGTATGCACTTATGCACAAGAAGGGTAAAAGTAAGGCGAGCTGTTGTTGGAAACTCGCCTTCAAGGAGAAACAACGATTCGGACTCGCAGTGACCGAGGACCTTCCGACTGGCCAGGATCTATTCTACTATCGAGGACGGTTTAAATGTGGCACAGATTCGAGCATAATTATAGGTATGAGTTATGCCTTCCACCTGTTAAACTACTAATATATCAACACAGCATTGTGCGGTCATGTCCCGGAAGAGGAATATGCGTCTTGGGGTCTAAGACAGCATCAGGAGAGTAGTGAATTCCAGCCAGCAAAGCTTCGAGAGAGTAGCGACTCCATCCCTCCAGCAGCCTCAAGTGAAGACTCCGAAGACAAACGGACAATATTTGAATCCATGATGCGGAAGCAGGGACGCAGTCAGCACCCTGGTACGATGACCAGAACCCTGTTCTAATCACAGCTGACCTCTGAATTTTCCCCTCTGTGCAGACCAACCAAAAGGGAAACGAGGCCGATATCAATCACCGGTAATCGAGATCGAGAGTTCAACTGACTCTACTCAGCCACCGCCCAGCACCCAAGTTCCTCGCATCCATGGTGGATCCATCAGGCCATCAACACGTAAGTCCCATTTCTTTGTTTTTGACATGTGCTCACACCGCAACAGTTTTTCTCCCATCAGGCGACAGTGACTTATTGGATGTGGCTGACCTCCCGACTCAATTGAAGGGTCTCTCGGTTTCTCCACCTCCACCCACATTCGTTGGCCAGGCGCCTCTCGCCACTGTGAATCGCTATGTCTCGTTGCCCCCCAAATTTTTACAGGATCTTGATCCCTTTGGATCACTGGTCAACTCCCCCCTCTTACACCCGTATGTAAATCCGTGGTCACCTGATTATTTCCTTGGTGCGGCCGACTACTTTTGATTTGGAGGTAACATGCTATTGAGTATGAATGGTCATCCACTTACATCTAACCGTAATCCACATTCATGTCTATGGAATTTTGAGGTACCACCCACATTCGTTTAATCAGCATTCATGTCGACGCAGTTACATCCTGTAATCACTTGTCCCCAGCATCAATATACCGTTGATCTCGAGGCTTAGCCCTCTTCGCAAATATTGTTGTGGTTTGTTTACTCCTGTCAGCGGAGCCAGCCACATGTCCTGCTCGTCGACGCAAGTCCAATCCCTCTGCAAAGTGATGGATGACCAAACCCAAACCATGCCCATGCGACGACATCACATGTTCTACTACGAAGACGGAACCCATATCTTCCAGGTGAGTTACCTAGCATCGTAGTAACATCTATCAGGCTGTTTACAATACATCCAGGCTCAAAGTTCACTATTCAAAGTCCATAAGAGTGTTCTCTCCGACAAATCCATCGCCTTTAAGTCTATGTTTGCTGCACAAGACAGTACCGGACTTCCCCAAACTGATGGACACAGCGACGAAAAACCAATTATTGTGCCTGATCAAGTCTCCGACCTAGGATTTGAACTGTTTCTGTCCGTGTGCTACAACAAGTAGGTCGATCCGTATGCTGCCATTGAAAATATGCTATATATTGATGTTGTTATTTCAGATGGCGCCCAGATACTTCACAGGCATCCGAGACCACCCTTCTTCAGCTCCTTGAGCTTAGTCGCATGTATGAGTCCAAGGACGTCCGTGAACACGCCATCAAGCAACTCGCCTCTCGCCGCTATACCATCAAACCTATCACACTGATCTCCATTGCCCTAAAATATCATATCAAGGACATCTTCTGTTACGCATTCAGACGGCTCATCCCAAAGCCTATAAACGAACTCAACCACGCCGATTATGAGCTTCTTACTGTCCCTGTATGGATGACGCTCCTCAGAGTCAAGGAGCGACTCGAACTCCACCGCCGTATTGTGGCATGTGAGCCACCACCTATGGTGCATTCGCCGTGTTGCCAGGACCACAAGAGGTGTGTTGACGACTGGCGCCAAGTATGGTGGAATGGCATGGGCCGGTACTTGCTTGATGGTCGTAGTCCTCAGCCATACAACTCTGCGGTCAAGCAATTTGAAGGTCTTAGCTATGGGAGTGTCGACCCCGAGTGTTGGAGAGTGATGCTCGCTCTTGTCAAGGAGGGGAAGGCATTTCAGCACGAAGATGATCTCATTTACCGCACAGCTCGGGGACTGGCAGAGTACTTGATCCACGAACCCTTCTTCGGCGATGATATAGACATGTGATCCTACAGTTGTACATCTAGTGTCGTGGCCATCCACCCAAAAAATCACAGGCCATATATATTTAAAGTATTAATGACTGCAAAAGTTGCGGGTCACTGTCTTTAAGTTGCGCAGTGCTGTAAAAGTATGACGCTGCATCTGTAACATTAAACAAAAAAAAAATAAAACAGTTGATTGCGCGACTTTTGCAGCACTGTTCCTGCGCAACTTTTTATACTACCCCTGCATAATTTTTAACACAGCCACCTTGTACCACTTTGCACTAGCTAGGAGGGCAGATAAAATAGATAAACGTAGGCAGGACGTGAACGCAGTTCGTCGGCACCCTCCCCAGTCATCCCGCCCAATCCACGAGGCCGTGATGCCCCACAGGGCCCGCTCGAACGCTCGACCCCCTCCCCCGCCCCTCCCGCCTGGTGGCGGGATTGCTCCTTCGGGAAATTCACACGGCATCGCCACCTGCAAATTCATGTGACCGCACTCCGCGCCACAAGTCATCACTGGCCTAGCGTATTTAGGCCCATTTCTTGGCAAATACCCATTATTACATGGGTTATGTACAGTAGCATCGAAACGAGTCCCGAGGAACGGGCGAGGAGTGCGTGTAGCCCTGACTCACTCGCTCCCCCGTGCACGTGCCCTGCTTAGTCAGTAGCTGTGGGCACAGCCACCTGCAAATTTTCTGCGCATTACTGCAAAAGTCGCGCAATCAGCTGTTTTATTTTTGTTTGTTTAATGTTACAGATGCAGCGTCATATAAAAGTTGCGCAATCGCCTGTTTTATTTTGTTTGTTAATGTTACAGATGCAGCGTCATATAAGCCTAGTTGAGCTAAGACTAAAATACACAGGCGTCAAGAAAAGGTTTTATAATGGCGCTCAGCTTAGCGCTCATTCGTATGTTATATGTACATACTTTGGACCATTTTATCCAGAAGAAGTCGAGCCTTGCAATGCCGGGGCAACAGATGGGGATAGCATACATACATCCTTCTGCAAAAAGCCACGATTTAGTCGCAAATTAAAGGGGTTAAAGCTCAGCACATTACGGGGAACGTGCATAATGATGGGTAAACTTATCCAGTGCTACATGGGATTCTGTTATTCGGCCTGACCTATGATCACATGTGAGCACACGGGGAACGCCTATGTACATATTTGTCTCTAACTTACAAAACTTCCATTACAAGATAAGGTGCTGTTTGATGGAACCACCAGAGGCTAGGGGAGGTCGCTGACTCTTGGGTTCGTGAAGAAACACTTTTGACCGTCCATACCGAGACTTGCATCTTATCTAAACTGGAAAACAAAGTAAAGCCTTGCAGTTCAGTGGATATGTAGGGTCAATATGCAAGCCATCCGCCCAAGGTGTAATTTCATGATTCGGAGTGAGTTGGAAACAGTTAGTTCCAACAGCCAATTCAGTCCTGGTGCCCTTGGATTCACGTACTTAGACTGCCACAAATACCACACACATCTGTAAAATGGTCGAATTACAGCATACACTTTGGACGGCTTTTTGAATTGTTTGAGAGCTCGGCACGCACTGTTACTTCACCGGGTAAACGCTAAGCGTCAAGTTGGCCAGCCAACTTGACGCTTAGCTTTTGCAGATGCAGGGTCCTGCTCTTGTTTAGTAATGTTTGCACACCACGACAGATCTTGAAGCTTCGCTTCATCCACCCCGGTAATGCCGGGAGTTCCCCAATGCAAATGAACTTGTAGCGTAGGCCATGGAATTGCCCTTATCCAATTGGTATACATTGTTGCTGTTTTTATTCATCAACTCTGAACGACGAGGGGACCACTCACTGAAGACTTACTGTACACTTCCCAGTTCCAGGCACACCGCTTGGGGTTTGCCTGCAGACACCACTTCAGCAAAGGTTGGGCACGGGCGCTAGGCAAGTCGTGCCCAATGAAAAACACGGTAGGCGTACATTATGGGCAGCATCGATGTCTGGGTTAATAGCACTGCTGACAGCGACAGCTACCAGGACTGCGAGTATACGAGAAAGCGGGAAAAGATGCATGCTGATGGTCAATACAAGAGTTTCAGTCCTTGGGAAGCCTACAAATGAAAGACGACTCAGTGCAGCTCTTTAATACCCCGTTTGCAGTTTCGATGCTCCCTTCCAGCGCGGTCACCATCATCTACGCGTATCGAAGAAACTTGCTCTAAGTTAACCTACGACCTTAATGATCCCGGGCTAATACTTAAACGGTTGCTGACAACAGTATGCTCATGAGGCCCAACCTGTGATCACTCTAGCCCGGCACGTATGTAGGAGCACTTACCTGAAGTGCTTCCCCTATGGTGCCCTTACTAGTTGGCTGCACTCTGCAGTGATTTGGGAGCAACGTGCTCCCAGCGGGTTCGGTTTCACTGTCTCCATGACACTACATGGTCTCAAGGTGGGGGGAGATGAGAGTACCATCTTCTGTTTTGAGGTTACCCTTCTACTCGGAGTCTTGGGTGTGAAGCACTCGGTGTTGACAGGGAAAGCACCGAACAGAGCTCGAGGTAGTCACCCCTTCCGAATCTTATTAGTATGTTTGCATTGTGATCAGAATAGGGTCAGACTCAAGCTGCGGTAGTAATGTTCTCGTGGGTTCCTGTCCTGCATTGTGGTGCTTTAGTCTAAGATGTGTTCAGCGACTCCGAATGACATGGACGTCAGCGCCAGCTGATTGACCATATTTGGTAATACTGCACTTGTACCCGACTCTCCAGCAAATATGCCGCGTCGAGCGCGTCCGTCGAATCGAGCACCCTCAAAGTCGAAAACACCTGCATCGTCGGTGAGCGCGTCACCTATACGGCCGACCGCGTCATCACGCTCTCCATGGAACCCACAACACACGAAACAAGCGCGTCCAAAAGCTGTGAACTTTTTCGAATCGAAGAGGGATGGCGGTGTACTAAGTGGTCACAATGGTAAGGAAAGCCAGGAGGAAGAATCCGATACCTTTGGGAATGAGGATGATGAATCATACGAGTCTACGTCGTCGTCGTCATCAGATCCAGGGGACAGTGAGGATGATAGTGGATCGGAGGGAGAGGAGGAGGAGGAAGAAGAAGAGGATGCAGATGCAGATGCACCACGAATATCTCAATGGGTCGATGATGAGATGATAGATGGTACCGGTATCTCTGGAGGAGAGTCTGACTCGGAAGGAACCCATAAGGCTAAGGCGAATGTGCAAATGGTATTTTTCTTTTTACCTCTTCTGCAATGCTTTTTGGGGGTGTTATCGATAGACTGACATGTATTTGTGCCAATCTTCAAGCGGTCTCTCCAGGATGGTAAGTTTCGTTGTGGGATCGACTTATCTCTTCCATGTTCACTATTTCTCTTTTTCTTAATATCAGATTTGTCGACGTTTCCGTTGGGAGTACTACGCAAAGCACAACATTCACTAGGCCAAGCTCAAGCACTCGGTGATTCAGACTCTACCGTGTCTACTTCAGAAGGCGAGGAAAGCGATATCGATGACAGTAAACCCTTCCCGAGCACTTCCAAAGAAAAGGACGATGAGGAGGGTCCCAAAAGACAGAAAAAAGAACTAGCTAAACGACCGCACAAACATGCGTAAGTCCCCTCCCCCCTTGTATAAGGCATGCGGTGATGATCCCCCTGTATAGACCAACGGAGGTGTCATCTAAGCGACCGGTCACTCGGCGTAGGACGGTTGTGGAAGATAATACCCCAGTGAGAGCAACACGATCCAACCTTCCGGATCTTTTCCCCTCATCTTTTATCTTCTTGGTTTAGAAACCAAGAGACCCTCGCTTTCTGCACGTAACTGGTAAATACGACGAAGAAAAATTTCGAAAACAATACTCCTTCCTTTCCGCACTACATACCGACGAGCTCAAGACTCTCCGGGAGAATTACAATACTGCACGCAAGCTCCTAGCAAACTCACCTCGCGACCTACGCCCAGCCCGCGAAGAGGAGGTCAAGCGACTTGAGCTGGCCGTGAAGCGAGCCGAGAGCGCTGTCAACCGGGATACGAGGGAGAAAGTGGAAACGGAGGCGCTTCAGAAGGTGGCGCAAGCTGAGAAGCAGAAGAGGGAACAGGGTAAAGGGGCCTGGTTCATGAAACGATGTGCGTCGCCGCATCTCCTCTTCTCCTTTTCGGGGCGGGGGGCAGTTGTATTATTAGTCCCGTTCCCCATGTGAATGTGGCACGACTTATGACAACCTGTTTACAGCTGAGAGGAAAGATTTACTAAACAAAGCTCGCTACGACGCTATCGCTGCCTCCGGTGGGAGTCAAGCGGTCAAGAAGGCTATCGAGAAAAAGCAAAAAAAGATTAGCCAGAAGGAGAAGAAATCTAGACCATTTGCCAAAGGCGCGTTCGGTCAGGGTGCAATTGCTAGTGGGAACACGCCAGGACGTAAACGCTCAGCAGGGTCGGCGGACGCCACGAACAAGGGTAGTACAAAGCGTAGGAGAGTGGCTTGAGGTGGCTCGACGGCTGCTAGACCGTGTACATACATACGTACACGTACAAGGGGAACGTGCATTGCATTTTAGCTTGATGGGTAGCACTACCTTATCAGGTCTGGACCATGTTAGTCTTGTCGCAGGTATCTCAATTCTGACAGAACCCAAATCCGATCGCACGTTGCGATGTTCTAGACTGATTATTTTTCTTTGCATTGGCATTCAAACGAGTCAATCGCGGAAAACAATTATCCATTGATTGTATCGTAACTTTGTTTTAGGATCTGACTGCTACTTATTCTCTGTTTCTGTCTCTTTCCTTCAGGGGAGTGGAGGGAAAATGCACGTGTAAGAAAGAAAAAAAAGAAATTGCTTTTCATCGCATCAAGATGGCGTGTGTTGATCGGGTACTTTAGTGGTTCGGGGGTATGTCGCCGAGGGAATAAGGAGTAGGAACCGTGGATCTATGAAGAATGGGGATTACGAAGTAGAATGCGGAACAGAGGAAGACGAGAAAGTCGGTAATGATGCCGGAGCTGCTGCGCAAGCCTGGACAGTGGAAGGAGCTTCCGACTCATCAGGCACTATGGGTATTGTCGTTGTAGTGGAGGGCGTGCCAGAGAGAATGTCTTCTTGCTCGTATAGCCGCAGATAAACGCCGAGGTGGATCTGTGCCAGCCGTGCCAACCGCTCTGCGAGCAAGTGGATTTCGTCAGCGAGAGGTTCCATGCCGGAGGCGAGCCCAGTAGAACTACTGGACGATGACGACGACGACGACGAGAGCGGCGGCGCCCCCTGGGTGGCCGACCCCAGTGTTGTTGCTTCGCTCGGAGGGAATGCCAATGCAACCACTTGGCTGAACACCGCGTCGCGCACCTTGTTCTTGAGCATGGTACTCAGAGGCGAGTTTGGTCGGATGTGAGTATCAGACCACCCCTCGGCAAGTCTGAGCGTCCGCTCATCCGGTGCATAGGCATGCGGAGCGGAAGGGGTGTCCACAGTCGAAGTAGCCGATTGGCTCGATGCATTGCCCCGGGATTCCTTGGCCCGCAGCGCCACTTGCAACACGATGTCCCGCTTAATCTTACACCACTTGTCGTCAGCTGGACAATCTCCGCCGCCACTACCAAAAGCACCGTCCGAGTTGCCGTATTTGAGGAAGTGCCCGAGATGCGAGGAGGATATGTCACGTATCTCGCGTTTCAACTTGAGCAGCTCCGCATCGTTCACTCGAGAGTGATCCCGGGGTACTGATGAGTCACCGGCATCGGAGAAGACGAGCTGACGGTACAGGAGTAAGAACATGTACATTGCAGCAGTGTCAGTAGCGTCCGCAGCCAGGACCAATAGGCGAGCACTATCCAGGTAAGTGGTCTCAGGGTATAGAGGTAACGGACACATGGCTGAAGGGGCAGCAATGGCAGATCCGGAAGAACATTGTGGGGATGGGACTGGAGAAGGGGGGTCGAAAACGAGGTCTGTGAGGCCCTTAAGAACGCTGATGTACGTTTTCTGGGTTTGCGTAAGATTGCGATAATCGAACGACCCGGATGGGAAGGTCGGATGAGATAAGATGGGTGAGGCAAGGAGACGACGATGTGACGACTCCATCCATTTCCGTGTGATATCAAGAGAGGAGCCCTGTCCCTTGCGGCCTTTGAAGGCCTTGAGTTCATATTGCCCGGAAGTATCAACAAGGCACGGACGCAGAGCCTGCAACTGATGGTTCGCAATATCCTGATGGGAAGCGTAAGCCTGTGCTGGACTAACCTGGTTGATATGTTCAAGAGAGAAAAACTCACCAGTTTCATAAGCTCAAGGATCTCGAGGCACATGCGCACAGCTTTTACAGCATCGGCCTTAGTTCCCCCTCCACCAGGTGCACACTGCTTTGCCACTTCGACCATGGCATCAACGGCACGGTCGCGCATCGGGGCACAATGGCTTTTGAGGGTCTGACCGATTACAACAAAGAGGCCGGAAGGGTCAAACAGATCGTGCTGTAGCTCCTGTTGTATGAGATCTGGGTCGAAGACAGATCTGAGGTGGGCGGCCTGTGCTGCATGCCGCTCGATCTGAGGCTGAAGCGTTGATGGGTGGGCATATGCATCTGAGATGCCGGTCAAAGGCTGAATGACGAACAGAAGAACTTCCAGGAACTCCGTCAGCAGAAGGCGAATACGGGAGGGTGTTCGAAGAGTGAGAACGCAGGAAGAAGGGGAGAATATGAGGACATGATCCTTGGATGCAGCAACGGATTGGCAAACGCAAAGACAGTCACAGGGTCGGCCTTGCGAGTCGAAGGAAATGCATGTGCAGCCGGTTTCGAGTTCCTGAGCGACGGCACGCCAGTACCTGTCTGAAAGGTCACGTTTTCTTCGACCTGAAGTTGGTCTGAACTGTAAGCCCGCGTCGAACATGAGATCATGACCTAATGGAGGATTATCAGTGACGATGACGAAGTGCGACGACGGAATGACGTACGAAGCTGAGGATTGCGGAGGATAGCACTCAGGTCTAACTCCTTGAGAGTCTGACGGTTGATTAAAGGATGTAGGGAGGGTATATGAGGGGAGGATAGATCGATTGGGTATGGGGGGTGAACAAGCAAATGGGATGCATCTGTTGGAAGGAAGCAGCTGTCAATCCTGAGAGTGAATGGGTGGGAGGTTGTCTGAGACGGGGAACTGAGGGCTCCACGGTGTTCGGGTCTTTTGCGCGAACGACGCGTGGGACTGGGAGGGACGAAAGAAGTCCGAGACGGCGACTGCCTTTCGGGTATACGGAGATTTCGTTTCGGAGGAGAGGGAAGGTGTGAGGCATCAACCCGGGAACGTTTGGGTGATCGAAGGGACGGATCAGCGGTGGGAGACGAGGGGGACAAGGGAGAGGAGGGAGAGGGGTCGGTTGGAGAGGACTCTGAGGGCCAAACAGCGTGGGCGGTGTCCGTCGAGAGCCATGGGCTGGAGGGTGGCTGGCGTGGGGCGTAGTGGGCGACGCTGTTGTCACCTACGAGGATGTCGTCGCTGGTGGTTGGTGTATGTGCATCCTGAGAGATCGCTGGGTGCTGACACTCCTCTTCAGCATCGGCCTTTCGTTTTCTGCAGTTGACGGGGGGGAGAGGATGGCCGAGATCGCCCATAAGCCAAAGGAGGAGGGGGAGAGGACGGCAACGGGGGAGAGTATAGCACGAGAGAAAAGGGAGAAAGGGACCGGGTCTGCAGTGGTATATATATATTATATATATTAGCTGAAACTCAGGGCGACCGCATGGGGACAGAAACTGACCTGCCGAAGGATATTGAATTCTGTAATATTCCAGCTGGGGCCACAGACAGAATGAAAGACACGCTGGGCAGTCTGCAGTCAGTCCTAGTCAGTTTCCAGCAGGCTGGGGTGGCCGTACTAACTAGCGTATGACTATATAGCAGCAGCAGCAGCAGGGAGACTCTCAGAGGAGGGACGGCTGCCACGCTGTCGCCCCGTTATAAAAAAATGAGCTGTACCAATCTCTGATCGTGGCTTTATAGCTCGTCCCTGGAGTGTCCACTTACGCTCTATGGCAAATGCATATCATTGTGATGGAGCCTCGAGGCACACCCCCATCCTGATCCATCCCTAGCAACCTTGGCAACACGCGCTGGGAGCCTGCCAGTTCCAAGTCGTTATTGCGGTTAGCCACTACCAGGCATGCGCACTTGGCGTGCCGTATCTGCTCGTCAAAAAACATACCCCGTATGTTTGTATTTTATCCCATCCTAACCCCCGCAATAGCACGTCTATTATAGACACCCCCTTCGCATCCTTTTGTTTCAATTCCCACCTGAATGAGAAACGGTCTGGTCGGCAACGCCCGTCTCTACGCCATCCCCCCCGCAGTCTGTGTTGTCGTCCTCGCCCCTCCATTGTCTTCCAATCGAACCTTCCTAACAGAGCTGCCCTCCTTTCATTTTTCATGTCCAACACAATGGCAACCCTGCTAACACGACGCATCGTGCCCTCCGTGCGGTGACTAACATACATAACAATGTCTATTTGTCTCCTCCATAGCGCCGTGGATGGGCTTAACTGCCCTTTCCGCACCTGACGTATTTCCGACACATTCTCATTCGGTCGGACGTTTAGTAAGCTACGCAGTCCCTTATCTTGAGATTCCTCCCCGGGGGCCCCGCGTCGTCGGTCAGAGATGACCGCAAAACTCCTTCATGTCTGCTCGCGTAAGTGTTACACCCACGTCAGTCCGCGGCATGCACGCCTGAGATCCCAACAGCATTTCAACAGATTCCAACACAGCCAGCCAGTTCCAACGCCGGCCAACCAGTCAGGAAATATGCTCTCCAGAAGGATGATTGTACTAGGCAACTCTAATGTCTCGTGTCAGCTCACCCACGTTCATCGACATCTTTGATCCACCTTTCGGCATCTGGCGCAAACCCATCACACAGGCTCGCTTTCCCTTCTGCGTCATCTCCCTTCATTCGTTCACAGCTCCATATGAAATTCGGCCTCCCATCTGAAATGAGTCCGTCCGAGTGGCGACAAGATTATCTTTGTCTGTCCTCGCTGTCTATCGTCGCTTCCTCCCGCTGTCCTCTGCAGATAATTTTGTTCCACATCACTATCTTACTCGATCACCCCCTATTTGTTTTACTTATTGCCCATCATGGTCCCACAATCATGCTGCCGACTGTCCTGATTCTCCGCATCCTTCGGGTGTTGCCGTCAGCTAACGTTGTGTCAAGGGTCTACGCTATACGTACATATCATATCGCCACCCACGTTCAGGCGCAAAATTCTGCCGCAACCCGTCAATCTCAGCCGTGAAAATTGGACTTCGTTCAATGTGTTACAAGCCCAGACTACATTTATCGAAATGCCTATCTGAGCCCTCTCCGCCCATCCAATGCTTGCGTTGGCTAAATCCAGTGTGTGAAAAAAGGCTAAACCTGATCCAAACATTTTCCCCGATTGGCCTAATACTGTGCTACCCATCACCCTCATAAGTACCCATCCTCGCACACTAAAACATCGATGCTCTCCCTTCGGGTCTGGTCCAAGGAATGTAACTGGGCTAGCCTACTTGGAACGAAAAACAAAGTGCTACCGCATATGGCGCCCTTTTTCCCTTATCGCTTATGAAACGCTGACACTCTTAGGTGGGTGTAATGCGAAGGTGAACAGCATTGCATGAGAGATAGGTACCGGCACGGCCCATCTGTCCGACCGTATATGAATGTAATTATGTACATAGGATTGTTGATAGTACTTTGTATGCATGAAGGCAAGTAGTTTCAAGTGGCAACATTTCTCTATGCGTCGATGAGCTTGTCCTCCTGGATTCCCATTCGCTGCTCTTCTGCGTCAACCGTCTTTTTTGTTGGCTTCCGCCCGTAGAACTCCGCAATAATCTTCGGATTAATGCGGTTGAGCTGTTCCTTGGGGAAGATACGAAGCAAGGACCATGCCAAGTCCAGTGATTCAAAAATGGTACGCGATTCATATGGGCCTGCATCGCGTTATCGTCATCGTCAGCCACGGTCAACCGTAGTTCTGAGCACGCCACCGAATGAATACGCCCTCAAAAAATGAAACCTTACCTTGTCCCACGAACTGCCTCTCGAATTTGTCTAGGAATTCCAAAGCTAGTTTATCCTCCGCAGATAATGCCTCCTCGCCTACAACTGCCTTCATCGCAGCTGCATCTCGTCCGATCGCGTATTTCGCGTACTGTGGGTCGCGTGGTAACCCGTGAGCATGTGCGCTGCTGTGCATGCGTGCGTGTGTGCATGGAGACACAACACGGGCTTACCAGCTGGTTAGATACGTCACCGTGATCTTTCCTCGTGAGCTCGTCGCCGATCGCACTCTTCATCAACCGCGAAAGTGATGGCAGCACATTAATTGGTGGGTATACTTGTCGGTTGTGCAGCTGGCGATCGACAAAAATTTGTCCTTCGGTAATATAACCTGTCAGGTCGGGAATAGGGTGCGTTATATCTGTGGGCAAGACGACACCAACAACACCGTCAACACGACCTCGGAACACGGAAAGCGTGAATCATGAAAATGCACCGTCATTTGGCATGGTGAGGATGGGAATTTGTGTAATCGATCCATTGCGGCCCTGGACACGACCAGCACGTTCGTAAATGGTCGACAAGTCGGTGTACATGTACCCGGGGTAACCACGGCGTCCAGGCACTTCTTCACGCGCTGCTGAAACCTAACCATCACCATCGCCCCCCGCAGGTATGTGAAAAGCGAAAGTGTGTGAAGGAACCCCGTAACAAGCTGGTAGCACGTCAAAACGCACCTCACGCAAGGCATCGGCATACGACGACATATCGGTCAATATAACTAAGACATGTTTCTCCAGCTGGTAGGCGTAGTATTCAGCAGTCGTCAGTGCCAGGCGAGGCGTAATAATGCGCTCGATAGTGGGATCGTTGGCTAGATTAAGGAACAGGGTCACTCGATCCAAACTGCCATTAGATTCAAAGTCCTCCTTGAAGAACCGTGCAGTTTCCATGTTTACGCCCATTGCGGCGAACACCACGGAGAAGTTGTCTTCGTGACCGTCGTGTACGTCCTTCGTCGGACGCTTCACCAGACCGGCTTGACGCACAATTTGCGCAGCAATCTGATTAGTGATTAGTTAGGCCTTTGATGAGCAAGAAGAAAGGCGTGTAAGAAAGCACGTGTTAATTCGCGTACCTCATTGTGAGGCAGGCCTGCGGCAGAGAAAATGGGGATCTTCTGTCCGCGGGCAATGGAGTTCATCACATCGATAGTTGAGATACCGGTCTGAATCATCTCCTCAGGGTATATCCGGGAATATGGATTGATCGGTGAGCCTAAACTAAACCTTGCAGCAGAGGTCACACCAGAACTTACGGAAAAAGAAACGTACCGTTAATGTCCAGGTAGTCTTCTGAAAATACTCTCGGACCCTGGTCAATGGGGTTTCCAGAACCGTTGAATATGCGTCCCAGCATGTCTTCTGCCACCGGAAGCTTCATGCTGCTCCCAGTGAATTCGACGTGGGTCGTTTTCACGTCCACGCCTGAAGTACCCTCGAATACCTGCACGATCGCCTTCTTTCCCTGCACCTCAAGGACCTGCCCTCCCCGCTTAGAGCCATCGGGAAGAGTGAGTTGAACAATCTCATTGTATGAAGGGAACTGTAAGGTTCACGATGAATATGGGGCGTCAGTGTATCGATCAGTCGCTATACCTTGACATTATCCAAGACGACCAACGGCCTGCAAGCCAGAAGATGTGACGATAAATAACTATCTTAATGTAAACCGGCCTCTATAGTTTACACGCACCCATTGATTCCAGATACTGTTCGGTAATCTGAAAGGGACGGTGAGACCGAGGTTCCGCAGTCGAAAGAGAGCCCTTGGGGTTTAGAACACACCGAGATGAGGCTGCACGCGGTATTCGCGTGTCACCGCTGCAGCATTGATTGCGGCCAATTCCCTGTCACTAATGCGAGGCGTCGTCGACCATGGTTGGGTTGCGATAAATGAATATGCAAGCACTGCTGCCTGGAGTCCACACTCGCCAGCTTTGGTCGACTATGGTCGTTGGACCCACTGCCGAACAATCAAGCCCAAGCCAAAGCTTCCCACGCCCCGGCATCTTTCAACACACCCGTGTAGGCAGGTCCTATGATACATACTACACAGGGGGCGTGTTTTCAGTACTGTGTGACTATCTATATTCCTTCCATATTCGATGCCAGTTCTTTGACAAGAGCTTGCGCTGCTTCCTTCACTCTTTCCACATCCGTCGAGGACCTGTTGAACACGGGGTCAGCTCCACAGTTCAGCTGTCGACCTCCAGGGAACAGCGATCATACCACCCCGTTTCGAGAAGCAGCTCCTCGAACCTTGTCGTCAGGCTCCCAACCGAGGTCTCTGCTTTGCAACACCAGATATAAGTGTTCGGCTGTTCCTGATCGAACCTATAGAAGAAGAGACGACGGCGGCGTCAGTCCGGAACTAGCCGCAGAGACCTTTTCAAATACTACAGACTCGAGGGTAAGGATGCACAAGAAAGTCCGCTATCTTTGACAGACACGTTTTCGCAACCGATGGGAATGTGAAGATATTCACGACTCTAAAGGAAATCGCAACTACCTCGTTCAGCAAGCCGGATATTGCCTTTATGAATTACGCCCGTACGCACATTTTCATAGATTCCTGTATCCGCTGTACATTCTTCAGGCGCGACACGTTTTTAGTCGCGATCGAGATCAAATTCTTCATACTGCAAGTTAACTAGCACGTCAGCTTTGTGACGCGATCATGTGAGATTACCCACCACGCTGCTCCTGTCGCAGATTCAGGGAGCCTGTGCCACGGCATCTGCCTCAAGCAGCATATTGAAGGTTTGAAGAACGGGAACAACGACATTATTCGATGTTATATGTTTCAAAGCGTACTCGATTAGGTCTCCTGCAAGACTCGCCTGGCTGAATTCACCCCGATCAGAGCTCACTGGCAGCGTCCGCACGTAGGCAGCCAAGCTCGATGACGCAGGCCGTTGCTTTCGGTGGCGTCAACACAACGAGGCACGGAACTCATAGATCGACAACATACAGTGCTGTTCGTCCTCGTGGACACGCTCAATACTAAGCCAGTCAAAACTGGCTTGCCGGTATTCAGGTATTTCCAGCAGCCTAACAGCTTTTGGAAATAACCATTCCCCATTGTTCCAATTTGTCCCATTTTCACGACAGTCCCTGCAGACCTTCGAGGTCCCCGATACAGCAATCGGGATAACGGACTTACGGCAAGAATAATTCCCGGGCCAGGTCCTTCGCCTCGCACCCGCCAGCGTTCAGCGTCATCGACCGATGGTAGCTGAAAGACTCAGCAGACGAGTGAAGCATTCCCCTGCAATATGACGGACATTATCAAGCCTTTCTACGCCCTGTCGGAGTAAGCGGCCCACAACATGGTGATATCGGTCAGCTGGAAGCATGCTTGCAAAATTCGACAGATTTTTTGACACAACGAAGAGGGTCTCGATAATTGAAGTCAGGCCCTGGATACAGGCAATGCGTATCCAGGATCCGACGTCTCCGCGTTCATCGGTCGTATAATCGTCCAATCCGTTGTCGAGTACGTCAACCAGAGCACGGACAGTGTCCGGACAGGAGGCCTATTGAGTTGTGAGTACTTCGATCCTCACACGATGCGGGTACGCTACCAACGTTCTTCCAAATTCTGGGCTACACAAGCAATGATTTTCGGAACTGGCAAGAAAGCTGTTACGGCGCGCCTCAACATTTGTCATCCTAGTTGCGGACTATAATCACCGTTTCATAGTGATGACATGAGGACAATGGGCTTCTTTCTCACCTCCATGCTGACGTTGTCCAGCAAGCATTCCACAACCTCTGGCAAGCCATGAGGGTGGGCGTGATAGTCAAGGACACCTAGCAAATATCCGAGACTCTGTTGCAATGGGGGCAGGCCATGCTTGAATTCCCTGATGTATGTATAAAGTGATCCCACGTCAGGGCGAGGTGGCAAACGAGCATGTATGGGTGTGACGTATCTTTGAACTGCGCTGGAACAATCCGTGAGGGAGCTGACGGTAGCCATGGAGGCTGCACCAGCCTCTCGTACATCGCTGCTCTGGTGGCGTAGTCCCCGGTCGACGAACTTCTTCCAATTTGAAACAGAGGAGCGGTCCTCTAGCTCAACCTCCTCTCGGGTAATAGTAACGGCGACCAGGCTGCAAACTGCGCTAAGAATTTGCTCATTACGTGGCGCAAGGACCAGTGATTCAGGGATACAGTTGATGAGAATAAAGATCTGTGACAAATACAAACACCAGCAGGTGAATAAAGGGAAGAATGTGGGGCAGAAGGTACCAACTTCTTGTCGTGTCCGGTCCCCTATGTAGCCAAATTGGTTGTACGCATCAGCTATCTCGGTGAGTGCCGCTACAGCACCGTGAATAGTTGCCACATCTACCGAAGTGAGCAGCCGCGCCTTTTAGGTGTGTTTTCAGTGTTATGATTTTCTCATTCGCCAAGTAAGCACTCACTAGGCGTTGAATGCATGGCGGGCTCAGCTTATCCAAGTTAATCTCACAAATAAGCCTCAAGGATTTGGCAGCCAGCTGTCTCATCACAACGTCCCAGTGGCGCAAGGTAATTGATATTAGGTGCTCGACAAGAGCCGGCCGATATTCCTCATGCCTACCCGTGATGGTCAGTATCGCATTCCAACGGTGAACACATTGGACTCGCTCAGCTACTTGTGGGGCCGCCGTAAGAAAAGCGTTTCGGCGTATGCTCACGGAATAGAAGTCGGTCTTCCTTAGTACGTCTATACCGTGGGCAAACAAACCCTGGACCACAAGTAAATATAGACATCCTCCGCGGAACAAGGGTCCTACCATTCGCCCAACGTGTTCCTGGAAGGCCGCGCTCGCTGCTCTCCGGATTGATACATCCCGGTCGAATAAAGAGACTGCGACGAGCTTCTCTGCCAATTTAGGTGCATGCGAGGAGAAGCTAGACCGGACTTGTGATCTGGCTAGAGCCCAAATCACATAGGCAGCAGCGTCTCGAACGTTGGAACCAACGGAATGAGCTCCTTTTCGAATGTCAAAGTAAAGTGCTTGTGACAACCAATCGAGAAGGTTCGGAAGTAGAGTGGAAGGGACAAGGGCTCTGCGTGCCATTTCAGCTGATGCAAGGCACGGCACCATGCCATGTAGCTTCGGCGATGGAGGGCATGTCGTAAACGGTTGCACCGGCAATAGTGTGGACGGAAAACAAGTGTAGGATGTTTTCCATGACTTGCCGTGCGAAGTCGTTTGACAAACGCTCGGAGAGCCTCCCGATGCCCTTGGCCTGCTGACCATCGTACGACAGTGTCCTAGCCTTACCATCAACTATCCCCCCATTGACAAGTCGGTCAACGGTAATTACCCGATCTTGGACAGCTTTGAATAACACATCCAAAATGACCTCCAATTCTTCTGGGACGTCGATCTCGTCATCATCATCACCATTATGTTCGCTTGTGTCTTGATTGCTACCATCATTCAGAGTGCGCACTGGTACCTTTGTTTCGAAATAGACGTCAATCGTTAATGGCAAAAGGCTCACTTCGAATTCCGGAAAGTTTTGGTCTTGGAGGAACCAGTCGGAGACCAACCCTGGACAACAGTTTTGTCCTGTACTTTCGTACAAGCGTATTAACGGTTAACGTTTCACTATTGCTTATAGTTTCCGACATTTCCATCAAAGCCCTGTGCAGCTGCTTTCGTATCTTCTGGTGCGCCGGATTTAACAAATTCACACAACACCTGCAGGACACCGAGAGACTGCCGGACGTTTATGCGACGTATCACGAAAAAAAGCACTGTACCTGAATAACATCATTGGATTTGATGACGGACATTGACCACTGCAGAAAGGTCTCGAATCGTTGTTTAGTGTCCTTTCTGTGATGAATCGGGTCAGCAGGGTTAATGGATGCGGATTTTGATGCCCATGCCTCATGTAAAACTGGGAAAGCAGTATAGCAGCGCCCTCGCGCTCCAATCCTGCCTTATTCAGGTATTCCATGGCTGTGGATTCCAGTGCGCTTGCCAATCTTCCAATCTGGTGATCTTCATCGAACTGATCTAAATCAAATGGAATCCGGCAAACGAGGGACAGCCACAAAAGCACTACGTAACGAAGAGTCCATTGGGATGACTCTACAGAGGGCCCATCAGGCAAACGCATAAACTCAATGGCAATCGTCACGTCCACAATTTCATGGGGAAAGAAACTGGCTGTTCAAGCTTTTTTAGCACCAGGCGAACTAACGACACAAACGAACGACCCACTGATCGTCTTATATCCTCTGAGCTTAATGTAGTTGTAAAGAAGTTCAGCCAGTCTACCAAGGCGAGCTATTGATGATTTTGCGGATGGATCAGATGTGCGGGTCCTCGCGTGTGCCCTCAGACATTCCACGGCTGGAACGACAAGGTTCTCGAGATAGGGATCCAAGAGATAGGACTGCTCCTGATACTCGCCCAGCTAACAAGACATCGAACTGGGGTCACGAAGGAACCGCTAAGCGATGGAAGCTCTTACTATCATGGTGAGCTTGCGCATCAGTTCGGCTTCGGCGCCGTTATCTTGGCGACTGGGTTCGCTAGATAGATCCACGGCAAGCAACGCACTCTGGGCAGAGACGAATTCACCGTAGCGTTCGAAAGACGCGAGTTGCTTCCCTTCGATTAGCTCAGAGTCGTCCATGTTCTTCGGTGCTGACTCTAAAAGTACAACTCGGTTGCTGGATATCATAAACACGTGTATTTCCTTCCGTGGGAACCTATGAGGTATTTGGCTCGACTACTCACGCCAACGAAGCCGCCTTTGCAATACTTAAATGCCTCTGTCTGGGAAGACTCACGGCGTGAAGAGGAAAAGACCCCTCGAGGTTAAATCACATCCTTCAAAGCGTTGTCTGCGTGACACTCATATTCTGGACAGGACGACGACGAAACTAGATTGCGGCGAAAGCTGGTACGTTATTTCAGCGCTGGCCTTCCCGACATCCACAGTTGACTCAACGAAGTGGTAAATATCAAGCACCACGATGTCAGAGAGATCCGTCAAGTCACTAAGAAAGCAAAGGCTTTCGAGATTCGGAGAACGTTCAAGAAACTAAAGAAAGTTAGGTGCGGGTAACTCCACATCGTACTTGATCCTCTTGCTCAACTCGACGTGCATTCCTTTGTCAGACATGGTGACCCAGGAGGCGAGGAGACAAAAGACCTCGAGGAACAAATTGAGGCACTCAAAGTAAGCGAAACACGTCTTATCTTGAGATCAGGGATGCCGACACCCAGCTAGCACATGGATTGCAAACAGATAGCGAACACTGCACTAACCACTAAAATCAAGAAAGACAAGGTTCTTTCAGAAAATCCTCTCGTCCAATCCGCCGTCTCTTCGGAGCTAACCTCAAATTCTCTCGCACCTGCGCCGTCCGGAACGCCGAAAGCAAAGGCGCAAAGCCGTTTACTCAGTTCGAAATTGCTCGCGACCGAGATCACCGCAGTCTTGGAAGCCCTTCGGAATCATTTAATTCCCACATCTGATATAGGTGGAGTGTCGGACAATGATGAGAAGGTCATACTGGGAAGTGCAAAGAGAAGAAAAGATAAGGATCGAATGAATAGCCCAGTATCTCCATTGGAGTCGGATTCGGACGAAGGATATTCTACCGGTTCTCATGATGACGAAGAAAGGGTGGTGGCTGAAGACGACGGTTGGCAATCACGTACCGTAAGTGACGAACAAAGTGCCCTCGACGGGTGGGAGTCAGGGACCATTGACGATAACTCTGATTACAACAAAGAGTCGGACGACGTATCCGATATCGGCAATCAAGTAACCTCGCCAAGCGGCATAGTGACGCAGACACGAAATTCGGCGTCGTTATCTAAAGGCGAATCTGTTTTCCTCCCAACACTTTCCGTTGGGTTTGCACGTGGTGGTGGTTCAGATAGCGAATTCAGCGATAGCGAAGCCAAAGCGGCTGATGGAGTCAAAAAGAACCGCCGTGGACAGCGGGCTCGCAGGGCGTAGGTTTTCCTACATTACCTGTTATCATTCGGCTAACATCGTGGGCACAACAGTATATGGGAAAAGAAATACGGAAAGAATGCCCACCACGTCAAGAAACGGCAAGAACTAGGTCAAGGAACGAAACGACCAGGTTCTGCTGCGAAGGGGCAGAAGACATCGAAACAGTCTCCGATGGCCCGTCGTGAACAGAAGTACGATAAAGACGCTCGCATGCCGAAGCGGGCGAGAGTCAACAAGCCGGTGTCCGATCGGGCGGTGCGGAAAGGGGCATCAGCAAGCACTGATCCGCCTCGGACAAGAACGGAGCAGCAAGATGAGCGGCCGTTGCACCCTTCTTGGGAAGCAAAAAAGAAACAGAAAGCAATTGGAATCGTGCCATCTCAAGGAACGAAGATAATCTTCGATTCATAGCGATTATCGTTATGAGCATGTGGACACACGTACAGTACTGATAACGTTTTGTTGGGACCAAAGATACAAGTTGTGTAATCTGCACAGGATCTGGGTATTGGCGAAACGATACAACCAGAGGAGCCAAAATATCGGAAAGAACGGAGGTTTTTATCGAGATATGCAGATAACGCACTAGTTCCTACGGGAAGGGCAAACGTGCTTTTTGCCTCCTTGCAACCTACATCCACGGGAGCACCACATCTGTCCACAGCGCCCGCAACGCGGAAAGTCTCTGCCGGGTTTCAAGCACGTGGAGCACTGTGAGCTGCAAGAAAGTTTAGATTTCTTCTCCAGCGCCTCTAGCACCGGATGAAGTTTCTGAGTCTCGGCCGGAGGTGAAGGGAGGTTCCCATGAAAGTCGCTCCAGGGAGAGTCTGGTGGCAATGACATGCGGCTGATGGACGGGCTCCTACAGGAATCCGTATGACTGAGAGACAACGGCGAATCAGGGGGGGTATCGTTGTCCCAGTGAATTCCAGTGTATCTTTGCTCTCCCGTGGCGGGTATGTTCATTTTCAGGGAGGCACGCATCCAATCCGCGGCAGGGATAGTAGCGGTAAAGGAGCCATAGACGTTTGTGAGGCCTTCGGAAATATCGGCTTCGGACATGCAATTGGGCATTTGGCGATGGATACAATGAGAGGATCCCATACGGATCTTCGTTACGCTGCGTGGACAACTCCACGTTCTGGCTCCTGCGCCTTTGAAAGGTGGTGGGTCGTACTGGAGAAACAATTAGCCCGGCAATAACGACAATTAGCAGTGGAACAGGAACCCACAGTGAGGTCAGGCTGCGTCATGAAAAGTATGGATGGAGTCTTTAGAAGCGAAGCTCCCTGAGGGTGAATCTCGCGCTGAATTTATACTCGTGTGACCAGTCTTTCAGATCGACCGACGAAAAACGACTTTTTTACGTTGTTATGGGAGGTCGGCACCTTGTGACCCGACCCGAATGGAATGATATCAAACAATTACCACTGCAATGGAAGTCAGTGGGAATCAACTCGGATTTGCCAGCTTTTCTTACGTGTCGAAGTCCCAAGGTGATTCGACAGCCAGGACGTGGGGAAAGACATCACACGACACCTTTTTATACGAGCGAAGCTACAGAGGAGATAAGCCGGTTAGCTGGCAAAGTGGGCATTTGAAAACTATTGCCTACGTGAGCGCAATCTCATGTCATAGGATGATAAGATGTAGTCGGAAGCAACGAATTACCGGCGCTGTAATGACCTCACATGTGGTGACGGTGAGCGGAGCAGCAGGTGCTGCGCCAGTACTGACATGATAGAGTTTGCAGGGGTTGTCCAACCGGGGTATTACTCTCGTGATCAGGACCCTGGAAGTGAGGTAAAGATTAGATGTCCACGGTGCTCACAGAGTCACGAGTAGGACGGAGTTGTCATGGGACTCTCCATCCGTCCAGGCCAGGCCTAGCCAGGCGTCCCGTCGAAGGGTGGAGGCGGAGGCTGTGTGCGTTAATGAAGTAAAACTCCCGCAATATTGCGCCAAGCGTAAACAATGTAACGAACAGACCAGATCCCTCGAGGTCGTCGGCGGACCTCGATCATCCGCCAGCGCATGAGCCGAAGAGCCGTTGGGGTCACCTGGGTGAACGTTTAACGCTAATAAGGCATTTGGCCTTTTGTCCCCGCTTGTTCATTGGACGATGGAAGGCAGATATAGATCATATCGGACCCACCTTGGTTTGAGCTCTGCGTGTATATAAGACAACAATCGAGAGGGCGAGATTCGCCCTGATTACGACCGCCCGACGAAGCCGTTGGCCGTTCGACTGATCATCTCATTATCAAGGAAGCACACTGATCAGGGCCCTGACGGTGGCCGCTGCGGACTGAATCGTTGAGTTAGACGCCAATGATGGGTCCGACAACACTTGCTACTACTGCATCGTTACAAGTGCCCCGACAGTATACTTGTGTCATTTTCGCCCTTGACCCATTCTGAGATACAAACAAGACCAAATAGGAGCAGTCTCGCCGACTCAGTAATTTCAATCGGATCTGCAGTGCAACAGCGAGCGTCGCTTGTCTAGTCTCCTGCTCCTCGTCTTGCCATTCTTTACGACGTACTCGTTACTCACTGGGGGCACTCGTTTTATTACTTGATTAGCTTGGGTTGTAATCCACCCCCATCAACTTATCTTGCAGCTTTTTACGTCTTACACCCCACAAGCAAGTCATGGTAAGTTGCAGGACCGCATGCACGATTATCAGCTTATTTACTCACTTTCATTTTCTTAATGTCATTAAGGGTCAGACGCTTTCTGCACCTGGTCAGTTCATATCTCTGCAGAATACTTGCAGCTCCCATTGTCCCTTGGCTCTGATGAGACTTTTGCGGTTGACTCATCTTCTTTCCCCTCAGCCACCAACAAGAAAACGGAGTCTGGTGAAAATGATCATCTTTTCTTCTCTGTGACAGAGATGCAGGGATGGAGGATCAGTGCGTCTTTTGCCCATTGTCCGTTGATCCTTGTCTCACAGTATATTGCTTCCGCCACTTCTGCTATTTGCTATTCTGTACCATTCCTGAAATATCCAGGCATGGAGGATGCCCATGCCGCTGTCCTCAATTTGGAGGAAAACCACGACCAGAAGAATTCCTTTTTCGCAGTGTATGATGGACATGGTGGTATGTCTTGCGACCAGTCACTGCGTTCGTCTACTCACAGATTCCCCGCATATCAGGCGGCACAGTCGCCAGATTCGCGGGACAGAATCTCCACAAACGTCTGCTTACTGAAGAAGCATATCGCGAAGCACATTATGAAGAGGCAATGAAAAGAGCATTCCTGGGGACAGACGAAGACCTTTTGGCTGGTCCGCGTTTGATATCATGGCCCTGGCCGTTTTATCTGCATGTACCTGATCTTGATTCTTGAACAGATCCGACACATACACGCGATCCCTCTGGCTGTACTGCAATTGCTGCATTGGTAACGAACGATCGCAAGATATACGTAGTATGTTTGCATCCTCTTGAACATCGGTCAAATTTGACACAGTTCCAGGCTAATGCTGGAGACTCCCGGTCTGTGATCAGTATCAAGGGAGAGGCCCAGCCACTGAGCTTTGACCACAAACCGTCAAATAATAGTCCGTCTTTTTAACAATTATTTTCGGAAATGGCTCCACAGCTGATCACGCTCTGCACAGCCGAACGCGCCCGTATTGTTAACGCGGGTGGATACATAGAATTTGGTCGCGTCAATGGTTGGTCATCAATTCTCTTACAGCTCCCTGATGCTGAGGACGCTTCCTAGGAAACCTGGCCCTGTCAAGAGCACTGGGCGACTTCCAGTTCAAAAAGAACTATTCTTTGATTCCCCAGAAACAAGTTATTACCGCGGACCCGGACGTGATGGTACACCAGCTAAGTGACGAAGACGAATTTTTTGTGTTAGCCTGTAATGGTGAGCAAGTATCCACACTGTATGATGCCATTTTATACTCATTTGTATGCCGAAAAGGTATTTGGGATTGCTTGTCGTCGCAACAGGTAGTCGACTTTATCCGGCTCAAGGTAGCCGAGGGAAAAGAGTTGACTGAAGTCGGCGAAATGATGTGCGAGCACTGTCTTGCTCCCGACACTTCTTCAGCCGCGGGCATCGGTTGCGATAATATGACTATTCTTATCGTCGCTGTCCTGAACGGACGGACACAGCGAGAATGGTACGATTGGATCGCCGACCGCGTCAGGAACCAGTACGGCTACCCGACGCCCTCCACTGTTCCCCAGATCTACGCAGCAAGTCGCCTCGTGGCTTTCAAGGCACGGAGAGAAGCCATGGAAGAACGTGACCGTCAGCGGAAAGAACGCGGGGATGAATATGTACCACCGAATCCATTTGGGGGTTTGGGACCGTTATCTGGGATTGCTCGTGTTCTTGGGAGCAACGGAGGTATCTCATTTAGTCCCGAAACGGGTATCGTGGCGGACAACGGCCGGCTTATGTTTACTTCGGAAGACGATAGCGATAGTGAAGACGAGATAGAATCGGACCCGTTGGCACACAGTCACTTTAATTCGTCGGGAGACGGGACACCCGACCCTGCGGCCACCCTAAGGCAAGATCTTGCTGCATACCAGAACGAAAATGCCCAGGAATCTGGTTTCCAAATTGATGGGAAGAAGCTGACGATAATTGACGACGACGATGACGACGGCGAGTTGTCAAACACTACGTATGGCAATAATGCAAACTCGAATTCTTCGAGTTCCGGGGGAACACCACAGGGAGAGGCCCCACCGTCTCCACCGAAGCCGCAGGTGAATGGAGATGTTACACCGGTGCCACAGCTCGACTCAGAACCGCTTGGGGACAAACCACATCCAGTCCTCAAAGCGGAGGGCTTGTTGGGCACTAGTGAATCTCCGTTCAAGACATAGTCTTGTGTATTTCACATTCCTTCACCTTCATAATAGGCACACCCGTTCCCTTTCTTTTGCTACGCTTAATCCGTTCCTCTGTTCCCTACCCTTGACAGACCCCGATGTGCCTTGTGGTTTTGGTTGTTTTCTGTTGCTGCTATCTATTGTATGTCCTGTACGGTAGTGTTGTCAATTTGGTCGCCACCAATCCTTGCGGTGCACAGGAGCTGCCTCTAAGTTTTTCGTTTTTTCCCCATCTGTAGCCTGGTTCACGATTCCCCAATCGTATGTGATGATCACCGGAACTTCAGTATCATACATTTACTCCCTTAACTGGTTGTAACAACTGAACTATCCTTGTTTCACCCTTCTTAAAAGATGTCGTACAAAACTACCAATTGATTCTCGCATAAGCAAACGATGGTCGTGGAATCGGATTTGTTGTTACTTTTGAGCGCGCAGACGCCGAGGAGCGATCCAGCGTTGCCATCACCAACCTTGAGGACGCTTTGCTTGGCCCACAGCTGGTTCGGTGATGAGCGTCGATAGATGTACACGTTTCCGCCGCGATCAACGGATCCATTCTCGAATGCGAAGATAGCATTTTGCGTGTGGTATGAGAACCGTGTGTCGCGCTTCGATGCCAGCACGAACGCCAGCGCAGGGAATGTGCCTGTGTGTTTCCACTCGGGGGCGATGGTGTCGCCGCCGCCACTTTGTACTCCATCCGCGGCGTACAATAACCCATCAATCGAATTCTTGACCACCAGGCTGGCTACTAATTTAGCGTCTGTGCCAGGGAAGGTCGTAGAGAGGAGGTTGAAGGGTGATGTGCTACTGTCTTTCCTCTTCCACCAGGGCGGCGTAGACCCGTCCTCTGAGACCCACGTAAAAGAGGCGAGGCGTCCGACTGAATCGTCGACCTCGTCATCCATCTCGCCCTGTGCTAACGAGGGGACGCCGCGGCCGAGTCCGAGTCCGCTAGCGTCCTCACCTGTCCTGAGTGCTTCCGTGTATTTCTCGAGTGCCTCACGGACGAGGTAGAGTTCAGACGGATCGAGCGTTTCCGGAACGTCCATATCATCATACCCTTCGCTTGCGGCCTCCCTCGGTGTACTGGTACGAGTACCGGCTGCAGCGAACACGTGCATCCATTTCTGACCTTCGGTCATTTTGTCGAGATGCACGCTCAAGATTCCAAACTTGTGTTCTCCCTCGCGGTCCCATGTCCAGAAGCTAGTGGAGGGGCGCACACGGTCCCACAGCTGCTTGGCAGAGTAGTGCGGTAGCCATACCCCCTCGATGTCGATGTTTCCTGGTACGCCTTTCACGTGCACCGTCAACGTGGTAGGTGAGAAGAGAACAGAGATACTGGATTTCGGAGTTGACGAGGGGAGCGGAAATGCTACCGTCACGACATCAGCGGTCTGCGTCCACGAATAGGGATAGGGTTTTGGGAGTGTCGTGTTGTCGCTGGCATCCAGATCCTCGCCCGCCCGAGGGATCGGTGCGATCTCGTCAGGAGAAGGCTCGTAGGCTGGCGTGTGTGGAGCGCCGATCTCACGGTACGTCGAACTGCCGATAAGGGCATAAGCGCTGCGGGACGCATCGTAAACAGCGAGCATAGGCACGTCTTCCCCACGTCTGCGCCAGACGATGTCAAGTGTACCCGAGTCGACCTGCATCATGTTGAGCGGAAAGGTAAAGCGTGCAGCCCATACGTCGAATTCGGACGAGTGGTGGTGGTGAAGATGTCGGAGGTGTGGTGAAGATGTGGCAGCTGTTTCCTGTGTGAGGGAGGAAAGAACTTCCGTGTCATAGTGCCTGGACGACAGCAAAGCAACAACTGTCCCGTCCGATACCCGTGCGACGCTGTGGATTCGGAAGGGTAGTGGAAGGGATGTAGCCTCTCTGTCGAAGAGCTCGAATGAGGATACGAGCGTGGCAGGGCCGCGTGCAGGGATACTGAGGATGTACAGACTTCCACGCCCATCACCCACGAAAGCGGTATCGTCTGCCAGGAATGCGGCAGAAGGATACTCGCGGTGTATAGTCTCTGATTGCGTTTGGGCGGTAGAAATTGCGACAGGGAGCTCGTAGACGACATCGAACCTAGGAGATTTGGTTATCTAGTACCGTGCCAGTCAGCAAAGTAGCTGGCGGAGAGACATATACACTGCTGCTGCTCACATCAGTGGGGTCTATGTCAACAACGACTACCCGATGATCAGCATCGATGTAGAGCGCTCTTCCAGGTGCAGGAGAAAGAACGAGATGGTTGTGGGTGATTCTGCTTTGGACTTCTTGCAGCGAAAGCGGTGATCTGCCAGAGGTGGTTACTTGGGTGGGCTTGTATGGCAGGCCATGTCGAGCTATCCCCGGGGAGATCACCTGCAGTTTGTAGCCTTCGAACTTGGGGTTGAGAAGTTCACGATTTGGGCTGAAGTCTGCCATCTGCACCGTCTCAGTGTGTTGGCTGTGGTATCATCCGAGGTCAATATAGGCCATAATGACATCACTACTTGAGTCCCTTAAGAAATATCACTGGCTAGATGATCCTCACCCTCCAGCCCTGCGGAAGCGGAAAGGTGTCCTCACACCGCCCTGCCGCTCCCCTCGCTTGGGCCTCTGCAGCTCATCTGCGATAGCCCGGCCAATCGCTCAAGTAACTCAAATGCTGTTTACCCGCCGTGGCCGAAAGAGAGCAAGAACAAGATTGGAGTCCCTGTACACCAGCGCTTGGGTGAAACGGCCCCTTCGTAGCCGCACCGTACCTAGTTACAACACCTGTTCTCCAATGGATAAAAATGTCATTACCTGTATACCCGCCATACTACACAGCTTCATCGTGAAGCAATACGTATTCCCGATCTGACAGTCCAAACTTAATGACTACGAAGACGTCACGCCATCAGGATACACATGCAAGACGGTAACTCGTCAAAATTGAGGAACATACCGTCGCCAGCCCGCAACTCGTAGAAACGCGTAGTCGGGATCGTCTCGTCGTTGACATGCGTATGGTTGGTAGACTCGAGATCAATTACAAAGGGTCTGCCCAATCCACATTGTGAGTAGTGTCTGACGAAAACGCATGGCTGTTAACACACTTTATCATGGCCTTAGGCACACCGAATTCGTCTTTTACTTGAACTTGTCGGTCTGAGTGCCAGGAAGAGAACGGTCAGAACTGAGCTAATAGAGGATAGAGTGGCAAGTGTCGACAATATTTACTCACGTTGTATGACTGCGTGCTGCTTGGAGCAGGATGGATGTTCGATGAGGATATCTGCAACCGTGCGATCTCTGCCAATGAGGTATGCGCTTTGTCGGTTTATATGTAGCAGATCTGCAGTAGGGTTTGGAACTCGGTCCATTCTCTGCGAGAGGATGACACTCACCGGGTCGGTCTTTTCCTTTGAACACGTATAATCTCCACCCCAGTGTCGGCTTCCTGGCCTCTGGTGGTTCGTTGTACTTGAGTACGGTGCTCGTACCGTCGGATACCTTGACCGTATTGGTCGCTGCTGCGAGCAGACCTGAAGGTTTGAAATTGGGCTTGGCTTTGTTTTCGGGAGGTGCAGAACCGGAATTCGAGGGTGAGCGATGGGCTGAAGACCGAGACCGAGAACGTGGGCGAGATGCAGGTGATGCAGAGCGTCGTCGTGTGCCACGGGAGGATGGTCTGTCTCTGTCGTAGTCTCTTCTCCCGTCTCTGTCGCGCTCTCCCTCCCTCCGTCGTTCCCGTTCCCTGTGCCTCTCCGCGTCCGATCTATCCCTGTCTCTGTCCCTCCCTGTGTCCCTGTACCCGTCTCTGTCCCTGTCCCTTCCACCGTGCCACCTCCGTTCCCCACCACCACGCTCAGACTCGCGACGCTTGTACTCATACCTACCACGTTGGCCTGGACCGTCGTCCTCGCGCCTCGAAGCGCTGCGCTCCTCCGCGTCGTATCTACTGGGTGGTCGTCCAGACGAAGACATGTTGGCTGGGTCTCAATACGTGTGAAAGTGTAACACACGAGTCGTGATAGTCCGTAATGATACAAGTAGACAACTACATACATAGCCTGGACCCTCCCGAACCCTACATACCCGTCAGAAAATGCCAACATGCATAAGCCCATGAAAAGAAAATAAGGGTCCCCAGTCAACTTCGCCAACTTCTAGGAACCCTGACGTCGGCATCACCGCGGCCATCTATTCCCGAATTCTCGGTACTCATGAAGTCTCTCTGCTGAATCTGATCCCTATACCCTGAGCTGGGCAAGATCGCCGCACGCTAATCGGAGCCGTCTGGAGACGCTTAGCGCTCGCCAGCTCTATCTCTTCGAGACCCAATCCGAGGAGAGCGTGCATAAGCACCACAAAAGCGTAGAGGAAAAAGACAAGTAGGACTCTGTCGAATATGCTGCGTGGGATGAGTTCATGATAGCAGTACGTTAAGAACCTGAGGACAAGAGAGGTGCGTCGAGGTAGTAGGCGCGTACCAGCGATGTCGTGGGGAAGGACAGGGGTCGTGGTGGTGGAGTCATAGTTGATGATCAAAGGCGTTTCGGGTGCATCGTTACCGTGAACAAGATGTGTGTGTGCTGTCGGGCCGTCCGGATTGTGAGAGCGTCTCAATGTGACAGTGGACGTTCTGCGGTGCATCGTACAGCAGCACTGATCGGGAGCTGTGACTGCCCTTTAAACTGTAAGATCCTTGGCGGTTTCGATAAAACCTATACGGGGTTCAGACGTTTACGGGTGTGGCCATCGTGCTTCGATTATCGTGTACACTTACGCGCTTGGAGGGCTCCAGTTATCAACTTGTCCTGACGCAAGTAGCGCAAGTGGGCAAGCGCTAGTGCTGCTTGACAGCTCGGTGGGAGGCAGGAGAGAGCAGGAGCCAAGTTTAAATATTTGAATTGTCTTTGGGTGAGTCGAGTGTCCTGCCATCCCAGCGCTATTTTATACGCACATCAGCGGGCCCCATGGGTGCCAGTGAGGTACTTTAGCTGATGCCGAGATTATCACCACTTGAAGTGTTGTTCGGCTACTCTGGCCTACACCGTACAGAATCATGAGGCGGCAAAAGTAATTATTATCATTTGACATGGTGTTCTCAGCTTCTCTAGCCAGGCAAGTCGTGAGTCCGCTACCGACGGGTTGCAACAACAATTTTTTCTTGTAGTTTACGTTCTGCACGAGCCAGCTACCTGCTTACGTGTCGGTGGTGCGACGGTCGAATTGCTGGCAACGACTGAACCGGCATCAGTAAATTCAGCCAAATTACAGCATGCACATTAGACAGTTTTTGAATGCTCGGCAAACACTGGCGAACATTAAGCGCTTAAAAACCCAGGTTTTTGAACGCTTAGCTTTACTGATGGGTGAGGAAGGTCTGGTGCATTACGCACGTCGTAATTTGCCATCTAAGGGATTTTAACCTATATTCACGAGTGAAGTCACAAGGCCACAAGGTCGTCCCAAAAGTCCAAACACAGCAATATTCCTACTCCACCCCCTGAAGACAAGACTTGTAAAGGATCCAACAAGGAATAAGTAACCAGCTACTTCACAGACAAACGGAAGCGCAGAGAGAGAGAGCTCAAGTACAGAATAAGCTACCAATATATATCCCCTGATAGGGCCCCAAGTGGTTCAGCATGTTACTATCGAATACGTTTGGAACGGTCATGATCGTACAGTTTGCGTCGGTTGCGTCATCGTTGCCTGTTGTCGCGTACATGCGAGAAGCCATGTGCGAACCCAAGAAAAGTGGGGAGGAGTGATATATAACAAGAAAAAAGAAAGAAAAGGAAAGAAGAACCGACCGGGACAGGAGACTGCATAGTTGGGTTCTGTTATGTGTACCTCCCCATGAACATGTGAGAAGCCCATGAAAATGCCTGGGACGATGGGTATTGGGTCTTTCCCGTTGTTTATTCTCTGGAAATCGGGAACCTGTGCATGTATCAAAAAAGCATGCGAATTGGGCGTATCCAGTTAAGCATGTGGCAGAAGGTGGGAGAGCTGCGGGATTTTAGCGACGCACCAGTCGAATCGAAGAAGCTAGCCCATGCAGGGTTGCCCACGCGTGGCGTCCCATATGTGACACCCTTGATGGCAATGTTGGAAGGCAGACTGAGGGCTAGGAAGAGACAATCGAGTTCGGCGAGTGCACCACCGAGGGAATGGCCAACCTATTTTTATACGTACGGCCAATCAGTACTAGCGTCGAACTTAACTATGTGCAAGCGCGTGGTTGGAATTCCTACCAGTGTAACGGTCTCTGCGTCCATACTGATCCAGTAGCTTATTTACCCCAGCGAGGATGGTAGGTGCAGTCTTGGCATGTTCATTCGCGAATCCGCTGTGCACTTGCACGCTGGAGCTGATGCCCGGGAAGAGTAACGGGTCAAGCGATTCCAAGAATATGTCGACATCAGTGAGATACGCAAGGCTACACGTTTAAATTTAGTGCATAACCATTCAGGACGTTGTGTATGGGTCTTCGAGGATGGTACGCTTACAGCTTAGTTGTGTCCGTCCCCTGGTGGGCTACGATGACTGTGTCTCCGGAGAGCCAGTAACCGACATAGTCTAGGATAACGAATATCGAGTCCATACATATCAGCCCTAGGGGAAATGGAGCGTACAGTATTGCGTGTCACTTCCATCCCCGCCTGTAAGCGATACCAGGAAGTCTGGTACCGCATCGCACGCTTCTGCCATGCTATTCATTGTACTTGAATACGAAGAAGGACGGGAGACGGCGCACCACCACACATCCAGCCATCGACGGTGCTGGGGGGGCAGTATGCTGCACGGGCGAATTGCGAGTAAGGCGCAAGGCTGGCAAGCTCTGAGGGCGAGAGAACATATACATTGCTCTGCTGGAGGTAGGACGTAGTGGAATTAGGCAGGGCACCCACCACCACAAGTCCATTCCAGTGGATGCAGAGTGCTAGCAGAAACATAAAAAGAAGCGTAAGCATCGCGCGCGAATCCAGGGGCAGGGGAAAAGCCCACACTGTCTCACCAAAGTTTATAACGTCTACGCCGTCAAGAAGACGCCTTCTGAATACATACTTGGAGGAACCCAAGGAAGGGCTGATACCCGTAGCCAGAGGTAGTACTGTGGCCAGAGGAACCAAATGTATCCATTCTGGCCTGCGGTGGTCAGTTGGCCATTGTACAACCGACAGAAACGCAAGGTCAGGACGAGAAGACATACCTCTTAGCAACAGTGTACGAAATGAGTTCGAGTAGTAATAATCACGAGAGCCCGTATACGAACTCTGGTCCATGTGGCGATACACGATAATCACTTTTGCAACCTCACGGTGTTCTGTCTACCAGGCAAGTTGTGGGTCCGCGGTTGGCCAGACAAAGTCATCACAGTTCACGTTCTGGGCCAGTTACCTTCCCATTAACGTTGTCATGTGCTGCGAACAGGAGCTGATGAGTCCGTGGTGCGACGATCAGAGTACTGACAAATGACTGAATTGCGCTCTTCGCGACTCGATGGGGAAAGTCTGGCTCCCTCATGCAATAATACGACACTCGTAATTTGCAAGGTTATCATTCATCTACTTCAGATAAGATTCTAACCCACATTCGCGAGCGAAGGTCGTCTTAAAACTTCAAATACAGAAATATTCCTCAGTCCACCCTAGAAAACAAGACTGCAAAAAATCCAGCAAGAAGTAAGCAATCAACTAGTCAGCACAAAGAGAGAGGGAGAGAGAAGGAGATTAATTGCGAGTTGTAGTAGTGATAACTATCCTCTGGAAGGTTCCCGAGTGTTTCAGGATGTCACCTTCAACTATGGCCGGAACGGTCCTGATCGCATGATTGGGATCTGTGTCATCATCGTCGCCTGTTGTGTAGACGCGAGGGGCCATGGCTATACGGGGGGAAATGATATATAACAAGAGAAAAAGGAATCAAATATTGTCTGGACAGGCAACTGCATAGTTAGGTTCCATTATGTGTACCTCCCCAGGAACATGTGAATAGCCAAAGAAAGTCGGTAGAACGATGAGTACTGGGCCCCTCTCGTTGTTCATTCGCTGGGAATTGGGAGCCAGTGGATGGATATACAAAAGCAGCGCCAGGTTAAGGGAATCGCATCTTCGAATCGAAGAGACCAGCCCACTCTGGTTTTCTCACACGCGGCATTCCATATGTGACACCCTTGATGAGATACTGAAAGGCAGGATAAGGGCTATTAGGAAGAGACGGTCGATTTCGGCGAGTGCATCGCCGAGGGAATGAACCTATTTTTGTCACGACCAGTCAGTACTAGCGTCGAGCTTAACTATGTTCAAGCGCGTGGTTGGAATTCCTACCGATATAAGGGACTTGCACGCTGGAGCTGATCCCGGAAGGGATTCCGGGGCAAGAGATTCAAAGATTATGTCAATATCAGTGGGGTCTACGAAACTACAGGTTGGACTTGGCACGTGCTATCTAGGAAATTGAGTCTAGATCATCAAAGACGCTGCACTTACAACTGGGTTGTGTCTGTCCCCCGGTGGGTTACGACAAGAGTGGTTCCGGGGGGCCAGAAGTCTGTATCGATCAGAAGGAATGGATGCGTACTGCATTGTATAGTATTTCCATCTCCGCCTGTAAGCGATACATGGAAGTCTGGTATCGCCTCGCACGTTTCTGCAGGCTGTTCGTTATCCTGGTGTAATACGCACAGAGAAAGAAAACGGACGAACGACCACACATGCAGCCATCGACAATGCTGAGGGAATAATATGCTGTACGGGCGAATTACGTGTAGGTGGAGGACGAGAGAGTAGATACATCACGCTGCTGGAGACAGGATTTGTAGGATTGGGCAGGGCATCCACCACTACAAGCCCTTTCCGACGGACGGAGAGTACTGGAAGAAGAAGTGTGGCACCGCGCGCGGGTCCAGGGAAAGGAACTACACTATTTCAGATAGACCATCAAGGTTTATAACCTCTGCGCCGACACGAAGGGCGCCTGCTGAATACCTAGAGGATTCCAAGGCAGAGGGCCCGAATGCGTCCGTTGTGGCCTATGTGTGGTCAATAGCCAAACTGGTGGACACGCAGGGTCAGGACAAGAAGACATACCTCTCAGTAGCGGTGCACGAGCGAGTCTGAGTGATCATGAGAAGGTGCATATGCCACCTGGTCCGTAATAACTATTACGTCTCCGTAATTATAGATAATCCCCAAAAGGCAACTATTTAAGAATGATGGCGCTGACTAATCTGACATACCGTCAGCTCCACGCGGTGATGGCCCCAACGTTGGCCTGTCGTCGGGGACGAGGACGGTGTCAGGATGGTAACTGCAGCCGTGCAGTGTTGTGGGGACGGGCGATGCTAATACTAGGATGAGTTCTCACCTATGACGTCCGAGCATGAATTTCGCTTGAGACGGACTGAAGGAAACCCCGCCAGCACAGTAACTATTCTTGCAACAAGGGTTGCAGTGCAGTGCGGCGATTTTCCTGCCCCGAGACGTACGCTGACGCAGCAAAAGTCCCAGCCGATGCGCTGACATGGTTTTTTCAAGTTAGACAATCTTTCCAATTCCCACCAAGTCAAATACCTTCCCCCATCTCCCTAATATCAACATCGTCATGTACTACCGCCAGCAGGCGACGTCTCATGCGAGGAGGGACGATTCAGACGCTGGTCATACCCCCGATCATGATTCTCAGCCCAATCAACGGCTGCCTCCTATCAATTCAATGTCATTACCTGGTATGATTCGGGAACAGGATTACCGTACTTTTAGTCCTGCAGTACCTGCACCGGGGTATCCTTCCTCTTCCTCCCAATTTCTCTATCCGTCGCAACACCAACACCTTCAGCCGAGCCTCCAGCCTCACCTTTCTTCGTGGAACCGGCTGCCGTACCTGCTGGACCAGTCTGGTGATCCGTCTCCAGGGAGAGATCATATGCACCGGTTTACCCCACAGCATCAACATCACCCGGACTCGCTTCACCGCACAGAAGATACTTCCGCCGCCACCGCTACTTTCATGCCGGAGGATGTGCCATTCTCGAATACTGCGCAGCTGGAGTCTAATCTAATGATGACTCGGTAGCCCCAACTACATAACTAGACAACGCCCGATGGCTGATCATCCTCCCGTTCCATACCCGTCGCACCAAGTACAATCGTCCCAGTCGCCCCCACGGGCTCAGGAGAGTCCGTCAACAACGGGAGAGGAATCTTCTAGCAAACCGAAGAAATTCACGCAGGATGAAACCTCGCATCGGACTGGCCCCGGATCAGCCGCTAACAACTCAGGGTAAACCGCGAGCGAGAGTCTATGTAGCATGTGTGCAGTGGTCCGTGTCTTGTTTTCCACCATCCGTTCAGAGGAAAGCTGATTTCTGGATGTTGACGCACCTTGTGGTATATATAGCCGGACGAGGAAGATTCGGTGCGATGGTGCGAAACCGGCATGTCACAATTGTACGCGCCGCGCCAAGGCGGATGATGAGTGCACGTATGACGCGGCTCCGAAACGAAGGGGGCCTGATAAGGTACCTGGGGCAAGGCAACGCGTATCAAGGGAGACGAGAACGGATAGGGGGTGATGAGGTCGGCACAAGTTCAGGAAATGTCCGCAGGCGGCGGAGAAGGGGAGACGAGGGCGATGCGAATAATGGGAGTAACACTGCGTTTTCGGATGACGCTAGTGAGAGAGATGAAGGTATCGGTTGTGTAGCGACCACGTCGGCACCACCGTTAGGGTTCTCCTCCCATCCGACCACCTTCCCTGGTGCTAGATCCACAGTTGTCAGACATGACGACCTTTGTAGGTGGTATTGGCGGAGTTGTGGCGGCGACTCCGCTTGCAGCGTCACAGATCTCTCGCAGTACTCCGACGTCAACATCCACGGCCGTATTGGATGGAGGGTTGGGGTCAGTAATCTTAAGTTCTGCAGAGGGTTTTGCTGAAGAGATAATGTACGCAACGAACAGCCAGGTATTAACTTGAATCATTCTCATGGGGTCATTTTCTCACCCTTTTCATTTCGTCCTTGACTGAAGAGTTTAAACAACACCCAAGTATATGATCCATCAATACTACCACTCCCACCGCTACCAGGGAGTGTCTTTGAGAACAGAGATGTAGTACAATATTTCATACGACAGCAACCGCCGCAGGTAGTTGAAGACTGGCAGCGAGAACTCGGAAGAAGCAATCACGCTTTCTTCCGAACCCTCCCTCGAGTTTGTTCGCAAGACATGGTGGGAGTCGCTCTTGGCCGTATACTCGACTGACTTGCCTCTTTTCCCAAATGCGCTCACGGCCATGCAACGTCATCACGCTTCTTCATGGATTACAGCAGACCTTCGTTTTCTTTTCCGCACGTCTAGTTACTGGTTTTCGTTCATCAACGTCCCTTCTTTCCTGTCCACCTTCATGGACCCCCAGAAAAGAGAGAAGATGCAGCCAAGCTTTGCTTATGCTACCTTAGCAGTCGCAACGCTTCTTCAGAGTTCGGAAGTCGGAACGGGAAGCGAAGGCAGAGAGAAGGCGTTAAGATTGAGGGATATGGCACAGGGGGCGCTGGAGGCAAGTCTCTGTGCGCGGTGGGTGGATGAGGAGGTAGCGCAGGCTGCTTGGGTAAGCACTTCGTTCTTTATCTCTCATGCCTGATGACAGCTGGGGGAATGATGACACGTGTCTGATATGAACTTAAGCTCCTTGCCTTTTTTGAACTCTGTCCCCATCCGCGCCACGCGGGTGAACGAACCAGGTCTAGCCTGCTCATGCTTGACAGTATCATTCGCGTACTTTCGCTTGCGACCCTCGACAAGGAAAATCCTGCCGCTGTGCGCTTCAACCGCAACACTGTCCCTGTGGTCCTGTGTCCGCGTCAGACCTCTCCCTCGTCTTTGTCCTCTTCGCGGTATGATGCAAACGAGGGCGTAAACGCGTTCGATGGGATGTCGCAGTCCTACCCCATTCATGGCTGTGCTTGCGCTTCTCTCTCACTTGGTCAAAGCTGGCCTGCATCTCACGAACACGCGCCGCTTTTGGTTGCTACTCCCGGGTGGGACGATGCTTGGACGTCCGGAGAGATCAGAAAAGAAACCTGTAGGAGGTTGTGTTGGCATTCGATGATGCTTACGGCAGGATTTTTGTCATATATACACTCTGCGCGACTAGATCCTCCGGATTTGTTCATTGGAGAACCTGCAAATGTAGGTGGAATTTTTTTTTTTTTTTTTTTCAGAGAACTGCTTTGACCTGTGCCCGTGTTAGATCGCCCTCCTTTTCCCCGCCGAAGCAATGATTTCACGTTATGAGGCGCACTGGGTCAGGGATACAGTGTGGGCGTTGAACTACCGCACAACCCTCCTCTGGCACAGTTGTCTGCGATTGTTACGTGACCCGAATGTGAGCGAGGCGGACCGGGCGAGATTCGGTGTGAACGCGTGGCTTGAGGCAGATATACTTGAGCAGGCACTCGACTCCCATACTTGTGGGATGGAGAGTTCTTATTACCAAGGGCGGGAGTACTTGTTTAAGTGAGTGTGAGCATGCTATCCTATCAATCTTTTTTTTTTCTTTCCCGGAGTGGTCAACTAATGCTGTGGGGGTTGGGCAGCGTGAGATATACGATTTCAAACGAGTTTCAAAAATACATTCCAATCACAACGATGTGCGTGTGCTTTCCCTTCCCTGGTGTTTCGTGCGGGTCGGCTGACCGATTGATGGCAGTAATACGAGTGACTTTTTGCATCGCGGCAAAGCCGAAGAGTGTTGTGGGTCTTGCTTGTTTCTTCAATTTCGTGAGGTGAATGCAACTAACGCCAATCCGGGTGGCAAAATTGGCAGTGAAACATCAAGCCAATATCGCTGAACGCCTTGTGCAGACGATGGGCGCGTTGACGGGGCGTGCCGGGCAATTGCTCGCTCACCGACCGCTCTTCACGTTTTGGTTCATGGGTCAGATTAATAGGTACGTCAGGGCACACGCGCTGCTTGCTTCTTCGATTATCGTTGGGTCTAATTTCCTGCAGAGCCCTTTCTCTTTGGGAGCGTGATAATTCGCTGACTCTCGCCGTGGATGTGTGTGTCACACTCTTTAAACCGATTGATTATTTATCTGCGGTGTGGCCGTGCCGAGGTATGGTACCCTTAGTTGAACGCTTCGCGTTTGGCAGTTTATTGACCTTATTTATGTTTTATTTCGACTATTAGCGCAAACAGCCAAAGCAGTGGCGCTGAGGGCGTGGTTGGCCCGAGCTTGCGAGGTAACGGGGAGACCTCCGCCGCCCCCTGGTCCTCTAAGTGTCTTGTAAACTTGTAGCAGTATGTTGCTCTCTTCTTGCTATCTGCCTGTGTATTCTTTCTGTCTTGGTTTCCGTGTAGAATTAAGTATTCCGATGCTTTGTTGTTCGTAGAGTATTTTTGATGTAATGGATTATGCATCTAGATTAGATACAATCCGTCATCTTCACATACCGAACGCCTTCCAAATCAGGCAACTATTGTGGCCCTCGTCACGTCTGAAATGGTCGAGATTCTCTCCGCTCTCTCATTCACCACCATCGTAGTCACTGCTATTCGAGCGTAGAGTCATTAATAACTATTTAGATGGAACGAGAAGACGTCCTCGTCGCAATGGGCCGCATACCATTCGGCGGTATGAGTACTATGTCATTCGACCTGGTGGACGAAGCCACCAACCGACCGTCGTCGACGCCGCAAGGCCAAACAGGGCCGAGCACAAAACGGGCTGCCTCTCCTTCGTTCGAGGGTCTCGACGATACAGCCAGTAGGAAACGTTGCAGGGAGTACACGGATTCTTCAGTATCACTGACATCGAACTGCGATGCACACGCGGAGTCCTCTAACATCCTTTCTGCCACGGACACTTCCTCTCCACCGCCTCTCTCCTCAATGATACCATCTTCACCCTCTATCACAACAGCCATGACCAAGTACACATCACTCGTCGAAGACCTTGCCCAAGAACTTCAATGTGGGTGCTGCTCGGAACTGGTGTATCGTCCTGTCGTAGTCTCGCCTTGTCAGCATTTCTTTTGCGGGAGGTACGAGTGCCATGGATTTTGAACACCGTGCAGCTTCCTGATACCGATTGTTTATCGATGGTGTAGTTGCTGTGTGTTATGGATACAGGTGAAGTGCCGCCCTTCATCAACCCCTATTGTCCTCTCTGGGTGCACGCCCCAGTCAGCACAACAAGCTCTCGGCTTCGATACTCATATTTTCATTTGTTATTCATGGAATGATGCTTGTGGTGCTGATACGGTGAACCCAATCCTCACAGAACGGAGGCACAAATTGTCCGGCATGTCGCGGAGTGTCTACGCACGTCACGTCTTCACGACCCCTCCAAACGATGGTAGACATCCTACTTCGCTCAGACCCCTCTAGAACGCGCGCAGAACGGGAGCGGATGCAGGCAGACGAAGTATACAAGCCGGGCCAACCGATGAGGGTAAGCAGTTCGTATACGCCAGCTGTTTTGGTTTCTGAATCTGTTGTCATCCTCATGAACTCCTGAATTACTCAATTTCTTTTGCATTCAGATCCCGGCTCCGCGAGAGCCGTCGCCCGAACCCAACTTTAACGATACACCGGATTGGGACTATGCGCGACCATGCCCGCATTGCGCAGCTGATAATCAGTTTGGATGGACGTGCCCCCAACCAATCATCGATTACGCTACGGATCCTGAGCGCGCGTGGCACGTCGATGACGGTGCACCACCTGGCCACGCCTATTGCGGGAACTGGTATGGTTACTTACACACGTGCAACGTGCTTGCTGACGTACTGTTTGCACAGTGAAAGCCTGCTCGCACTGCAAGCCCCTGTCACTACCAAGTGTGATTTCTGCCAAGTATCGTTCTGCGGAATATCCGTGCACGGGCGGTGCATCGCTCTACCCCTGAATGCCCAACAGCCACATGACATGAACGATCTGAGCGATTTTGTCCAATCATCAGAAATTTACGAATGTTTCGACAGCAACCTTATCGAGGTCGAGATCTTGTTCGACTATCTGACTACTCGCCAAATTACTCCGAAGAAGATATATCGTGATGTTAGCATGCATGCTGTTTGGAATATTCCGAATGTGCTTATGGAGTTGACTGTTCTAGATCATGTTGCACACACAAGCTCAGCCTCATGGGTTCCGGCCGCTAATAGAATCTGGAGTTTTTGCTGATATCCACAGTGTTACGCCTGGTGTCGATGAGGACCCGAGTGCACTCCGAACGCGTATTTGCAGGCACTGCGCAGCCGAGATACTCTTGTGGGGACTGAAAGAATGGTGGATTCGAGAGCGGGAATCTGCATTCCAAAAAGGTCTACTACAACGTCGGCCAGATTGTGAAGCGGGGAGTTCGTGTAGTCGACAAAAAGATCTCGGTACGTGTCCACGGGACATTTTTGAGAATTTCAGGGGCTGACGCCTTACCTCACTTCAGCACATACAAAAGAGTGTATGTTCCTGGATCCCGAAAATGCTGATAGAACTGTTTGGCTGACAGAGGGATCACAGTTAATCATGTCATACTAGGCACCCCCCTCGTTACACAATCATACACAGGGGAGGCCTTGTCACAGGATGATGCCTCTCATTCAGGAACCAGCAATGCAGACAGCCGCGAGCGCGGCGAAGGGCCTGGCAACGCTCTCGGTGGCCGGGATAACGACCGTACTGGAGACAGTCCTGACCTTGTTGGCCAGAATGCCGATTCGTCGCCACCAGTGCTCTCTGAAGAGTTTAATCAAGTGGTATCCACTGCCTTGCTTCTCTCTGACGTTATGGCTGCTCAGGACTGACATGTCCTCGGGTATTTATGACGAGCTCATACACACGATTATTGGCCCTCACACGCTACGTCCTCCTTGTACCTCTCCTTTTTGAGCATGTCGCATACAATACATATCGATTCCCTTGCATTGTTCCTGACGTTTTGGGTGAAGGAATTCAATGAAGGTGCATCTAATTTTGGGACTATGCAAGATACAAGGGAGTAAACCTCTACAGCGAGATATCCAAAATCCGCAAATTGAGTATGTGAAACAACAGACAACAACGACAGCAAGATAGAGTGTGCGAAGGGTAATGACAGACGGTGATACACGTATATACGCAAAGATCTACAGCATGTTGTGACGAAACGCGAACAGAAACATAAAGCGAGCATAAATGAAACAGACACCAGATCTAAAGCACTGTACCCGCACCAAGACCGTCATACATCGCCCGATCATCGTCCCAGTGGCGCCTACTTCGTCCCCCTGACGAATGGATGGAGCGCTTATCCATTGCGAGCATCTTGCGTCTCTGACGCTCTTTAAGTTCCTCGGCTAGTCGTTCCATCCTAGCTTTCTCCTCTGCCTTCTTCATCCTCTTTGCCTCAGCCTTGCGAGATTTGATTTCCTTTGGATCTTCGTTCTTGGAATCTTTACCCGTGGCGACACTAGTCGGCGAAGATGACGGCTCCGCTGCAACCTGGTGGGAAAGCGACATCTTCCTAGGTTTGGACGCAGGAGAGACAAACTTGTTCAACGAAAGTTTGAGAGTCCGAGTGCTCGGCGTGGGCGTTGTAGATTCGCTGGAATTAGAAGATCTACTCAGGCTACTTAGACTGCTCAGGGTCGACAACGGCGCCCGAGATTCAGGACCTCCCCCCGCTGGTAATACTGGCGACATGGTCGGGAAGAAGTGGGTCGGAGGAGGCGGCACGTTAAGCCGCAGACGCTCGACGTTGCGAGGTTTGGTGGACGCACGCGGTTCGACGGCCTTGGGCATGCGCACGAATTTTTCTGGGTCCGAAGGGACATCAATGGGCGCAAATATAATGCTACCCGAGCTCTGAGAGAGCCTGCGAGCATCGCGCTCTTCATCAGTGACAGGCGAGCGCTCCTCCCTGACAGTCGGCTGGTACAGAGGCACATGATCAACTGGGGTCTTTAGAGTCGCAGGAGAGTGAGGCTGAGAGTATGTGACGCTTGAAGCGGAACTGAAGGAAGTGGAGGATAACAAAGAAGGGGTATCACTGTCACTGGCGCTTACGCCAGTGTTGGAACGCGCTCGTGCCCGGGCGCGATTGGGTAAGTTGCAGTACGCCGGAGAGCGAGGTAGGGGATAAATGTCATCAGAGTCTTGCTCCGACTCCGATTGTCCTGATATGGAATAAGGGAAACCTGCATCGAATGGAGGAGAAAGAGGTTCTTCGTGCTCTAAGAGAATGTGAGACCGGAAGGTCGTGTTTCGAACAGCACGAACGAGCGGGTTGATGTCTGCGTCCAAATAATCGTCACAGCCGTCATCTAGCGCAACCTCGTTGAATACTTGCTCGTCGGAAGAGGGTGTGTGAATGACAGAAGGTGACAACAAGTCCGCTACAGCACAAAGCTCGAGGTCTGTGTGGACCGAGACGATACTGGGTGATCTCGGCCGACGAGAGGACATCGTGCGCCTACGTCTTGGTGGCGTCAGAGTCGATTGTGATGATGTCGCTTTATGACTGGGTTGCCCTGTTTTTGAGCGCAATTTGATTGATCCGGCCTTATCTGATACCCTACGCGATGCCTCAGCGGCGGCTATATGTCACGCAAAACCATCACACGGTTAGAATTCTATGGACTTATCGACCATGTTAACACATGCATACTACTCACTCTGGTTTCCCACATGACCCCTGGAGTTCAAAGCCGTGCTCTGTTGGTCAACATTACCCGGGAATCTGACATCGGATGTTCCTCGAGCGCGATTGGGTGACCCAAGCGCGTCGTCCGAACCACGACCTTGATGTTCACCATCGCCTTGGTCTGGATTGCGACTTCCCCCTGTTCCCCCTCCTCTGCTATCTGCACGCGAACGCTCTGTTCGTCGCTGGCTGTAAGCCTGTAATAGCTGAGCTTCAATTCCAAGTCAGCCCGCGAAATATCATACACACCATCACAGTTTTCAGGGCACTGCATGCCAGTTAAAGTCAGCCATTGTCCGGATCACAGGAAGAATGACATAAAATAAACATACCGGATTTGGAGGCTGGGACAACTGCAGAGCGTTGCGACCTCGTACACACCCACAGCCGTCGAGTTTGACAGGGCGCGATGCATAGCGTGCTTGACTAATAATTGTAAGTGGGAGATCTGATACGTACTTGAGAGAATCAACAACTGGCTTAGCACGGCAGGAGCGTGCTGCAGCGGGGTAATAAGGGCGAGGGAGTAAAAATACTGCAGCAGCGCCAATGTGATAGGGTACTGTTCTGAAAGATTAAAAGCCCGCGGCGTTAGACGTGGATCCGGTCGAGCCTCTGGAGAGTGTGGAGCCCCAGGCAGGTCGGGTAATCCGACGTCCATCGATGATGAAGGTAAAGTTTCCACGGCTCGCTTAGCGCGTTCCAGGAATTTAATCCTCTGATCCTTGAACCATGGCCACCGGTCTTCCAGAACCCTCCTCGAGCACTTGATTTTGCGGCCGTCATCGCAAAGAATTTCAAAATCAGCCAAAATACCCTCCTCGAGTGCAGAAAGGCCGAGCTCTTGCATCGGAATATCTAGGCGCAATGGCGGAGGTTGGTAAATACCAAACGACTCCAAATCGATCACGGCGACGTGATCCCAGCTTAGGAGTCTACGATTGTAATCTTCGACGAGGTTGCCGTTGCGGTTACCAAAAATTACCAACTTGTTCGTCTCCGCCCATAGGCATGCCCTGAACCATGATCCGGCGGCAAGCGCATTACCAGGATCAATGCGAGACCATGTCATAGTAAGCAGATCGAGAGCCCATATTGAGTATGACTGGTACGTGTGTGCAAGATAAGTTCCCGCAATGATAAAGTGCGTGCCCAAGATGGCACCAGAGGGAAATCGTAGACCGGGGGGGAAGGTCGAGCCATTCATCGACGAGGATTTCTCAGTAATAGTGAAATCGGTGTCCGGTAGGGGAGAGAAAACTTGAAGTTCACGCTTGACGTCTGTGAACTACGGGACGCGCATGACATGAGCGTGGCACAATTCAGAAGAAGATGACTCACGTTGTAATTACTGTAGAGGTAGATGTCGTTTGGAAAATCATCCGTTGGAGCAGCGGAAAACGGAAGGTGAATCAACGACTCGGAAGGGGTGGACTCGGACGAAGGGGACAATTTGTCCGATCGAAAGCGGGATCCCGGTGAGCCTGACGAAGCACTAGTATCTGAGTTACGTAGTTCATTTTGGGGAATGCGAAACCGCTGATTTGCAGATACAGCGACACTACGGTAGGTACCGCAATGATGAGGAAAGCTCCGTCGCTGCACCCAAACCTTTCCTAGTAGGTCGTACACATAGACGTCGTCTAACCATATATTGGATAGATCTTGGCCACCGATGATGAACAAGCGGTCCGCAGTAACGGAAGACAGATGGGCATAGCGAGGTTTCGGTAGGAGCGCCTCAGAGCCAGAATCACGCGGGATTCCATTTGTGGATAATGCAGGTAGCCAGTGCATGGTCAATAAATCGAAAAAACGAATGTCATTCAATACACATAAATCTTCCACGCTGGTCGAATTAGGGACGTTGCCCATGCCACCGAATATAATAAGTTGGTTGTTCCCTGTTGTATGCTGAGAACGGGGAAATGGACATGATCAGAGAACGATGACTTGCATGTTTCCGCACTGTGGAAGTATCGGGGCTCCGGTATATCATCGTCTTCGAAGGGATCTATTCTCTTCCAGACGAAGGTCTCCAAGTCAAAGACATAAAGGTCAGAGACCGTACGACGTTCGGTGACCAGACGACCACCCTGGATAGAATAAGTACTCTTGGCAAGGTTTGGGTAGAAGTGACGCACGAAAAGATACACTTTCGAGCCCACCACCGTAGTGGATGCTCCCTGACATGGACGTGAGTGCGTAGAATGCGACGTTATATGATAGGACATACCACTAGTCTTGGTGGTACATCGCCTGTTGTTTTCCTGCAAAAAGTAGTGAGATCAGATATGGAGTGCATGGACGAAGCTGGGGGACGAGCTTACGCCGGAGGACGACGCGAAGGGTAAATAACCTGTGCCATAAGCAGATCTTAGATCCCCCCAGCAACGTCACGTGCCGTCATGCCATAACCACCAAACACGTGCCGTTCGCCTTTCTCGAAACACAAACGAGCTGCCTGGAAAGCTTGATCGTAGGTACACACCATTAGCCGCCTACAAACTATCTAGCAGCAGCTTGTCAACAAACACATCCTTACGTTCAGTGTAGTTCTTCTATCAACAAACTCGATTTGTACTAAGTACATCACCCCTCAAATTCCTGGGTTAATGTACCTTGCTAGCAGAAATCATGCCATGGACCGATATCGTCCGATATCTTTCTCAAACGTCAACCTACCTCCTATCGAAAAACCCTCATCCACTGAGACATTGCGAAACCAAGAATTCTCGCGGATGGTGACCAAGGGTCGATCCTGAATAGAAGTATCAACTAACCTGCTTCAACGGCCCGGAAATCGTTATCAATCCCCATCGCAGCTAAGCGGAGTTGAACCTTGAACCTTGCCATTTCCGCTCTAAAAGCCAATGAAACGCGAATGAACTGTTGGCGTTAGCAATATTTATGTATTGAAAGCGAAAGGTTATCGCGGATAGTGAGCGAGCCGCCCATCTAATCGCTGTACATAACTACTGTTTACGTACACCTTCCGCAGTTGGATAATTGTTCTTTCGAGAGGCCCATCAGCACCCAGGGGAAGAGGGAGCTTGACAACAGCCAAGGCTATACTTTGATCCTCGCGGACATGCCAGTTCTATGGCCAGCTTCTCCGCATCGTTATAGCTCGTTCGTTCTTTCGTCCAGGTCGGACGATGCGGACGTACCAATCGTACATACCTTGGTTCACGCACCGTATCGCTGGAATCCTGTATCCATAGATTCACTGCTACACAAGGAGGCCCTGTATATAGTCGATAAATGGAAGTCAGTCGAAAATTAATGAGTTGTTCGCTTCAATCAGTATCACTGGGCTAATATTAATAAAGTTCGGTGGCTGCCAGTAAAGTTGAGCATGCATGCGAAATGGGAGGATGTCACTGAAGTTTGAGCGCAGAACATATAGTGTGCGATGATAAAGTACTCTCTCATGAACTTGCACCCAATCCGTACCGGACAATTCGTTAACTTAACCAAATATTGACTGGTGCGTGCCCGTGTCGGGGGAAGAAGTCTTAAGTCTTGGAACCATACGCAGTCATCAGATTATGCAGCTCAACTTGAAGCTAAGGAAACATTTAATAAAAAAGCATCACCATCTGACGGGACGTTTTACATGTCAAGTTAACTGCCACACCTTACCCCCGATAAGTTCCGCAAAGTAGCGGCGACATTCGTCAGCGCTCACTCAAGTGGAGCTGATTACGAAATGATGATGCGCAGTTTAGAGACGCTCTGCAGAATTGCACACCCCGCGTTATGTGCGGAGGACATGTTGGTTTAATGCCTGGGGAGCAAGTGATGAAGTAGTAGGCCAAAGGGGTAGGAACTGAACAATTGAAAGGTGGCTGTGAGAAAAGTGGCTGACGGCCGGATTCGTCGAGTCACGTCACCTCAGTGCATCTATCTGGGTCAGTGAATGTCTCGAACCTTCGCTCAGTTTGCACCTCTGAGTTTCGTCGCACGTCCAAAGGGCACTACTAGATTGATACCCAACCCACCAGTTATGGACCAGATGGAGGTAGCGGAGACGACGGACACCCTCCATGTCCGCTCGCATGTCCAGTATAATGCTCCAGACCATATAACACCCACCAACATCCATCGCTCCCCTCTCGAACAATTTCACATTTGGTTTAATGACGCCCGCATCGCAGGCGTAAGGGAACCAGACGCCATGTCCCTATCCACCGCGACTGCATCAGGCATACCTTCTTCTCGCATGGTTCTCTTCAAACAGCTGGACAAACGCGGCTTTGTCTTTTACACAAACTATACCTCACGCAAGTCAAAGGAATTAGAGGAAAATTCCAATGCTGCACTCTTGTTTTTCTGGCGCGAAATGTCACGCCAGGTTAGGATCGTCGGTCGGGTGGAAAAAGTAAGCAAAGAGGAAACTGAAGCGTACTTCAAGAGTCGCCCCGTGGGCAGTCAGCTTGGTGCTTGGGCTAGCAAACAAAGCAGTATCATTGGGGAAAATGACCTTGCTGCCCGATTGAAGAAATTTCATGATCGTTTCGGTGTGACCGAAGACGCCCACGAACGAGATGTCCCTGCTCCAGAATTCTGGGGTGGGTGGAGGGTAATTCCAAAGTAAGCGCTGGATTTCATCTCCATGGATTTCCTGCCGTTGATGCCTTCCGGAAAGTGAAATGGAATTTTGGTTAGGCAAGCCATCTCGCCTGCACGATCGCATCCGATATCTTCGCGTGAACGGATCAGCATCTGATGGAGAACCTCAGTGGAACATAGATAGACTATCACCGTGAAAGCACTGCTAGCCGATGTGACACCGCCATACAGTACGTTACTCGGTTCTCGTGCTTTAGGCGCGAAGAGGTTTGCTTGTACAATCGGAATACTGATTTCTAGCGGTCGCAGATGTGCCATAAGTCTACGGTAACTTCAGTAGTGCAAGCTTGTTGACTATAGGTGAACATGACATAAAGTAATCGTAGAACTGTCAGGAACTCGGGCCAATTTCAGCGTCACTGAGGCGAACAGCAGGATGTTGCTAGTGGTTGCTATGCTGGCCAATCTAGAAAACCATTCGGCAAGCCTCGACTTAGGTGAACGACCGCCAATCAGAACTCACCCATACTTACATGGTTCTTGAAGTGCTTCGGCCCGATTCCCGTTCCAAGGTGCGAACAATAAGTATTTGCTTGACGTGGGAAGGTGCTGATGCCTTTGGAAGTTGAAAACTTTTGGCGACCAACATTTTTTCCCTGAATTTTTGGTGCTTCACTCCCATTAGCCGAATGATCACCTCACGGTGCAGACCGTGTCTCTATTGTGGGGTCTGCCAGGGTCTGTCCAGGTCGTCTGAGCGCAAAGTCCTGGGTTGGCCACTGCGCCTGCTTAACCCCTCATGCGCGAGTAAATCAATTAATCTCCTTACGGTCTCGAACCATCATGCACTCCGCGCATTTGTGTGAGCGCCTTGATGTCGTGCGGAAATTGACGGGCTTCTTTTAAGAGGTAATCACGTTCTCCCACCTCCACCGGGATGGTGGCGGATCGCGCCAGCCGTTGGTCGTTCTCATTGCTGCGGATTATTAGGCAATGATTAATGACTAGCCAAGATATTGGACTCAGTCACACGCTGAATATCAAGTAGTTGAATTCGCCCGCCTAGCGATTGATACATTGTCTTTCATATTATCATTATATGAAGGATTTTATCGGTAGCGAACGCCTGAGAGCAGTTCCACCAACGCGGTTTTCTCATGTTTTACTGTGTTCTTTGCAAGTCTACTAAGGTTGTATGTAGTGTTCGCTGCGAGCACATTTCTGGGTGCCAGTGATCAACCACGTGATTTTCTTGCACGTGACGAATGGGCGTCTGGTTACTAAGCCTATCTGGGAACCTTCGTAATATTGATACTCAACATATATACCAAATATGTACGGTACAGCGCTCTAGGAATCACTCTTGATTTGTAGGCTGCTGTGAAGCATAAACTGTCTTCATGTCCTCGTCGGGTGCTCTACAAAGGCGTTCTCACAATTACGCGCGCTCTCTTGGGTATGCATTTGAGCAGGCCGAGGGCATGTACCTCATACTCACTGAAGGGGCCGTCTACGCATTCAGTGACATCCGCTCACATATTCGTGGTAGAATACTCGCTATCGTCTATCTGACTCTAATCACGGCTGCCAGACCTGTTGAGGTGCAGGTGACCTGGTGCAGTAGTGTCTTTACGGCGATCACACTGGTAACAGACGACTTGTTCCCGTGTCGCAAGTTACCTGTGGGCGGTGAACCGGTGACCTGTCATCGGCCCGGTAAGAGAACATTTTTTGACTCGCCTACGAACAAGCTGATCATAGGACGAGAGGCGTAAATGGATTGTGTCGACACCAATGTGAGCCCGACAACCCTTGTCGAAGGTATAAATTTGGGTGGTACTTCAAGTTTTCATGGACCAACACTCGTGTGCACCGCTACGGCCTATCCTTTCGTCAACCGTCAAATAGTGTAAAACAATAGTCTACTGACCCGCTACTTGTGCCCCCTGTGGCGGGTGCGACCGCCTAAACCCTACCACTGCGCTGCTCTGTAGTGCTGTCTGAACAGTACTCATATTCTATCCGGGTCCCTCTCTTTACACGTAAGTGGAATACGAAGCTATCTAAGTATCATCACGTCCAACATTACTTCAATGTCTGGTCCACCTTCTCTGTGCATGTCCGCGGACAGAGGTGCTGCTACAATCCAACGTAGATGACCGATGTCCACCATAATAGGATGGTGCCGTCCAACTCCCACTGGAGGTCGCTTTTTTCCACCTTTCAATTACAGTTAAGTCGTGCGTCTGCTTGTAATCTGATTTGTCCCATATGTACTGTAGGTTATGTAGTCACCGGTGAGGTTTCTAGTTACCGTTCCCTGATCCTGTCTAACGATGTATAAATTCGCAGGGACTTATCTACCCTCATTCAACGATTTCCCTCCAGCGAAGCACTCCTCAGACATGAAGTTTACTGCGGTCTTTGCTGCACTTGTTGTGTTTACCATCCCTCGGGCTACTTCCGCTCAAACGACGGCCCTAGTCACATTATAGCGACGACTATGAGCTTTTCAACACCTCTCTCTCCACCTTTGCCTGTTCCAATGGAGCCAATGGGCTTATAACCAAGGGATACACGGGCTTGGGGTCCCTGCCGAACTATCCTAATGTTACCGGCATTCCAAACCTTACCTGGAATTCTACACGATATGGAACCTGCTGGGAGCTTGCGCACCAGTTTCCCAATGGGAGTATCAACACCGTGTTAGTCACTGCTATAGACGCCGCAGCTACTTTCGACCTTTCCCCTTAGGCGTTCAGCTACTTAGCTGGCATCTCGGGTTATGAAGCGGGAAAAGTCACAGCAAACGTAATGCAGCTTGATGCCAGCGCCTGTGGATTTTAGAGTAAGTGGTGAGAAGTTGAAGTGCCTGCAAATACTAATGCCCGGTTTAGAGGCTACTCTGGGGCTCTTTCTAGCCGCCACCCAAGATTCTTCTTTCATGTGAAGTGTGTATTGATTCAAGCCTATCGACGGTTCTTGAGTGCTGGATTGTAGCAGTTGCTTTGCGAATGTAATGTGAAATGACTATGGACAGACCGCTTGGTAGTTTGCAGCCTGGTGTACGTCAGGGGCTAATTGTGAGCGTGGCAGTCAGGTTTCAGTCTAGCTCCTTTGAGTATGCTTCTGCCGCTCCCTCATTGCTTTCATCCGGGGCGAGGCCGGAGTTACTTACCTAACGGATATTCTTCGAGACACTTGACTTGTCAAGATTGCCTTTTCACCACTGCGAGGTTTACGGTAAGTAACTAAACACAAAACAGGCCAGTGCTATTTGTCTCCCTAGTAAATCCACTGCACAGCAACAGTCCATTGAATTCCTAACATTATTTACCACTCCAATTGTCCGAGAATACACGATGGCGACAATCCTGCTGAACAGACCCACTATTGAAACAGAACGAACGTTAGTTGTCTGAGTTCTGCGAGTCGTGTGTGAACAGACCATCTGTTAATTACTACATTCCGCAAAGGCTAGCAGACACCTGAGTCGCAGTGGCCGTAACGGTCCCCTTCTCCTGAGCGATCCCGCCAGTTAATGCGTTCATCGCCTCCAATGAAAGGTTGAAGGACCACGCGCCATCGACACCAGTGACAGTGATTGTCCTGGTAGTCCCACTCGCATCTGTATATGAGAGCTGCCAACAAGAACCGCAATCCGGGGAATTCCAGGTAAGACCCGGGATACCTCCGACATAAGGGAAACTGGGCAGTTCCCCGAGCGTGTCGTATCCTTTGGTCTGAAGACCATTAGCCCCATTTGAGCAGGCGGTTATGGAGAGTGGGGTATTGGGATTATCATAGATGGTGTTGTAGGTGACCTCGACAGAACCCTCCGCAAAAGCGGGAAGGGCAACAGCAGCAAGAGCGACGATGACTGAGATAAACTTCATATTTGCGAGAGAGGTGTGGATGTTGTCACTAGGTGCGGTGGTGATTGGAGCTACACACCTTTCGTAGCCAACGCTTTATACATCGACGGCCACAGCCCTCAACGGGACGTGAACACCGTTTAGCTGTCAAGAGCGAGCTTGCAAGAGAGCCTGTCAACCCGTGACCCAGCAACTGGTGGTAGACGCCCTATTATGGGGAAATGGGTTCGACGCATGACTTCGCATCGCCATGAATTGCGACTAGGGCGCGGCGCTGCTGTCGAGGAATTTGCTTGCCTTGATATCGCATCGCCATTGAATGACAAGAGTTCGTCGCCGTCGCCGCTGGATTTCAAGTGGACGAGGACTTACCACGTCGTGCACTTGCATAATCCAGTCGTTGTATCGGCAATGGCCAGGAGTCAAGGAGGCCAGAACAGCACCCCGAACTAAAAAGGTCATCCTTGCCATCGACAATACAGTCTGTCTGGACTAGACGACCGGGGTTAGGGGCCATTGGTAACGAATAAACACCTCGTGTCCTATTTCGCTGTTTATTCAACTCCGCGTGAGTGCCAGCAGTGTATTAGGCTTGGGCTGGTCAGGGGAGCCCGACATTGCTGTGCTAAACCTTGGCAGAGGTCAATCAACTCACTTCCTCTAGACGGTGCCATTTCGAAACAAACAGCTCCACGTAGGCACACCGGTCGGAAAGCTGTTCAATGTCTGTGATCTTGCAAGACTGCATTCCCAGTCGGCCCCACTGCAGCACGCCACTCCAGACCATATAAGACACATCGCCCATCGCTACCCTCCGGACGACTTCACATTTGGTTTAATGATGTCAGCATCGCAGGTTACTCTCAGGCTTCAAGGGGACCCTATCGGCACCTGAAGGGAACTATTGCGAGAAGCTGCGAGAAGAGTGCCGATACACGCCGTTGGGCAAATACTTTGTCTTTTATACCAACGATACCTCACACAAGTGTAAAGGGCGTGGAAGTGAGGCGCTTGCCAGTGCTTGGGTTATGTATCATTGAACAAAAGAGGGAAAGTCGCCACAAGTCCATCGAAGATATTTCTGCGAACCCTTCAACCGGCACCACCGACTCGGAGGACGCTGGCCAACTTTTGAAACATGCAGAATTCTAGGGTGGTTAGAGAGTAATATCAAAACAACCACCAAATTCCGTCTCCATCATGCATTCCATGTCGTTACCTTCTGGAAGTGTTTCTTTTCTTTTCTTTTTTCTTTTTTTGGCTACGCAGGCCGCCATCTGACCTTCGCGATGCACCCGATATCGGTATCATCATGCAGAGCGACCAACGTCCGATTCGGAGAACCTCATTGTGTCGTATGTAGACTATCCCTGTGATGCCGCACTAGTGGCTGACTTGACGCCCACGATGCAATATCAGATGAAAGGAAGCCTTCTCACCGTGCAATCTGAAAGTTGACATGTTTGGTTATCGCAGAAGTATGATCCTTCGATAGCGGCGCCTCAAAGCCAAACTCCGGGTTCACTGTCGGCGGGCATCATTTCCTCACGTATTAGGTCCCATCCATACTTTTCGGAAATGAGGGAATAAGGCGTACGCTACTAGAAGGGTGGACAAGCTAGCCGATTTGCGTTACATTGCTGACACGAGGGACACAAGCGCTAACGGTGATGCAGAGTGAGCGCCCTTCAAGGGCAGTGTTTCCAATGGCCACCAATGTTGCTATGCTTATGAGTAAACTTCAAGAAGTTTTGCCCCTGAAAGCCATACGATACATCAGCGCAGTTTTCATACCGAATCTAACAGTGGTTTTAACACGAGACGCAACAGGTCCACACGTTGACAAGCAAGCATATCTTCCTCTGTCTGCGTCTTTCGCAATACGAATCAATACGGAATATGCCATCAGCACCTCTTTGGGTCTCAAGTACTTAACCTATCTTGTAAAATAGCAATTCTTTGAGGAGCATTATTACGATGATCGATCGTACTCTGGTGTTCGCCGTGATCCACCAAGTTACGTAGAACCATACTTTCCACGATTCTAGGCGTCTATCTACCCTCCGATATGAAGCGGAAATTATTGGGCTTACTCTCTCGCTAGCGAAGTAAAAGTGCGCTGATAGCTCCTCAGGGTCCTTCCCATTGCAACGGGTCGTCTTTCCTTGGTAACTAGATGTTGGATCTCCGTGTATGCTCGCACAACGGCGCCGGCCAATTACATACTATAATTAGATGAGTGAGGATACATTTTGATTTATACTGACATCGTACTTTCATCATTGTTGAAATCAGGATGTTGCCTGTAGCAAGAAGCTGGTTAAATAGCTACGAATTTTCATTATCGGGGGGTTCTCAGGGGATCTGCGGAATAACGTGCTCACGGTACTGGATGTGTTGTGCGATGTTTTTTCCCTCCTGATCCGCCGATCGGCACGGCCGGAGAGCCCACACCTGTCATCGAGTTTGTGCTTTGCCACACTCACAAGGTCCTCGCAAGTCGCTTGTGAAAACCCGGTCAGAGAACGTTTTCTTAGTTTGTGTTATAGCTATTTAATGCTAGCATGGGAAGGCGCAAACGTATTGTATCCTCATAGAGGTGAGCCTAATCTTGACACTCGGCTGAAGTTATGGCCTGTTGCCTATTGAAGGGGCTAATCGAAGAGGGATGCAACCATGTGTGAAATGTGTGTTCATTCAATCTTAGTCATTACTTTGGATCGTGCGTACTGGCTGACAGGTACACCAAACAGTTTCTGAATATCTGTTAAGACGGGATGTACCTACGGCCCACGGACCTTAAAAGATTGCGCGTGTGTGCACTTGGGAAGTTTGCCGGCGAGGAAGGTTTGTAATACGGGCCGGACAGATTACATACCACCTTGAAACCTGTAATATGTTAAAGTCCATTGTGTCCCTGTGCACGTTTATGCGACTCAAGTACGCAGTAGCGACGGTCTTACCGAACAGACCCCTAGAACCAGCACGATAAGCTATGGCGAGCCGCGCATCAAATAACTTGTCATCACATCCCGCAAAGACTGGGAGTCGCATTGCTCTTAATAGCGCCGTTCTCCTGGGCAACTACGCACCATCAGCAGCAGTGGCTATGACTGCCCTAGTAGTCCGGGTCGCATCAGTATACGAGAGCTCCCAACAGGTGCCGCAGTCGGTGGAATTCCAGGTGAAACCTGGGGTACCCCAAACACGAGGGGAGAATTGGAGTTCCCCGAGGGTGTCGTGTCCTTCGGTATCAAGTCCACTAGCCCCATTCGAACGGGCGGTTACAGAGAGTGGGATGTTGGATTGATCATAGACGGCACGTAACCTCCACAAGCCCATCCGCAAAAGCAGTAGGAAAACAACAACAGGAGCTGCGAGAACTGGGATGAACTTCAAAATCGTGGAGATGCTTACTAGGTGCGGAAGTGATTAACTGGGGTAGCACCTACTACCTCCCACATCCAGATCCACGGCAATTTGCGAATGGCGTAAGTCAAGGCAGCCATGGCGGTCAGATCAACCTCTCGGGCAATGCAACTGTGTTTAAACCATAGCAGAGTTGATGTCAGCTTACTTTCCCTAGTGCGATGAACGGAGAAGTTTGAAACAGACGACAACTAATACGTATTCACCCACCAAAGGACATTCCAAGTAGACATCTTGTAGGCCAGTAGAATGCCAAACCCATGACATATCTTCAATCAAGAGCACCAGATTGGACCTCAGAGAGATTGATGTGCGCAGAGGTATGCATTAGCACTGATGGTTATCCACACCTCAATGTCATTACGGTAGTGTCCAAAAACGAAACCAAACTCTGGGTCCTTTGGAGATCACATCTCTCCCCTAGCAGCTAGAAAGCATGCTTTGGCTCTTTCCTCGAACGCAGCCTTGGCTCCGGCCTCATTTCCTTTGACCCACTTCTGCATCGCGCTACCCTGCAGCCCACGACCGAACGAGAAAGATAGGTTGGGTAGGCGGGACAAACACAGGGGTGACTCAGAAGGTGCACCATTCACGATAGCATTTACGGCGTTGAGGTACTGTACCGAGTCAGAATCCGAAAGACCCCCTGGCAAAAGTGCGGTGAGTTACCCTTGTTTGTTTTCTGGCTGCTCGAAGAACTAAAGGTGTGCACTTACCAGATAAGAAAACGACACCGGCGACGGCGACGGGAAGGGAACGCGCAAGGACGGTAGCTGCAGCAAGGCCAATAGTCTCAACGGAGGTGTTCGCCCGAGAGGGGTGCTTCAAACCCGGTTGGGGGAATGACGGTTTAATTAAGGAGCCTAGGGGCCGACGGAAAGTCGATCTCTTGCGAGTTTACTTGCTTGAAACATACCTTCGAGAAGGACGCCGTATGCAGCGCATCGGGCATAGATCATGCTGATAATCTTGATGTGGACTTCAACACTGCGGTTTAGACTGGCATCTTCCGCAAAATCGACATCTGGCTCTACAATAGGAACTAACCCAGCTTGCTGGCTGATAGCTGCGAATCGAGCGAGACTCTCTGCCTGAACTTCTAGCGCTGCTTGCGTAGGAAGGGTAGATGAATTGCAGAGGATAGGAGCTCGCCATTTACTGAAGCGAGCACCGGCGCGAGCGGCTGCTTGGAGACGTGGCAATAGATCATCGAGGCCTTGTGTCGCAGGTTCGGAGGGTGAAATCGGAAGCGGATGTGCATTAGTGTCTGCACGCACACCTGGGATGATGCCTCGATTTGATAAGACTGGACCCATCTGGAAGTCCAAGAGGGTTTCGTGGTACAGAATGACGCCCGAGATATAATCTGACGAAATAGGTGTACATCAGTGGCACAACAGAGCCAAGAAAATGAGGCAGCTCACCAGTTGGAAGGGATTCGTAAAGGCACTGTCTAAAACGTCTTCTACGCTCTCTCTTCTCAGCGTCGGTGTACAGTTTGCCTACGATACCTTCTGCGGAAGCGAGCCTTGATTCGATGCTATCGATGGTCTCATCTGTAGCGTAGATGCCCTTTCCACGGGGGTTTACTAAAGCCTGGGCTATTTCGATCAAGGACTTTGCGACAGCTGGAGGATGATAGGGATAGAGATAGGAGGTCTCCGATCCAGAGGTGACCTGGGTGCCTGGAAGGGTGGAGGTATAGCCCGGGGTGTCCATCATGTTCGATGACATGGCAGTGGTTGAGAGTCAAGACCTGTGAGACCATGGATTAATATGAACAGGTGGAGTGGAGCACTGGGAACATAACAGGGTCATTACCTCAAAGCTGTCCAACTGCCGGCCCAATTCATGAGTGCACGAAAACTCTTCAAAACACCACGCAACCAAGCCTCGTCACCGAAAACATGCTCAGGCTGGGACCAAGTAGCAGGTCTCTGAGAACAGCTCAGCTTGTCAGGCCGCGGGTGCGACTTTACGCGTCCACCAAACACGACAGCCGCAAAAGTCCTTTCTCCAGGCAAGAAATTGAAGATGACACGATGCAGGACTTCAGACCACCTTGGGTGTACAGGGCGTCAGGTTTCTTGATATATACTATGATACCTGGTGCGTCATCCGTCGTTCATTGCGGTCCAGTTGACCGTACACTGACAACACGGGTACTCAGTCGCCATCTTGTACTGTGTGTTCGTCGCCGACTACGGTGACCGGGAACATGTCTTCTCGCCAGTAAGTCGAAACATTACAATGGTCAGCCTTACTACGATGGAACCTCGTTCTCTGCAGGTACGAAGATGGGCACAAGGACACACAGAATCATTCTTGTCGTTGACGCCAGAGGAAACCGCCCTAGCTCAACGGGACACCACGACCAACGACATCACCAGTCAGAAAAAGGCGTCGTGAGATTCCCGGAATCTTGGTGTTTAGCTTAGATTTAGTTGCCTGTGCTTGAGTATTGAATATTTGGATGGCCGTGTGGTGCGGCATTGTGGCTGGCAGTCTGAATGTAAACCTTGAAACGAAAAACTGTGCAGCTCACCGGATGATGCAGACGACGACCGCACCTCCCTCTTATGTGTATCCGCCGACACAGAACAGATATCAACCATTGACTGGTAGGCAATTCAGCTATTCTAACGCGTAACCAGGTTTTTTATGGTCCTGCTGCCGCAGAATCAGAAATCTATGCGATCAAGAAACAGTACTTGGGCCTGTTGCCTCCACCACAGGTCATCGACATTTGTCTGACCTTCGAAGCCCACGCGCCACTCCCTGTAAAGAGCTCAGTGTGGCCATACGATATTCGGGCTGCCATTGCAGCCATACTGTCCAAGAAAGTCCAGGAGGAGTCCCAGGCCCAGACAGAGTTGGACACCACCACTCCAACAGAGCAAACTTCGTCCAAGGCAAGGACACCCCATCCAGAGGCAATGTATCTCGCAACCCTCATCGCCGACCTTGGATGCCGCTGCTATACCCAGTGCATCGAAATCTCCTGCAGCCACTCAGCTACCGGCGCCCGTTCACTACCCTCATCAGCCGTACTACCACCCTTCTTATCCTCATGCTCCATATTATGCTCCTCATGCCACCTACCCTCCTTACCCTCCACCGCCTCACATACCGTATCCCCAAAATTTACCTGCACAGCCGGCCCTCTTTCCAAGCGCCGCACTAGCATATTCCCCACACTCACCTTCTGCACAACGTCAGGCGCAGCCACAACCGCCCCCGCCCCCACCACCACCACCCCTCAACACCATTGATGACCTTCCTAGTTACGAGGAAATGATCGTCGAGGCCCTGCTCGATTGTGGAGATCCAGAAGGTTGTGCACCGAAAGATTTGTTCAGTTGGATGGCAATGCATTATCCACTACAGACCAATTTTCGACCCTCAGCAAGTCAAGCACTACAAAAGGCCTACAAAAGAGGTAGACTGGAAAAGGGTTCCAATGGCAAATACAGGCTGAACGAAAGCTGGGAAGGAGGTAACGTAAGCACACGGGCACAAAGTCGTCCACTTCGTGTATTAATGGATGACATGTAGACGTCAAGGCGTACAACTCGTCGACCGCAAACGCACACGCCGGGGGTGATGCCCGGATCTCAGGCAACTTCATCTGGGGCATCTCCCTTTACACATGCGCCTCTTATCGCGCATGGATCGCAGATACGACCACCACCCCCTGGTCAACCACCAGGTTATCCAGGTTATCCTTATGGCTATTACTATCAGGGTGCACCCCAACCGGCCTCTATCCCCATACCTGCTACCGGTCAACCTTATCCTTCAACTCAAAAACAACCTCCGGACAACCCGGACCAAGACACGGGGGAAGGGGCCGATGCCTGGGAGGCTGCACAAAGTATCCTTAAAGCGATCAATTTTGGCCAATTGCTTCACATGAGTGAAGGAGACATGACGGGAAACTCGGGAACAACGTCAACCGAGCGACCATCAGCATCATCCACCGAGTCCCTTGATAGTCAGGCTGTATCGAGGGACCGTGCAGTAGGAGAGTCAGGGCCGCAGGTGGAACTCACTGGCGAACAACGAGCAGCGCTACAAGCCCAGCTCGCCCTTTTAGCTGCTCAGCTGGCAGAATTGGCTGATGTCAGCGAGGACGAGTACTCTCACGGCCCGGAAGGAGTGCAGGGTAAAGATAGGACAGCAGTCGCGAGTGTGCCTGAGGGTGCTGGATCAAGAGAGAGTACCGAAGACGAAGATGACGACATGGATATGGTAGAAATCCCGATGTCATCGCTGACAGCTTGATCCACGTTTTCTTGTCTCACAGCGCCGTGGGTGCATTGATTAAGGCAACGGCGGACAGCTCATCTCTGTTTCAGTCGATGTTTGGTAGGTCGTTCATTAAACGTGCGTCAACTTGCTGGAACCATAGCCCACCGTGACTGACTCGTAAGAATTTTCATTTCTACTGTAAGGAACCAATTCTCCCTGTTCCTGTAAGTCGAGCTTGTCCACCTACAAATTCAGGGCGACGTTTCATAACACTCAACAACTACTTGGCATAAGTTTGGTTGTGAGAGTTCTTGCAATTTTACCCACTACAGTGAGTGTTATAGTTGTAGCCGATGTGCGAAATCGTTTACAAGAAGCAAGAGCCACCTCCCCGCTTAGTTGGCATGTAAAGTCTTCTGAAGCGTCTCGGGTGATACAATAGAGCTTCAATACTTTTCGCACAGGTATCGTCGCCGACGATCGATGTTAAGACTTCCAGATTGCGGACGAGATGGTATGCAGGACTACGTATCTCTAACTGCAAATCTTTCTCATCTCCACATGGCGAAATCCTTGGCCGTTCTGCTTGTTCTAGTGTGCCAAGGTATCTCGTAAGTGTGGATGGACTTGCAGCACAATACCGTAGCTTACACTAACCCCGTCTAGGCGATTCCAGCCTGGAGGATTAATTGTGCTGTTACCAGTGAACCTGTGTGAATATCGGTCAAAAGCGGCCATGGTCACAAAATTCACTTACGGCACTGCACATATAGTAGATCATATACCCGCTTCGTCGGGGCCACGTCAGATGGACAGAGGGAAATCCTTGACCCTTGCAAGCGGTTCCCGAAAGGCGTCCCCAGATATTGGAGAATCAGGCATTTCGAATGTAAGTGAAACTACAGTTCGGGGTTTTTGATAACCATGGTGAAAGACGAGAATCAAGTATCCACCCCTCATCATTCCCATGCAATTGTCCCAAGGATGTAGACCAACCAGGATGTCGAGTCATCTTAGTTTGTGCAATCCCGATGATCATGGTGGCGGAAATCTGCCAAATACTCATTTCGGGCTGCAACGACTCGTGTGCAATGTGCGTGTAGATGACTCAAGTTCTCCTTATATACGTTGTAGATCGCAGAACTTCACATCATAACATATCCATTTCAGAATGAAAAAGGCTTTGTGAGTTTGAAACGAATATGGCCCGATCGATAGCTTTGATGCGGTCAGCAGTGACGCGATGAAATACATAAAATCAAACAAAACATAGAAGACAAAAATACGGTGCCGCGGTCGATCGTCATCCTGTGCTTTGGGAGATGCCATATACAAATTGAAACAGATGCCAGCGACCGATAATCGATATCATCTGAGCACTGATATGTGCGATGGGAGCCTCAGGTGGGCCTTGTAGCGATCATACCGTCTGCGCAAGTCGAACCCACTGAACACGAATCGATCATGAGCCATACTACAGCGCAGGAACCGTTGGATTTCAAGCAAGTCTTCGTGAGGACATGAGACAACATACAATTGACGTAGAAGGCCGAACGAAGTGGGGGGTAATCACGGGTTGCTACTAGAAGACAATCCATGGCCATCGTACAACGTACAAACAAGTAGACGCGACCCGTCTAACGAAAAATGAGATAGACCTAGTTGATCTTCAGTAGCTCAACTTCAAACTTGAGCGTAGCGTTTGGCGGAATGACGGGTGGGAAGCCCCTTGCACCGTATGCCTAAAGAGTATGAGCTCGCTGAGCGTAATGCCTATTTCCTGAAAAGCACTTCACCCACATAATCAGGTGTAGCGATCAGAAACGCCTTCTCTCCTAGCGATAGTTGAGGGACACCTTGTTCGAGAGCCGATTCATCAGTTTTTCGTTCGCCGTTACGACGCCCGTAAAAAATCACCTTCATCCCACCCTTTGATCACCTTCCCAACACCAATATCTGTTTCGAAAGGCAATCCGCTGTCGAACACTTCGATCATCGCGTTGATAGAACGCGAGTACACACGGTTACGCACCGATCTCGACTCGAGTCGAACACGTTGCCGTTCAAGAGAGTTCCCACGTAATGTATCTTCACTTTATCTATGGGATGAGGAAATCTCGTCAAGCGATGCGAGCTGCAGGGAATTTTGGGCCGCACACACCCCCTTTCTTTGGAAAGGTCTTGCCATCGCCAGGTGTTATCCTTTCGATGGTGACACCCTGGATAAAGGTATCATCACATGATAAGTGAAGAGATCGGAGGAGCCCACCATTGTGCACGATGATGAACACTAAGTGCGCAGAAGAGATGATAGGTTGATTGTGGCAAGATGATATATAGTGGCGGCGGAGTACGGATCTTGATCCGAATCTGGATATGTGGTCTTACCCTCAACTTTCTCAATATCTGCGCACGATTGAGAGGGATGAAACTGGCTACTTATCAGAGTTAGTTAACTTACTATCATGCCCGGACAATCACCCAGATTGAAGAGAAACACGTGTGATGATCGAATCGATCCACCCATTGCACGATGGAAACATACCGTCATCGCCTGTGTCAGCGACTAACCGCGCAATGAGATTGAGAGTACTTGTGGTACATTTGTGTATACGATGATCATCGACACGAACTGTTCAATGCACAACCTATCGATAGGAAGCCTATCGCACCTATCGCGGCGTTCAAGATGTGCAGAGGGGGCGATTGATGCAACATGTCATCCCTCTGGAGAAAACATGAAGAAAATTTGGACACCAGACTTCCTTCGTCGAGTCTTTGTGTGATTTTATAATCTCAGCTACGCGATGCAACGAGGCCAACGTCACGTCATCCGATGTCCGAACCACATGAGAAGAGATTCAATGCCTCCACATACTACATTAAGTATTTCAGAGGTATCTCATGTCTGGACAATGCCGACTCACCATTTTGTGACGCACAGGCAGGTTAACTGCGTAACGGAGGGGAAGAGACCGGGACACCACGTCCCGTAGTCAAATTCGAAGAGCAACCCTTGCTTCCTAACCGCTTAAGATGAGATGTGCAGACGAGTATAGAAAGAACGCACGTAACTCACGTTCCCCGTGGAACACCGAAAATTAAGAGCAGAATTCCACGTCCGAGGACGTAGCAGGACAATCCCTGAAACTATATCTACGATCCCTCAGAGTCTAACGTTGAAAGTCCAGTACTTAAAGCAAATACTGCGCACCGGAGACAATAGTTACCTTCTTTTCATCGAAAAGTTTATCTTGCGAAACCAAACCACTCGTCTCTGATTTGGAAGGACCACGCAGAGTGGCTAACGCTAACAAGAGTTGCATAACCTTCCCGTTAGTCGCGTCAATTGACGGGGCTCCAGCTTTGGCTCTCGAGCTCGGCCGCCGGCAGCGCAACCTGAGAGACACTTTCTTGCGAGGAAATGGCTTCTTCACACTGCATGAGATCCAAGGACGTCTGAGGGGAGGGGGGGATCCTTTGGGGCTTATAAGCCCCCTACTTCAACCTACATGCATTTTTGCAGTCATAGTCAACGATTACGTCAGCCCACCGTACAGAGTCATATATTCTAGTGTGCTTCTCAAGTCGAAGCTCCTTACGCTCTACGGTAGCTTACTTCTGCCTGAATTTTTATGCGCAAAGTCTCCGTAGCGTAATACGTGTACCGCTTACCAGCTCTCTTACCTCTGTGATCTCATCCCGTTACCTGAGATCATAAGTAGCGGCGTACAAGGTCATCAATAGAATCAGAGCTTATCAATATATCTCCCGTGTCATAGGCACGTGTACCTTGCCATCTCATGTATGTATATCAAGACTGACCTTTGTCATACGGTGCCTTCCTTTCGCCCACTTCTGGAACGCGTCGAGGTAGCAATTATACCTGAGCTTCTTGTTAGCATATACAAATCAAACTCGAACCCCTAACTATGTCTTGGTCACTTACAACACTTACATACTCAACGTAAAAGTCCGGCCAACTATTGTACTATCGTATACCTCCTCTGGAGTGACTCTTGCAGGCTGCCTGGATACGAGGAATGACCAGTACTGTCATCTCACGAGAGAGCGAGGTTGCCTTGGCGACAACCTGTCATGCAAATACTCAGCACTCCCAGCCACTTAGCATCCACCTTCTAAGAGGGGAATGATATTCCGCGGTACATACTGACGGCGGGTTCCACCCAGAAGTCCTGCACGAAGGGTGCACATGAGTATTGGCTGTTTAGACTACTACCGGCCCCTCAAGCTTCACCACTCGCAAGCCTCGTTTTCAGGGTCGCTCTCGTCATAATAACTAACCCAGGTTCATTACGGTACGATGAGGTCATTAACCAATAAACGGCTGTGGAGTGGGTGGTATCAGGCTAGATGATGTTGCTGGATCGGTAGGTGGATACATCCAACGCAAGTACGTCCAATCCTACCTTGGATCGAGCCCCAAATACCCACACCCGCAGGGGCATGATAACGATAACTTTCCCTGCATGTATAGCTTGTGGGCGTGTAGATGAATTTGAAAACACAATCGAACTTACGCTGTAACAACGTCAACGTTCACCAGACGTGTGTGTGCTTTACGCAGTTTGCGGACTCCAGAGCCTCATGGACTGTCATTGAGAGACGCCAACTTGGCGTCATTCGACCGCGATCCTGATGCAATCAGTACTTCTCTTACTCTCGTTTCATAGATTGAAGATCCAACATTACCAAAGCCAGTAGCTGGGCGTACGTACAAGTACTGATCATTACTTGCTGGCGGCCATCAGGAGGCCCCTCAATGTGCTTACCCGCACTGACACAGCGCCGCATTCGTAAGAAGTAAAGCATGCACTTTACCTGGCATTATCAAGGTAACCTTGCGATATGGGATGACACACGTCGACGATAGTGTGCGAGTCGTCAAGTCATTGACAGACAGGCTCTAAGAGAAACGCTCGGAGACGCGACCGTAGTACTTATGTATGTAGCGGCTACAGGAGCGTGCCTACTGTCAGTCCACCAGGCTGGCGGCCTCGTGCAATGTGATTGGTTGCTGCTAACTAAAAATTTAAGTCGCGGTTATGCTTTATCCTGTTATCCTAATTACATAATTTTGGTAACCCCTTAAGCAACCCTTATTCGTGTAGCGCGGACTCCGATTGGTCGGAGAGCAATTGGAAAGAGTTGTTCTTTACGTTACCCCGCACCGGGAACAGCAGGACGGAACCAGAGAACGGGGGCAGCTTTTGCATGTCGGAAGGGATGCCCCGAAGGCTTATTGGATACTCCGAGGCCTGTGCGAACGGGCACGGAAGACATGATGAATGGTGAAGCATTCCTCGCGATGTTCGGACGGCGTGTTTTGTGTATGAATGGTTCAACCCACCTACTACAGGATTGAGCTGGAAGAGGCACGGGACAAGCGGTGTGGCGTGATTTCATCATACATGTTGGCGCAAACATCAGTCCCACAGCAGGGTCATCGATTTGTGTGCCTTTATGGGTCCCCCGCACAGACCGCCTGATGCGGCAGTGCAGTGATCCGTAACCGGAATCACCATACTCATCGCAACAGATGGGTCGTTTTTTTGACCCTCGGACATCTTGGGACAACGACAGTCAACAGATGGCAACGCCCGAACCCGTCCCTTTCCGCAATGGCAAGTGCCATGTGGTCGACAGTCGGAAAAAGAAAGAAAAAAAAAACATGGTGACTATTATTACCTCCGATGCGGTATGTGCTGGTAAGTATTGTGTGCGACTGTCGTTTGCCAACGATTTCGCGATCAACGTGACGCTAGACAGCTGTCCATCCACCGCCTGTCATCGCCACGAAAGGGTTAGTTCTCATCAACTCGGCAACCACCACTCACAGCGGGCCGCAGCAGTACATGTACGCCTCAAGTCCCATACATCAGTGATCTGAGTCGATGAGTCTCTGGAGAAGATACTACAGCATAAGCATAGTTCATAACACTTGCAGACGAGATCACTAGTTCCGACCGGCTCATGGCAACGCCAGCCCACATACCTCGATTAAGTTCCGGCATCTTAGAGACGCAATGGTATGTTACTAAGTCGGTCCATGCAGCTTCCGGAGGCAAGACCCCGACAATGGAACCAAGTATGACGCGTCACCGTCGGCTGTAGATAAACAGCATATGCATACCATACAGCAAAACGATCGAGACCGCGCGCAAAATTCTGGTTGGGCCTACGCCCATTAATAACAGCCCCTTGGCCAGAAATAGGGCTATTGGTCCATCTGCTGACTGCTATGTTTGCACTGAGCGTCTCCGATCCGGCGCTGTTCCCCACATGCCATCTCGTGATTCATTTACGAGGCCTGTGCTCATCCTGTAGTCATCATGCGTGGCAACTCGGGTGGAGCACCTGTCAACCTAGTAGACCTCATCCGACGACTGTACCTGGCCAATGAGTGATCCGAAGTCGCGTTGGACGACTCACCATACAAAGTGCAATACATACATACATGTATTTGTATCATATCGTACTAGGACTTTTCTGGGCTGGTCCTGTGCTCCTGCCAAAAGGTCAACCAAGACAAGGACAAGAACAAGGTGTCACAAACTGCGAGGCGCTGGAGATATATTAAACGTAGTTGCGTCCAGATGCCAGCACAAAGTGGGGAAGGTTGGCTTGCATGCTGCATATGCCACAAGTACCAACACATTAATCACAATCAACACCGACTCGACCAAGGCAGGCAAGCAAGAGCCGTTGCTGCACAAATACACACATACACACATACAGATTCAGAACCAGTACACGACGTAGGATTCCAGAAATGGGCCGTAGAACCTGTCAAGATTGTATTATGGAGGATCTCGGAGCTGGGGAGTCTGGAGCCAAGCACTAGAATTCTGGGTGGTGGGTGGCACGCAGTAGACAATTTGGAATTCTACTGTGAGCTGTGGGGTGGGCGGCGCAAATCTAGATCGAAAAAGTACAAGCGAGTCTTTCTTAGTAGTTAGCAAGTTCCGTGCGTTTTTAATAACGGTGCGCCTGGGACTGGAGTCTGCAGGGCGGCGAGCGTGGCACATGGCTAGTGTACGATTTGCAATTCAGTCGTGAGTCTGGAGGGAGGCGGGGGCTGGGGCGCAAATCTGGATCGAGGAAGACAGCGGTAGATTCGAGGATCTTCTAGCTAATACATAGCAAGTTAAGTAGTCACTTCCGTGCGTTGACAGCAAGTTGACAGTATGTAAGTTGCACAATTGACATGGCGTATTATCGCGATTTGAACTGCACCGCAGCTTTGAGTCTGCCTATCACGGGGAGGCCCGTACTACAATATACAGACAGCGCGGACCTAGAACCAGTTGAACTAGGCGGGGACTTTCGGAAGTGGCATATGATCGACTGAGTTCGAGTCCTACCCAGCTGGTTCTATGAACGAAGTTGGAGCCAAGCCCCGGCAATGGCTGGATCAGAGGTGCGGGTTTGGGTTTGACCTAGCACCACGCACCTACCGACCTATCACAACGTTTACCCCTATAATGAAACGCCAGTACGTACGGTAAGTCAAGTTACCTTCTGCATACTGCCTGACACACAGGTCCACGGCGTCGTCGGTGTTTGGTCGGTTGGGACTAGCGCTGGTTAAGTTCTAGTTCTAGTGGGACTCATCACCGGTAAATTCACTCGCCGATACAGACGGGCGCATATCGATGTAAATGGATAGATCTTATGCAGGTAGTTCGCTGATAAGCAGCTGCATCAGCGGGAAAGTTGAGGAGTTTCAAAATCAAACAGCGGTAGCTGAGAACAATGTGTGTGTATTGGCAGCATGTCCACTACCTGGCAGGATAATACGTTTCAGTCAGGGCGGAGATGACTGCCGTCCGTTCTGGTACAACTTCTGTCAATTGACAGCATGGACCTTCGACTCAGACCTGCGGCATGGTTTCATGGACATTAAAATGCTTTACGAAGAATGATTAATGACCACTGGCAACAGCCCATCTGAGCAACGGTCGACCACTTACTGCAGACGACACACATCGGTCAGGGACGACGGTTATTATTAACTTGTCATGTCACACAATTCGCTAGTGGTGTTCAAGGACATGTTGAATTTCCCTTGAGGACACAACGGGAATACGGAGAAATGTACAATGCTACCTACAACAGAACGATGTGCGTGATGTTGATCAGATATAACGGAAAGAAAAGAAAGTCACAATAAACAAAGTCTCTGAAGGAGAAAAAAAAAGGCCGCCAGAAGTAATAACACACGTCAGACTATCCCGTCATCGAGTACGTGCGTCCGAACCAAACCGAACAAGAACTGGATACCAATGAGCCCCAGTATAACGGAACGATTACTCCACAGTGCTAAAATATTCGTAGGGTAAAAACGAGTAGTTGGTAGTACACGATGAACAGAGCCGAAATGAAAAGCAAGGGGAAAAAAAAGGAAGTATAATGTACAATCCGTACGGCACGACCAATATGGCACTTTTGTGAGGCGAGTTGCGAGCGAGATAAATGTGATAGCGGTGCGACGCAATTAGGGCAGTGTCGACGAGGTCGTTAAGATGCATAATTATCGTGATGTGAGTTTGTGCGTAAATGCGAGGTAGAAGAGAAAGCGAGAGCGAGATGCAGCTGAATAAATCAGGGGTACGTGTTGCCGTTCCGACCGTCGTCGAACCGCAGAGAGAATCCGGGGGTATCGAGGATATGTTTGCTCCGAGTCGCATCGATCAATACTGTGGTTGCTCGCAACTGACCTCCTTTCCTGCGAAAAGGAAGAGACGTTTCACCTGGGGGGTAACTTCGACCTCGACTTCGACCTCCTCGGTTTCGCCATCGATAACACGGGTCACAATGCGCTTTTCCTTCTTTGGAGGCGGCATCATGACAGGGTAGGTCCTGACATTGTCATATGACCACGAACGCACTATCACAGATCAGGGTGAGTACACGATGTTCCACCCAACGGATGCTGTGCGACGTACCTGACACAGATGGTTGCGAGGGGGCCGAGCCGGAACTACTGCGCTCCTCATTGAGCATGCTGTCCTCGCTGACTTCACTGGGGTATCGGCTAAGGGGACTGCTTATGCACGAGGATACGCTCTGGCTCGATGAACTGTGAGGAGGAACTGTGACATTGGGAACAAGCAAGCGACCGCCGGCCTTTGCAAGAAGGTTGTCACGACGGCGACGACTGGAAGTCGTGGAGGTGGGAGAAAGGGGCGGAACGGATTGGCTCGGACACGAGGTGGATGGAGTAAAAGAGGTGCGTGAATCGGGGCGGCGGGAGAGGGGTAGGATGGCTTTCACATCGAGTTGGTCTGCCTCTGACCGACTCGAACGAGGTAGGGAACTAGGTGATTTACAGATGTCAGGGTTGCTGGATGACCATTGGACGCCGCGATGGGAGGAGGCGGCGAAGGATGGCCTTGCTTCCAAGCCAGGGGTGGCTGTGGAAGAGGGGCGAGGTGAGAAACTGTAGACGGATTCACGCCAATCTTGACTGCCATCAGTCCAACCTGGAATGGGTTTGCGAGGTGGCTGTGGCTGGTTGAAGAAGGGACGTTTAGCTGACTGGGGCACACAAAGGGCGGCTTCGATACGCTTGGCGGACATCATTACGCCACTTTGGTAATCGTGGAGATGCTGGGGCTCAGGTGAGGATTCGGGCTTGTTTGACGTGGGTAGAATGGGTGGCGCGGGAGGCAGGGGGGGGAAGCCGTAAATAGCAGAGAGGGTAGTTAAACTGGGAGAGACGGGGCCCGAATCAGAAGAGGAGGAGCGGGATTCGAGCGAGACCGATGCGGGGCCGCTGGACTCGTCCTCGGACTCGCAGTGCACGGAGCGGTCGAAAGAGTTGTGTGGCACTGGTGGGAAGGGTGGGGAAGCGCTATTTGGGTTGTAATCGATGGAGAAGGCACCGTCGAGTCTTGCGAGATCCTTGAACCTGCACTCGTCGGAGCAATACAAAGGAATAGGGCCCTGGTCGATGACTGTGCGCAGTTTTGGCTGAGGGGCTGATTTTGAGGGTGGTTGTTGGGAGGGAGGGGATCTGGAGCGGTTCTTTGAGGGACTCGAGTCGACGGCCGGTCTGATGTGTCCGGTGCCATGGACAAGTCCTCCTCCCTTTCCCTTGTTAGCCTTGGTGCGTTGTGGCTCGTCTTTGGCTGCAAAGGAATGTCAGTAGCTGGGAGTCACGAGGAGGCGGGTGGACCGACGGGGTTGGACTGGGACGGTGTATCGCTTTGGGATGATCTGTCTGTCGCAGACAGGACACCAGGCCTCGTCGTAGTGGACGTCGACGGAGAGCATGATCGCACGTGACCAGGGATGTGAGGAGGGGGAGGGAGAGGACAAGTAATAAGTACGGGTGGGGCAGAAAGACACACACGAGCGAATCTCTGCCTTTAATATTATATTTTTCTTGTTTTCTCCATTAAATGCCGCTTGCCTGTTTCGGCATCGCCCACATCTGGATCGTGCCGTGTTGTCCGACACCTTCCCCGTTGCATTTCCAATTTCCCAGATCAGTCTGTCCAACCGCGGGTCCTCGGCACGCTGACACTCCATGCCCTTTTCGGGATTCTCGCATTTACGTCCAATCAAAATAATAATAATTCTTTTTTCTTCCCACCCCAACCAATCGCGTCCCATCGGACGCCTAAACACGACATCGGCCTTACCCGCGTCTTTCGGCAACTGCCACGGTGCTCACCACCCGTCTACGGGCGACATTTCATCGACGCTGCAATGTTCCGGCTTTTGACTCGTTGACAATATTGCCGCGTCTGCCTCCGTAGAGCCATACAGCTCGACCATATGGTGGGTCTTCATTACCGGCGTTCATGACTAACGCGGCGCTCCCCAGTTGCGTGCAGCGTGCCTGACATCTAGTGCTGTCCGTTCCCCTCTGCTCTTCAATTTCCGGCCGCCTTCTTACACATCACACTGCCCACGTGAGCCTAAACCATACTCCACTCTGCCTTCCCCCGTGGGGTTTTGTTTTGCCTTCTGGTCGCAGCAGCACGCCTCGTCAAAACTTGATGCATCGCAGCCACTCGGCATTTCATACATATCACCGTCCCCGCGCCCAAGCTTCTCCCCTTTGATCCGTCCATACAACGTGGGACACTTGGTTATATGTGTACTGTACACGAATCTCAGCCACCCACCGATGCGGCAGTTTGGTATGCCCCTTTGCTGTGAACAAATGTGTGAGGCTGTTCCACAGGTTCGCACGCCGCTTTGTGTGCTCGGAGTCATCCTTCTCAGGAAGAGACTACCGTGCACACCCATCTCTCCAATCGCTCTCACATGGATGGTGGCGATAAGCGGTCAGATAGCCACAGCGATCCCGTCCTCACACGCTCATTGGATAGCCATATCAACGTGTATACCACTGCGAAAGAGCAGACCGGTAATGGACATGCTGATTACAACACTCGCTTGCTTGCTCTGTTCGGGCACGCGACAAGACACGCTTACTCCGTACGTTTATCGCTCGAGGAAGCTCATTACGTTGCCTTTTTCTATTCCTTTCGTCACTCATCCGCCTGTACGATCCGAGTGCGGCAAAGGTTAATACGACAGCATGCACACGTCTTCCGAAACATCCCCGCAGAACAGCGATCGGTACTTGTGTTGCGCCGCATATCCGCTGCGGTGGATGTACCGTGGGTCGGTTTTGCTCTAACTCCGCATCAGCGATGCTCTATCATAGTGACTCCTTCAAACAGGCACCATCCTAGCATAGCTTCAGATCGGCGCCTCGTAAGCTGAGCCGCGGGGCATCCATTCCTCGCCGAACAGAACGGACAGGTTAAACGGGCCCAGTTCGCCAATCCCTTCTCATCACGGCGTAGCTTCAGGGCCGCACCGCTTTGTACTCTACCGACCAAACTGGCTTTAAATCCCATTATTTTCTTGACTGAAACATGAGAACATTTAGCCTGCAGCCCAGTCCTCGACCTATAGTATGTCTGTCACACCCGAGGAGCTAGGCACGTCTTTTGCACCCGGTCAATAGACTTCGGTAAGTATGTCTTGAAGTGTACGTGATGCATTCGCAGCATTATGAATGCAGACTTTTTGCGGTCGTTCACTGCAAGCGGCTGTGGTGACCATAATCAGACGACAGCAACGGAAACGTCTGTACCGGCCGGTTCTTCGTCAACACACACAAAGTAAGCTTTCTTAGGTAGCCGTGGTGGTGGTGGTGCATCAAATGCTTGATGAAATTCAAGCGCTACGGCGATTTGGTTCGAGTGCCGGCGGATGATGGTATTTTCAACTTAGCACCACTGAAGCCAACATGTACAGTTTCAAAGTCCTGTGCTGGTATCTATATGCGTGCACCTTGCACATGTCAGCAATTTCATATCAGCCTCTCCATCAGCGCTGACATGAGACCTTACTACGTAAGGGTTAATCGGTCGTGGGGAATCAACCACGACGTCGACGGCGTTTTCAATATATTTTCTTTCGTGACCAGGAACGACTCGATGGACTCGAGCCACGCCCTCGGACAGTTACCCCAGGGGAAGCGCCTCCAGGCGCTCGACTAGTGTATAGCCCATCACACTGTCGCTTTACACCGTAATGCTATGTAGTTGTTCGCGCATTACCTGCCTCTAAGGCCACTCGGCGGGCAAGGATTAAAATGTGCAGATATCGCAGGAAATTTTACATATCTGCAAGGAGAAAAAGTTCTGGACCCTGCCGCTGTGACAGACTGGCGGATTCATACGCTGCCACACTAAATTTGGGGGAGGCCCGATGCAACGTAGGAATGGAATAATAATAGTAATGAAAAATAAAAACGTTTTTGCTTCCATTGCACTTGTCTCGGCAAAGTCCACTCGCGACAATTGGAGTCTTGTTCTAGTGAACAGTACGACAGAGAGACAGACAAACGTTTTTCATTTTTGTTTCTGTGCTTGTGAGATTTGATTTGCGTGGATTCTGCCGCGACAGGATTCGAAGGTTCCATAAAACAAAAAAGTGGGTCAGAATCCATCGGTCTGAAATCAAGTGACTGTCAGCGTCTTGCTGCTTTTTGCCTGTAGAATTCTGCGCCATTGGAAATGTTGCTGCTAAGAATGATGACTGAGACTCAGTATAGTCTGAGAGCATTGTTGGCTCCTACCTTATCGATCACGATGAAGAGGCATCGGATTTTGAGACCTGAAGACCTGAATTCCGGATCAGTAACGTGTCCATTACCGCTACCGGTAGTCTGGATGGGCTTGATGATCCTTGCGTTTCCATTGGCTTTGCTCCGGTTGGCTTCGGGGTGAATGTCCTGTTGGACACGATGATAAAGCAACGAGCCGAGACCTTGGCCCCTCCCGAGACAGTAGGCATATACATATCAAGGGTTAAATCCGGGTTAATGCGCTCGGAAGGAGCAGGCTCCGGAGATCAGTGGGAAGGCACGGGAGGTCGTGGCTGACGGGTGAGGCTAAAGTTACTTGCTTACTACGAACTGTCGTTGCCTTGCTGACACGGTTGCTGCCAACAGGGAATGCATAGAAACGTAGCTAGCGTATGTGCATGATCTCATGAGGACTTCTCTCGCAAGATGGAATTTATGTGTGTGGGGGCTAGTTCGCGACATGTTTAGGTTCACACAATTCCCATAGACTCTCAGGGGTTTCCCCCAGAGTAGGATACGGCCAGTACCATGGAATTGGCACGAAATGAATTGTTAACGGTATGTCGCGCCAGCTACCTGGCGCATGTTCTCAGAAGACGAACGTGCGTGGGGCTCATGTGGCGTCATAGCACTGAATGTGCGTGACTAACGTGTTTTACTGGAGACAGCGATTATGCTTGTCTGGTAGGAGTTAGTGTAAGGGGTCGCATTCAAGGCGGATGCAACTACGAGCACGTGGCCACACTAGGATTGGTGTAACCCTTAGTCGGGTTGACTTGCCTGGCATTAACTAACTACGGGTGGGATGGTGCCTGTGTCGTTCACGGTCCTATCCAATCACGTACAGTCATGCGTTCCACAAATTTGTGGGAGGGGCTCTGATTGATCAGACTGGTAGCCTGGTCCTCGTCGTGAATGTTAGTTGGTGTGTGTCTAGTAGTCCGCCACACCCGTGTAATTAGGGTTTTAGGCATCTGTCCAGATATGGTGCCATATCAACGATAAGATATCTGGTCCTCAGCTGTATCGTAGCACAGTTGCTGGCAGTGTGGCGTCGCTTCGAGCTTCCCTAGTTGGGCTGTCACCGAAGATAAGTCTCTGCCGCCCTCCCTGTAGGATACCACCGCGCCAGCGCCCACGTGTCCGTGACAACGCTAGCGACCCTCCCAGTCCACTGATGGCTGTGAATCTCCCTCGCGATATCCGGGCCTTTCTATCGGAATACCATAGAAAGGGCCTAGCAAGGTCTCCTCAGGAGACCGAATGTAATGATAACTTTGAATTCTACAAGAACCGATTACGATGCCAGCCAGATGGACCTATTGGTGGAAGAGATCCTTGATCAGTGAGTTATGGCCGACACGAGCATCAATCGCAGAATTCTCACCAGGGGTCGATGTTCGTGGCTGTACCGCTAACAGGTGGAAAGGAGATTATAACAAGCTCGAGTTCGGCCACGGCTATATACAATGGTTGTGAGTCTGGTATGTTCCTCCGCTGGAACGGATCCAACGAACCGTCGACACTAGATTCCCGATTCAGGAGGACGGGATCAACTTTGCAGCACAGAGGCTTACGCCTCACGAAATATCGGCCATGAGAGCCGACGCAGAGGTCATGCGCCGCATCGTCAGGGCGTACACGATGATGCTGGATTTTTATGGTATGCGACTGCAGTCGGAGGAGACAGGGCTCGTGGGGCGTGCGTTGCCACCTGGGAGTTACAGTTCGCGGTACGTAAACCTTCTCTGTGAGTGATGCTATTGCTATTGCTATTGGTGTTGTTACCCCTGACTGACAATTGGTTCCGATCCAACTACCCGACGGCCATATAGACGCACCACACAATAATCTGAGAATTTCACGTATTCTCAAATGTCTGTCGGAATTGGGCCTTGAGCGCCTCAATGCTGGATTCGTCCTACATGTCCTCAACGAACAAAGCGAGCATGCAGAGTTGAGGTCACCATTCATCTGTGACAGCATGGACAGATGGTGGGCCAACTGCATTCGAGATGATCACGAGAGGGAATGGGTTGCACGACTCATCGCCAGGGTTAGGTCTGGCCAACGAGTGTTCACCAGACAGATGTATGAGAACGTTTTGGAGAGAAGAAGGCAGACTGGGAAGTTCCCTACTGAACTATTGGATGGGAGTACATCGTAGGGAAGTTCTGAATGCGTTAAGAGGCAATTCTATGTACGTAGGTGTCCCGTTCAACTATCAAATGATTTTGAAGTTGTCGGAAGCGTCTATATCCATACACCGCACTCAGATGCTAGTGATGGCTTGTACAATACAGCCGAGGGGGTCAAGTAGTAAGGAAGAAAGGACTTTAGATACAAATCGATAAAAAAGAGTCCAGTCAAGAGCGCGGTAAACACAAGCGGGATATCGTCGATAAATAATGGGCGGTTAACTAACAGATCGCGGTCAACCCAGATGGCATCTAAAAACCCGCAGGAAGACAACTTACATCAAGAATAATGGGCGGCCCCAAGTAATGTTCTGGTTCTTATCACTGGAGACCCCGGAGTTTGGCAAAAAGCGCATCTGATCGCTGTTGCGCGTATTTTGGACTGATTGACATCAACAAATCTTCGATGGTCTCGAATGTTTGGCCGTTGCTAAGCTGCGAATTACAGTGTGTTCAGCGCAATTAGAATTCCTGAACACACCGATACCTACATGATAGCCACGGCCGGTCAAGGTTACCGAGACACAAGAGCCCTCCAGCACCGTGACTGAAGCTGTGGCCTCGTACGCCGAGACAGGAGTTGCAACTTCATACCGAGCGATGCCAAATGTTTGCTCGGAAAGAGCGCGACGCAATTCGTTGTAGAAAAAGCTGGCCATGTGATTCGACTTGGAGCTGGGCCTCCATCGTCGAGAGGAGACCCGTTTATATATCGTGGACATCCACCTTCGGGAAAACATTAAGGGAGCGATTATTGTATACAGTGTCCAATCCTGAGGGCGGTGACAGCGAAGAATTGACTCTAGAAGATGTACATGATCGATACCCTCGTATGACCCTGTGTCCGTGCGCTCGGGGATAGCGGTTTGTGGGAGTGCCAAAGTTATGGCTGACCTCGGGGCTGGTAATAAATGGGGAGACAAGGTCCGGCGGATGCCGCTGGTACAGCAAATCACCGCGATTGTCATAGGTTCTGACAGATGGACATAACCTGTTATGTTGGATAAGTAGTAGACGTCGAGAGTTATGCACCCCTTGATACGCATAATATAAGAAATCCGTTTAACACACCGCAGGAATCTCCGCCGCCAGCGACGATCCTAACCGCCCTCGTAGCTTGGAAGATAATAATAATCTGTGGTGCACTTCCAGGTGGCCTGCAGGAGTTATATCACATGGGAAACAAACGATAAGTGGCATGGGCCGGCTCGGCCAAAGATCCCACCAGATACTACGGTCTAAAATTCTATTAAGATTAGCAGAACCCCATTCTGCTTAAATATATCATGCTACGTAGACTATGGGAGTCCGGATGAACCAGATCAACAAGGAGCATGTCGTCAGAGCTGGTAGGGCTGAGCCTGGCTGAGTACAGGTGGAAGTAATGGAATATTTGCTCTCTGGTTTAATGTTCACGCCGTCATTAGTGGCTGTGGTATTCAAAGTGTTGTTGTTGCAGGACTTCATTTCCCTGGACAGAGGTACCAGTTGCAATCACGGAGCGCGTCCGAAGTCGGGCCGTACCGGCCCCTAGCTGACACAATGCAGGGAGACAGGGAGATACGCTCGGAGTCCAAGAGACCAGGTCAGCTCTGCAAATAAAATTATGACCGTCTTTGTTGTGCCGCGGTGAGTATAACTCCTGCCGCTTTGTGAAATGCACACATCCTGGCTTATCTTGCAGAAGGTCGAGTGATTTTGCACAGGGGACTAATACCGCAAAGCGTTTCCTCCTACCACTAAAGTTGACTTCCCATGCCTTTGGCGTCTTCTATTCCATTCGGTTTTGACGAAGGCCGAAGCGATAAGTCGGGTTGCAAAAACTCTAATTTTCTACGTGGCTGCTTCTGATACCTTGTTTTCGTCTGTTGCTGTGCCTAGAGCCCCTGGCCCAGTCGGCGACATTACCAATATATAATATTTATTGTGGGTATAGAATATGAGGGGGAAGGGCGGAAAGGGCGTTGTTACCAGGGCGAACCTAGGATCATGACCTTTGTGCAAACCATCAGTCAAGTAAATGAGTGGGTAAAATGGGGAGTGTGGTATGCACTGCGCCTGGAAACGTACACACTGCTCGGTCCAAAAGGGGTGTGGGCGGCGAGTCCAGTAATTCAATCGCATATTCATTTCTCCAAAGTTGCACCATAAGGCGGGAGATTGCACTTACTCACGCACCCTCAAGGATGCACGATAGCCCTGCTTCAGGGAAAGTATCCCCTTCGGTTTTCAGAATGTCCGCACACAGACTGAAAGCAATGGAAGAAAAGGTCATTTCCGCGGATTGCCCAACCCGTGGGCAGCTAAACCTTGCCGCGGTGGGGGCAGAGGTAAGGTGGTTTTTGCGCCATAGGCGCATTTCTAACTCCCAGAAAAATAGTGGTTAGGTTACCACTTACCTGGCCCCGGATATCAATGAGCGGCTGAGGACGTGACAAAAAACATGTTCATGCGGCTCCGATGAGGGGGGGAGGTGGTGGCTGAAATTGAGGTCAACCGGCTGGTGAGTGACGTGTAAGTTGCGTCACTGTTCCTCACAGGGCTCAGCGCAAGCCATGAAAGGGGGGCACAACCCAACATACAGAATGCAAACGTACGAGATATCGCTTACCGTTGCAACTTCCAAACAATTTGTTTTCTTTTTCCCTGCTTTCCACGCTGTCTCCGAGTCAGGGTCTGCGCCATCGCCAGTATTTGAGAAGAGGGTTGATGTAACTGTCAACGTTTGCCTGATTTGGATGAGCGGTTACTGCGAACTCTGCTACGACGCAACGTCTCAGCTTGACTACATTCTAGGACCTTTGGCACGCACTATACGATCGTAGAGGACTTCTCAGCATGGACGTGGTGAAAGCTGTCGAGACCTACATCGCCAAGTTGGTGTCCACCCCCTCAGCTATGAAAGTACTCCTGCTCGATGCACACACTGTAATAGTGGTTTCTCCGCACCCGCGTGTCCCAGGACTTATGCATTTGGTCCTTGTAGACCCCCATCGTGTCGCTCGCTGCAACACAATCTACTCTTCTCTCCCATCAAGTTTATTTGACGGATCGTGTTGACAATCCGCAACGGAACCGAATGGCTCACATGAAATGTGTCTGCTTCTTGCAACCCAGCGAGGAAAGCATCGCGGCGGTGTCCTCGGAGCTTCGAGAGCCCAAGTACGGAGACTATTATCTCTGTCAGTGCGTGAAATCATCGCAACGATCGTTCCAAGTATTCATAATATCTTCCGCCCGGTAGACTTCAGCAATGTGCTCTCGAAGTCGACCATCGAGCGCCTTGCGGAAGCGGACGAGTTCGAAGTAGTGAGAGAAGTTCAGGTACATAGCTTCTGTGCTTGCGGCATATACTATTCAACCCTTTCGTCAGGAATACTTCGCGGATTACGCTCCCCTGTTGCCATCTCTGTTTTCCCTCAACCACATCCCAAGTGAGGATAGGCCTCTCTATGGCTCTTCGCCGAACACATGGGATGAAGTTGCACTGGGATGTTCGGTACAGGGAATTATCGCTGTTCTGTTGAGCTTGAGGAAGAAACCTGTCATCCGGTACGAAAAAATGAGCGGTATGGCCAAAAAGTTGGCGAACGAAGTCCACGTAAGACTTATACTTTCTCAATAGATGCATTTGCTTATGTCCATTTCTAACAGCTCCGCATCCAGTCGGAGTCGACCTTGTTTGATTTTCGGCCTGCTGTCGTATCGCCCCTGTTGATTATCCTAGACAGAAGAAATGATCCTGTCACTCCGTTACTGACTCAATGGACTTACCAAGCGATGGTACACGAACTCCTCGGTGTCCATAATGGCCGAGTAAACCTTAGTATGGTTCCCGATATCGGTCCCGAGCTTTCCGTGAGCCATCTTCTTTATACTTTGACACGTGCACTGATAGAGCAACATCATAGGAAATTACACTGACTACGTCCACGGACCCGTTTTTTCAAGCACACCACTTGGCAACATTCGGGGATTTGGGCACATCTCTCAAGAATTATGTCCAGTCCTATCAATCGCGTTCCCTCGCCCAGTCACCCTCGGCCATCAATTCAATATCCGACATGAAGAGATTTGTAGAGGAATTCCCGGAATTCAGGAAATTGGGAGGAAATGTCAGTAAGCACGTCGCCTTGGTGGGCGAGCTTAGCAGGCTGGTCGAGCGAGACCGTCTACTTGACGTCGGAGAAGTAGAACAAGGCCTCGCAACAAGTGCTGGATGTGATTTGAAGGTTTTCTTTCCTCCCACTTTTATTGGTTGCCAATATGAATCCGCACACAGACGGTGCAAGCCCTAGTAACAGACAATGCCGTTTCAGCATGGAACAAGCTCCGCATCGTTATATTGTACGCTCTCCGCTATCAAAAATCACAGACGGGTAACATCGCCGCCCTCATCAATCTTCTGTTGGCGAACGGAGTGTCGAAAGAGGAAGCACGAGTTCGTTCATGGTCGTTCTTGGCCTTGGATTCTGACTATATGTCGTATTTATACAGCTCGTCTACGTGCTGTTGAACATTGCTGGCTCAGATCAGCGGCAAGATGATCTATTCTTGACCTGAGTCATTACTGGCAAAGGGGAAGTCGGCACTGAAGGGCCTGAAGGTAATTGCTCTCTTGGAGTCGGTATCGTGGCTAATCAACCAAGCAACAGGGTGTGGAGAACGTATATACGCAACATACTCCTCACTTATCACAGACATTGGAAAATCTTCTCAAAGGACGTCTCAAAGAGTCAAGTTACCCGTTCCTTGAGGGCTCTGGGAACAAATCTTGGTTTGCAACGGTGTTACTGTATTTGCTATAATTGGGATATATGGTACTAACCATTTGTCAGGGCCCAGGATATTATCATTTTCATCGTTGGGGGGACAACGTACGAAGAGGCGAGAACGGTTGCGTTGTTAAACCAGGAGGCAAACAACGCAGGAACTCAAATATTGCTTGGAGGGACCTGTGTTCACAATTCATCAAGGTCAATAGGGCACCTTTGGTACGATCGTGCGATGTGCTGATGTCATAGCAGCTACGTGGAGATGATACGAGCTGCTGCAAAGAATTTCCCACCGTCAGTTTACGAACCTCCTCCTGAATCGGCATCGAACGCACCGTCCCTCAATCTCAATCTTGGCGGGGTCAATGTCTCTCTTGGTGGTCCCGCTGGAACAGGCTTATATCGGAGTAGCTCGGATAATGCTGGTGTGCAAGCAGAAGGTATCAAGGACGGATGTCCGTAGTTTGTTCGACAAAGTCAGGCAAGGGGTAGGACAAGATTGGATTCTCCTGAGCCGCGTTATTACTTACGCAGAAGATGTCCGTCTTGTGTCTCTGCACTCCCACGTGCAATGATGGCGATGGCAAGGTTAGCGGATATTAGATTTACTGGTGTTATCTAGCATAGTTTTGGCTGATCGTAGGTGAATACCTCGTATGTACTCTCATTCTAGTACTTGTGAGTGCCCTCAGACCTTGGAATTGGGAGTATGATCAATCTGTGATGGCGACAACATACTGGCGAACTAGCACTTGGATGATCGAATGACTCGTGTACAGCTATGCAGTACTCCAAATGGACCGTGCCCGAGATATTTCCGGGTAAGACACGTATCCCCTAGTCACGTGCCCTTCAGGCGACCTAAATCGCATAGTCCTAAGCCTCCTCTCCAACCAAGTTTGCTTCCAAATATCCTCAAGCCCGATTGCTCGGTCAGAGCTCAGACGGTGAGAATGGCCAAGGGGTTTTTGGCGGGCTTGAAAGGTATCGATGCCTTCGGCAAGGTACGCCCCATCCCAGCACTCGTCGGGAACAAGTCGGTTGCCTTCGACTAACCTCTTCAACCCGACAGACTACGGACGGATGTGAAGGTGAAAACGCGCACTGGCGCATTACGTGAGTTTCAGCCTGACCAGATGCATTGTCGTTCTAATACTGTCTAGTGACGCTCATTTCTGCATGTATTATACTTGCTTTCACCACCATGGAGTTTTTCGACTACCGACGGGTAGCAGTCGATACTTCAATAGTCGTCGACAGAAGCAGAGGCCAGAAACTGAGTGTGAAGCTCAATGTTACGTTCCCGCATGTTCCGTGTTACTGTGAGTGTTTTGTAGGCTGTCATGGTTTCATTCATCGTCTGACTGCGAACTAGTGCTGAGTCTGGATGTCCTGGACATATCTGGGGAGCAGCAGAGAGATATCTCCCATAACATAATGAAGAAGCGGCTTACGAAGGCTGGCGATGATGTTGTGGGGATACGTACCGGAGAGTTGCGCAACGACATTGATAAACTAGCCGAACAACGAGGCCCAGATTATTGCGGTTCCTGCTATGGCGGTACGGAACCTCCAAGTGGGTGCTGCAACAGTTGTGAGGACGTGAGACAAGCGTACTCCAATAAAGGTTGGAGTTTTGGGAACCCAGATGATATTGAACAGGTGAATTTTAATTTCCATTCCGTGGAAGCCTGTTTATTCATCATGACTTCTTCGTAGTGCGTTCAAGAAGGGTGGTCAGAGAAGCTCAAAGAGCAGGCAGAAGAAGGCTGCAATATCTCAGGTCGCATTCGTGTCAATAAGGTCGTTGGAAGTATCCACCTATCTCCCGGAAGGTCATACCAGACCAATTCTCGGCAGTTCCGCGACCTGGTCCCATATTTGAGGAATGACGGTAACCCCCACGACTTCTCTCACACGGTTCATGAATTTTTATTCATGGCTGATGATGAGTACAACCCGAAAAAGGCCATCACATCGAAGGAGATGAAGAAACGGATGAATATCGTCGGAAACCCGCTCGACGGTTACGTGGCGAAGGTTTGTTATCGTCAAGTTGCCGAGCTTTCGTATTAATGCACTCTACCGCTAGACCAGCAAGCCGCAGTACATGTTCCAGTATTTCCTCAAAGTTGTCTCGACGCAGTTCAGAATGCTGGGTGACAAAACGGTCTGTTCATTCCATTGCTTTTCTCCTTCTTTGCTCAAGGCAATACGCAGATAAACAGCCACCAGTACAGTGTTACCCACTTTGAGCGGGACTTGAGCGAAAACGGGAACGAGGACAACCAGGGTGTTTATACTCAGCATAGCACTGTTGGCATCCCGGGTGCGCAGTCGATGCATTCACTACCCTCCTATAAACCTTCAGAACTAATGGGCGTCTAGGTGCCTACTTCAACTTCGAGATATCGCCTATTCTCATTGTCCACTCTGAAACGAGGCAATCATTTGCCCACTTCCTTACATCGTGAGTAATAACTGCTGCAGGTTTTCAGTCGTCTCACTGGCCATTTAGTACTTGTGCCATCGTGGGTGGTGTTTTAACAGTTGCCGCCTTGCTGGATAGCATTTTATTTGCCACTGGGCGAAAGCTCAAGAAGAGTGGTGGTGTAAATGGAGGTGCTAAACTCATGTAAATATTTTCTTGTACGGTAACTCTGTTTTCTACCTTCCTTTATCACAACTCCTGCTTTCCGAAGTACGGTGTTCAAGGTTCTAGAGTCCGCCAGGTGTGGTTCACGGATGCATAGAGCTTTCATTCAACATTTCTCCCTCGACCTCAACCTGCTTCGCTCTGCCAATTTCCTCGTCTCCCAACACCCCAGGCTCTGATGTTTCTTCGTAAGCACCCTCCTTGACTCCTGGAGTTCGCTTACTCGTGGGTACATGGGCAACATTCTACAGTAAGAATGTCAAATGCAACCCTGTGTGAGATTGTAGCTGTACTCACCTGAGGTGGATTGTTCACGTAGTCTTCATGAATGTCATGGTCTGTAGCAGCCGGACGATTGACTGTCTGGAAAGGCTTTTTGAACTTAAGTGCAGTGTCTTCTTTCCCGCTACCGTCCTTCATGGCATCCTTTGCGGCTTCGTGGTGCTGTTTGGTCATTGTGAAAGACCGGAACAAAAGTCCCCCAGATGAGTGCAGAAAGCCAACAGACTCGGGTTGCTGAGCTGCTGGATGGAGTTGTGTGCGTCAGCATGATGTCAGTGGGATCTGGAAGACACTAAAATCACGGTTCTCTACTGTGTCACTCAAGCCTCCGACAAACATGGCAAGTATAGGACATAGGCTCCACATTTGCAATCAGATATTGGTTTCTGAAGTAGTGGTGACAAAAGGTTTGTCAGCACTGGATCGCTGCAGGACAGGACATCTTCTAGAGAGCAGATCAAGGAGTTGTTTTTCAGGCCACTGGGACACCCCAAGCACAAGTAACCCGGGAGATGGAACGGCCCCCACGCACATGGGCACACAGCAAGCGTATCAGGCAGTGGGGACAGACCAATGGTATCAATTGCCATACGCAAGGTTAGTCGGCCGATAAGGCGCATTGGACCCGTCGCGCACCGGGAAACGAGTGACTACGTTGGAGAACGCGCCGAACAACTGGCGTTGCATTTCCAGATGCTTGCCGGACCACTTCTGCATATAGAAAAAATATAGAATCCTGGTAGCCTGTCGCCATCCCTGTCTTTGATGACAGGCATATCCATCGACTGCGCTAGGGGCAAGTGATAACTCCCAGGGTGCCAACTTCAGGTCCTGATTTTCCCTGATGCACCAGGGCGCCTGTTCCAGGAGGATTGTGGCTGCTGCACGTTTGATCAGAGTCGACCGAGTCACAGTAGAGGTTGTACATGGCATGTGAGGTGTACACGGCTTCGACCAGACTTTAGTGATGCGGAGAAGACGCCTGCGTGGTGTTGCTGGGCTCGTGCACTGCATTGTGTTGTTGACAGGGGCGGTCCTTGCCGAGACGCGTTTTAGTGAGACCGACGGACGGGAGACACGATGAGCGCGACACCATCAGCAGTCCTCACAGACGCCCTCGCTGCTTTCGGCAGGGCAGCGACACTTGCGGTGCGCCATCTACCACACAAAGTAGCGACTAGCACAAGGCGGTTGACAAGGTGGTTCGTGCTAGATTACCACTGCCCAAGAACAAGCCACAGCAGAGACGCGTGAAGCGCGTCGAGAACGGGACGAGGCCATCAAGGCACTCCACGACTGCAAACTTGAAGAACAGGCTTGGAAAGAAGAAGCAAACACGTGGAAAGCTGCGGTACGCATCCATGTCTAACCGTACCAACCACCTGCTCGCGAACCACGTCACAGGCACGTCAAGCTGAGTTGACGGTACCTTCACCCCAATATTCCTGTCCCAGAATGCACTCAACGTTCTCCAAAAGATCGAACATCATTTAGACACCATTGCACAGCTGCGCCAAGAGGCGACACAATGGAAAGAACAGTGTCTCCGTCTCGAAGATAACTCTAGAGTCGAGGCAGTCAGCTGGAAGGAGCAATTTCTCCGCGTAGAGCAGGAGCGATCGAGGCTTGCCCAACGGGTGGATGTTCTCGTCTCCGAACGTCTCTCCGTGCGTTCCTCTCCTTTCTTCTGCAATTTGCGTTCCAAGTCAACTTTCACTGTCCGCCGTCTTCAGGCTAAACCTCAGTCATTGGATCCTACCGCGCATGTCACTCCAATTATGAGGCATTCAGATGCCAAGGATTTATCAGCGTCCACGGTATTGCGTGCACCACTTGCGTATGACTCGCAATTTTCTGACATAGAGCACCCAAGTCTGCTTCTGTCAAGCCAAAAGCACCTTCAAGCGCGTTGCAAACTCGGCAACCCCCTGGGTCCCTACCTACACCGACCTCTGAAAACCGGGCAAATGCGCGTCTCACAGCCGGGCAGGCAACACATTTCCGCGGACCATCAGGTGGAGCAGGGGTACCAGACCGCCGGCCACTCCTCCTCAGACGTGTACAGGCTGTCGTCGAAGTTCCCGTCAAAGAAGAGAGCGTGGATCGTGATGTACGGAAAGGCATTGCGCCCTCGGCGTCGACTTCTGCATCTGCTTCGACTTCCAAGTTCGCGCCTGTACAGACTCCAGCGACGAAGGCGAACCAGGGGGTTACGCGCATAAAGCGCAAGTCAGCACCACAACGTCTCTACGTAGAAGTGGATGAATCTGGGACCCCATCAGATGACATGGAAACAGATGCCGGTTCCGACGACGATGAGTTGATGATGGGTGCCGAGGTTGGTGACTCGTTCTCTATTTTTTTTCACGGACTGACTATCTTTCGATCACAGCCCAACCTCGAAGAAATCTCCGGCATCAAACACATACGAAAGCCACCAGCTTCAGCGAAGAAGCCCTCCACCCAACCACTGAAGGCCAAGAAGCGTAAAATAGTGCCGGCGGCGGAGAACAATGCAAGGCCGCGGAAATGAGTGCAGCGCCATCTACAGAGCACATCTTCGTGAGCTCACCGAGCACGAATATATGCATGTGGTATCCATACGAAGCCCATGACACGCCACTTGAACGTGACTCATTCACACTTGTCTAATTTAAGCGTCGGTACATCGAGTGTACAGCGAACAGAAGAGTCCTTATGTGTAAGGACTGTTCGATTCTAGCCTGTCTTTCCTACATATTGGTTGAACCACCTAAACACTTCGTAGTGCCATTTCAAACTAAAGCAAGGGTTGAATGGATGGAGCAGCACTACTCACAGGAGACACGAACCTGTTACCAGGATTGAGGACCCAGTGATTTTCGTCAGGAAAGATGACAAGTCGGCTAGGAACGCCCAGTCTATGGGCAAGCCAAGCATATCAGCACAACTAAAAGGACGGAGATAGGACACATACTGCTGCAACGCATGGAATACTGCGATGCCCTCGGTTTCCGGGAGGCGATAATCCTTGCTCCCGTGAACAATAAGCTGTGGTGTCGACCACTTACTGACGGTATACACTGGGCTGTACCTAGAGTAGCGGGCATGGTTGGGGTGTGTCTCGAAGAGCATTGAGAATTATTACGCACTTCCGAGAGAGTTCAAGAGACTTGGGTTCCCATGGACGTCCTCCCCATTCATGATTGAACTAACAAGTGATACGTCGAGGTTTAACCGTTTCGAGAGAGGGAGCAGTACCAACTCACGAAGAAAAGCTCGTCAGTTGCGTAGCCCTTGTAAGTGACATCGAAAACCTGGGTCAAAGACGTTAGCGTCTACGCCACCAAGCAATGGGGAGCGTACACCATCATGACAAAACAGAGCTTTAAAATTGAATCCGAATTCTGGGTTTCCTTGAATCCAGCTTGTATGGTGCGATCAGAGTTTCTTCTCTAACGAGACGGGGTGAGACGTACTTGATAGCAGTAACCACCCCAACTAGCACCCGCGGCGACCGCGCGCTCCGGGTCGACCTAACGGAGCGTCAACCACCTGGCGGACGGAAATCGTCTGATCAACAACTTACTTGGGGATAGTGATCTAATACATATTTCCAGCCATTGCGGAGGTCTACAAATGGTTTTCCGCCCCAATCTTCCTTGATACCTTCGGTGAGGTCTGACGAGCGGCAATTATTAGCATTCCAGTTGCTAATGCACTATGTCAAAAAGATATACTTTGGCCGAAAGACGTAGATCCAGTTGGATTGATCATAACAACGAAAGTAGCCCTGGTTGGCAAAAACTGGTGCAGTTAAGTATCCCCAGGCACGCGATTATTTGGAATAAATGTTACCATTCGGGTTCCAGCGCGTGGACCAAGAATCTTGCCAGCATGATTCAGGGCCTGCGAAAACATTAGCACTAAGGGTACGCCATATGGGATGATAAAGAAGATGAATAACCTCCATGGATGAGCAATACAATAGGCCATTTCTTCATATCCGTGGTCTGATAGCCGGGAGGAGTGAGAATCCATCCATGTATTTGTTGGGTCGCGCCCTCAAACCAGAACTCTTCTCCTGGATGGAGGGACTTTCCCTGCAAGGAATCTGCAGAAAACTTCGTGATCCGGGTAAGTTCACCGCGGTAGATGTTGGGTGTCATGTTCATTACGTCCACTTCCACCTTCCGGAGATTGCCAAGGATAAAGACATCCTTGGGTGCAGTCAGGGAGGAAACTGCAAAACTGATGCGACCATTTGGAAGGATTTGAATGCCGGAAGCAGCATGAGAATCGGTAAGAGCGACGGGTGTCTTATAAGGGTCAGATAGCTTAGGGTGAGTCGTGCTTTTGTCTGGAGTTGGAGGCACAGGAAGAACGAAGATTTTAACCCTTGCCACGTCTTCTGCTGTGAAATAGAGGAAGTCACCATCTTCCGAGAACTGGTGGTCGTTCAACAGTGCAATATCGGGCTGTCAGGGGAATACCAACCACTAGTACACTGGGCGATCGATCCCATTCCTGGGTGACTGTGAAGCTGATGCCTTTGATGAGATCGTGAATGACGATCTTGTGTCTTGTCAGGTGTCAGCACTGAGTATTCAAAACGACACGGAGACCAACCTATCTGATTCGTGGCCATCTTCATCGAGTTGAAGCCAGGCAACTTTTGTGCCTTGGCGGTTGAAGACTGGAGCATGGGTAGCGCCATGGATGCCGGAGGTAAGTTCCACAAGGTTTGAACCATCAAAGCCAACAAGATAGATCTGGACGCGAATGGGAATGACGATGAGAGTAGTAGTATCATACGCCTACATTTTGCTTAGTGTGCATTGCCTGGGGAAGCTTGGGGTCCTTTGCAGTAAAGATAATTTGACTATCCGAAATGTCAAAGTCGTCCTTTCCTCCAAATGGCTCAACGGGAGAGCTCTAGAAAGACGTAAGATTAGGAAGGAAATGGACGATCGGGGGAAGATCATACCAACTCGGTGCCTTTGAGGACGTTTGTGAAAGAATTCCTGAGGACGTATTTGCTGTCCTCTTTTTGAAGTTTGACAGTGAAAAGGGATTTGTGTTTTGGACCAACCCACGTGTCCCATTGACGTTCAAATGTTTGATCGTACACCAGAGCGGTGTTGCCTCGGTTGTCGTATGCTTCGTCATTCGCCGTCACTGCTTCCAAATCGCCGTCCGCGTAAACGTATGCAGAGAATACAAGAGTTCCCGAGCAGGGGGAATAGCAGAAGTCCGCTGCAGTGGTAACTGGGAAGGAACCAACAAGGACAGGTTCTCCGGCAGCAACAATGCCGTTTTCGTATGTGACTGGGACTGCGAATATGTCCTGTTTCTTTCCACTTTCGGCTTCGACGACGTGCGCAATGGTACGCGAGTCAATCCAGAAAGCGTCACCGCCCTTTGGCAGGGGAAGGGAGTATTCCCGAGATCCAGATTCCAAAGGTACAACAGCGAGTAACTTGTGGGTCCTTTTCCCTATCGAGTTAGGCTAAGCTGTGGAGAAGAAGGTTGTAAACTCACTTGCGATCGTCGGAGGAGTACTGACTGATGGGAACGAGTGCCAAATCGCCGGCGATGTTTGGGAGGGGATCCCCCGGCCTTGGCAGGGAGAGCATATCCTTTGGAGAGAGTACATCGCTTGACTCCTTCAAGGCAAACGACGGCGACATGATCGGGCTTGGTTGTGAGGTCGGCGGTGCCGATGGCTGTTGAAGGGAAAGCCCCAGAAGGCCCAGAGCAGCCCCGGGCAACCACATGGCTGGTATCGATGAACTAAACATCCCCCCTTCTCATAACATTCCACCACAGGCGAGTGAGCACGTGACATTGACAAAAGTACAACAGCTCGTATTACTCGCTCATCTCCCCGTCCGAATCCTCCTCAGCTGCAGGTGGTCCACCTGGCCACCTCAGTAATCATACCCGTCTCAGAATCCCACCGGGCCCTCAAAGCTACTCGGAAAACAACCATCTTTTCGCCAATGAGTTTCAGTAGTTGGGCCTGCTCGCTCGTCAGCGCCTTTCCCTGTTCGCATATCTGCTGTGGTGTCTCCAGCGTAGGAACCCCTCTGTTCATTACCGTAGTCAGCCCTAGTTTTCTCAGTTGAGGGTCTTCGTTGTGAGGGAACGGCTCTGGGGGCTCGGAGTGCACACGCATGACGGGGCCAGCAGGAAGCACGACTGTCCGGCTAGCGATGTTACCTGCTCGTGCAAAGTCAGGTTTTCGGAAATCGTCAAACCACTCTATGACTTCTTGCGGTTCCGAGTCAGTGAATAGTAGGCCAACTTGGCCCTTTACGTGCTGCATTCAAAAAGGGTGAGCCCTACAAAAAAAACGAGGATGGCAGATGGATTCTAACTTGTGACAGTTTGTGTAGTCCCAAGCGATGTTCCTCCTCCGGTGTTGTTCCCAGTGCCTTTGCCATTACTGCAGCCCTCCCAAAAAAAATTCTTGCAGAACTACATCGAGCCGCACTCACGTTAGATAGAGAGGACACAGCGGAGACGCCATTTGACTGACCCTCGCCATAAACTTCGGACGGCTTTGAGATGAGTGTTACGCATCGCACCCACTTCGAAGACCCAACAAAACTTCCATTTTTCCGAATTTTCTTGAATCTCTGTCAGGAGAGCAGTTTTATGCTCTCTGGTCTTTTTTGCAACCTTGGTCAGTGAGACGACCTGTGACCGTTTTGACTTTGGCATGCTGATGATGATCTGGTATGATATCGAGCCGATTTGGAAGTCCGCCGACTTCAAGTCTGCACACATACTAATGTCATGATGGCAGTTGGCACCGCTGAACTCAAGGCCCTCCAAGACTCGTTGCTAAACACCAGCGGAGCAGCCGCACTACACGATCGATTTCGTGCACTGTTCACACTCAAGTCTTTGAAAAGCGAAGACGCGGTCGCCATCATATCCAGAGGTACGGCTGGACCATGTTCGCGCAATCATGATGTCTACTTCCACATCCCCAGGTTTTCAGGATCGATCTGCTCTTTTAAAACATGAGTTGGCATATTGTCTAGGCCAGATGAAGCGCACGTCAGCACTCCCTGTGCTAGAGTCAGTCCTCCGAAATGAGGACGAAGACCCTATGGTGCGGCACGAGGTTCGTCACTCCTTCTCTTGCTTGGATAATGCCTTGCTCAACAGTCGTGCCTAGGCAGCGGAAGCTATGGGAGCAATTTCTTCCACTTCTTCTATCCCGATCCTGAAGGAATACCTCGCCGATCGCAATCGGAGTGTCCGCGAGACTTGTGAGATCGCCCTTGCCAAGATTGAATGGGATAACTCGGAAGAGGGAAAAAAACACCTTGTCGAGAAACAGTCCACTGATGCGCTACCGTCAGTTGTTCCCTCAACATAGCTACGGCTAACCCAATGACAATCTCTTTTACCAAGGTCCTATACATCCATCGACCCTGCCCCGCCGTCGTCCAAACTTCTCTCTGGAACGCCGAGACCGGAGGATATCGATAATGCGACCATTCATACACTCAAGTGTACACTCCTGGACACTGGGCTACCTTTGTTTGAGCGATACCGTGCGATGTTTGCCCTTCGGAACATTGGTACGCCCGCCGCAGTCGATGCCCTTGCGGCAGGATTCTCAGATGACAGCGCTCTGTTCAAGTGAGTTTGAAGATGAATGATGATAGGTTGATTTTCTCAAGGTATATTGTCTCCGCGCAAGACATGAAGTTGCGTTTGTCTTCGGGCAGTTGCTCTCGCCACACGCTGTTCCCGCTCTTTTAAAAGTCCTACAAGACACTTCTGAATCCGACATGGTGCGACATGAAGCAGCTGAAGCTTTGGGTGGGATAGCAACGCCGGAAGTGCTTGAGTACCTGAAAGAATGGATGACAAGAGAGGATGCCCCTACAGTCGTGCGTGAGAGTTGCCAAGTTGCGATTGACATGTGGGAGGTATGCATTCTCATTCTCGTTCACGGCAAAACTTGTTAATACTCAACACATTTATCAGTATGAAAACTCGGATCAGTTTCAGTATGCCAATGGCCTGGAGATCGTCAAGAGCACGGCCGAATGTATTCCACCCCTCTAATACATTTCAGGCTCCGGTAGCGTCCACGTGTAGGGAAGGAGTTTGATAAGTATTAGATCATTAGACCGAGCTTCAGGCCAGTACTACATATGTAGTAGTTGTAAAACGGGAGACGCCAAGCGTATGTATAATCTGAGTAAGCGTTTATGTAACCGACGCTGTCTGCTTTCGGCCAATCGGATCGTGTCGTTCTGTCGGCTCCCCACGCCACGTCATCTGGATATTTTGTTGTCTCGTGCCAGCTGCTACTCACGAGCTGACCAGTCAACCAGACGGCCAATCACAACTTGCAAGGTAGCACCAAGCTGCGATTGGTTGTCTGGTTCAATATACTTCGTCGGTCACCATCGAAGATGTCTTTCACCCTCTACTTTAGATCCCCCAGTCATGAAGTTTGCGCGGTAAGCTGCTGCTATATTCAGCACAGGTCTCCTTGAAGTACCTGACCGTTTTGCGCTTATGCTATAGGTACCTCGAGGATGTGCAGGTGGGTGGTGCTTCGGGCCATCGAAGTGCAGCATTGATCAGCGGTCCCCTCGCCTTTAGGCTTCAGAGTGGAAGAAAGCGTACATGTACGTTTCTGTGCCCTTGTGTCGTCTGGAACCATCTTTGTCACACGCTTACCTTCCCTAAAGCGACTACCGCGGCCTGAAGAAGCAAATTCGAGAAATCAAGGCCGAGCATGGGGGCATCTTGAGCCCGGTGATAGTGATCGGCTTCGACTCTTGCGAGGACCCTGGAACCGATTCCTCCGAGACCAGAGAGCCTGAAGCAAAACCAAATAGAATAACCTCTATGCTCTCTATAGGCAGCATGACATCACCATCCTTTAGTCAACTCCTTCCGCAGCTTTCCTCCGCTCAGCGACGGTTTTTCAAGCTACTCGATGCTGACCTAGAGAGAGTGGAATCGTTCTTCCTTGAGCGCCAGCAGGAGGCGGAGGACCGTCACGAAAAGCTTCATGAGCAACTAGAAGAGCTTGTGGCTCATCGCCAACGGATATATGTCAGTACGATCTCAGTATCCGCGCAGCCTGGTTGGATGATCACTCCAATAGGACATCCTTCCATCTCGCAATTCTCGTGTATCGAGCAAGACCCGCTTTATTCACATGTATCAGAGGAACAGCACGGACCTGAGGGCAACGAAGTCTAGTTCAGTTTCAGGACGGGGCGGTGAGTTATCTATGACTTTTGTCTTCATTGCCCTCAGTCCTTCTCGATATCCCCCGTCAGGTTTCTCCGCTAAAATGGGAAAGCAGACTTTGGAGTCGACGAAAACCACCTACGATCGGGAGTATAAGGGCGCGAAGAAGAAGTTAAAGAAAGCTGTCGTGGAGCATTACCGGTATGGCCTGTTGATGTTCTGTCATCGGCGCGCACACTTATCCTGATGCCAGAGGCCTCGAGGTATTAAACAACTACCGTGTAAGTCCCCCATGTACCGTAGGCCATTTTCTTCTATCAAACGTTTCCGTTTCGTGTCAGGTCCTTAACCTCGTAGGATTCCGCAAAGCTCTGAAGAAGTTCGAGAAGGTTACAAAGTTACCTGCGCTCGCTATCTACATGTCGGAAAAGGTGTGGAATATCATTTTTCAAGATTATCTTCCCTACAGCCACGTAACGATAGGTCGAACCATCGGCTTTCTCCAGTGGTTCTCGAGTCAGCACTATGATCAGAGACATGGAAGATATCTATGTTGCACGATTTGGTGAGCAGGCCTGTGCAGCAGTCCAGCATGTCTTTTCTCTTACCGCGTCTTTGATGCACGCATCATGTGTAGCCAAAGGCGACCGGAGGATGGCTATGAAACGTCTACGTCCCGATTCACGCCTGACATCACATCACATGAGCGTATTTCGTTCAGGGATGTATCTTGGATTGGCTGTTGCGGCCTTTGCGGCAGGAATATATCAGTGTACGTGTCCACCTTTGTGGGAATTCACACACGTAGAACACCCCGTCAGGTTCTCTGCAACATACAAGAGAAAATCTTCCTTCGTGGAGTGTTCTTCTGTACATATACGCGATATTTGGGATGCCTGTCTTACTCGCGCTGCTGGTCGGTGTGAATGTTAACGTATGGGCTCGCGAGCGCATAAACTATCCATTTATTTTCGGTGCGTTCTTATTCATTCATTGAATGCTCTTTTTAAGGTTCGTAGAGGTGGATTTAAGAACCAAGATGGATCCTCGCCAATATTTCGAGGTACGTCAGTGAAAGGTGCCCTGGAACGCTGTGACTTAGCCAAATGTGACAGATCCCTTCTCTCATCACGTGTGCCTTGGCCTTCGCATTTTGGCTTTCACTTTCTCCCTTTGGTCCTCCGATGCTGTGGCCTTTGGTTTGGTTGGCTTTTGTCTTCGTGGTCTTGCTCAATCCTCTTCCAGTGGGTAATTTCCAGATGATTGGAAGGCATGCTTGACTCAGTTTCCTTAGCGTTTCATGTCAAGGAGTTCTCGCTGGTGGACTATCAAGAACCTAGCCAAATTATTTTTAAGCTGGTGCATTCAAAGTCGATGTGCGTAGTTTCGCTTGTTAACTTTTGCTCTGTATGATCAATGCATGGGGCCTCTAGTTTACCAGTTTCTGGTTTGGGTAAGCGTTTTCCAATACTGGTCATGCCTTACGCCGCTAGCTCAGACATATCCAGGGATCAACTGTGTAGCTTGACCTTTACTCTCGAGAACCTATATTTCTTCAGCTGCGTCTATGCATCGGGTGGAGATAATGCGATTTCATCACGTGCTTACGATCCCCGGATACAAGATGTCTGGGTGACCTGTGCAACGTCTCGCAACTGGGGCATCCACTACTTCATAGCGATTCTTCCTTACCTGATGCGTCTTGTGCAGTGTGTGAGGCGTTACCGGGATACCAGATTTCTTGGGAATCTTCTCAATGTAGGTTTTTTGTTACACAAACCATATCCGTTGCTGACAGATGTCCGCCTTGAAATTAGGCTGGGAAGTATGCCTCTGGAATGGTGTCCTCACTATGTTATCACTATTGGGTACATTCTGGTACAGAATTCCATTCTTGCTGATTTACGGTCCATGCTCAATCATTTCTCAGGAACTCCACGGCAAGGACCGTCTTTTGTGTTTTTCTGTTTCACGGAGATCTTGAGTTCTTTGTATTCGTGTGCTTGGGTAATGGGACACAGTGACACCTATGTTCACACACCGATTGCTCACCCCTGGTTACCCTCTAGGACTTGATCGTGGATTGGTCTTTGTTCAAGCGCGACACCCGTTATCCTTTGCTCAGGCCCGATCTCATTTACACTTCTCAAATAGCGGTTTGTCTTCACCTGTATATACGGGCAGCCTTACTGACACTTCCTCCCAGTCATACTATTTTGCCATAGTGCGTTCTATAAATTTTAGTTTGTTCTTGACCAGTTCTCATTTTGGTTGGAAGATTACCAATGTTCTTGTTCGCTTCATCTGGGTGATATATATCCCCCCCGGTCGATTATCATTCGTTTTACGCTCGGTCATTGCAGCATTGTTGGAGCTCCTAAGGAGGGTACAATGGAACTTCTGTCCGTCTTGAATCCCAATTTTATCTAGCAGCAAACTCACCCACTGTTCTCTAGATCGCTTAGAGAGCGAACATTTGGGAAATATGGATCAGTACCGGGTCACGCGCGAGGTGCCGCTGCCCTATAGCACACTCGAGTATTTACCAGGAGATGTCCGATGACGACGAAGACGATGGTGACATGTGACGCGTGAGTTGTTTACATACCAAAGCCCTCCAGGATGCTCTTGGACTGCATTTGGGGAAAGCATGTGATGTAGTTATTTAGATTTACAAGCAATACTATAGAGAGAGAGTGTGTGTGTGTCCAATTTTATGTAAGAAATCAGTACAGTGGGGATGTGATATGGAATGGGAATGTCCATAGGGGATGTGTTTACTGAACAAGAGATGCCTTGCCTTGCTCTGGTGGTGGAATCTTAGAGTTATTGCTTGGGAGGGTCTTTAGTAATGGTGTTGCTTGCATTGATCTGAGTTGGTGGAAGATATGCTGATAGACATGAACTGGTGAGATCTATGAAGGTAGTACAGGATACTATTGTAAAGGACACCAATACATGGGATTTATATCACAATAATAAATAAGGTTAGCAACAGCTCAGGAGCTTAGGGGAGGATCTTGTTGAAGGTGATGTTGGCTGTGGGTTTGGATCCCTTAGGTAGTAGAATCTGTGCATGGTTCTGGTGCTGAATATGGGATAGTGCAGTGTATAACTGATTATGAGAGAAGACAGGTCTCGTGACACAAGGTGCATGGCAAAATAATGTTCATCATATTTCATGACATTATTGTAAACATTATTATGAATTTGGATACAAAAATGTCAAAATATTGTTACTGGTAAGATGCAGACATTATGCTAAAGGTGACTTGCAAAAGGTGACTTGCATAATGTAAGCCAATTTTGGATACCAATTATGCTTACATTATTGAAAACTGTCATTACAATAATGTTCACAATACCACTTGGCATAACTCCTTTGTAATGTGAGTGGCAGCACTTGAAAAATACCCTTACAATATTGTAATGCAGTTTTACAATACTGTTCAGATATTAGTAGCCACATTAACTTGATGTTATTGTAATGTACATTCTAAATAATGTTTTCTGAAATATGCAAAACTTATTTGAAAGGAGTACATTATATTGACCCTCAAATCCTCACCTTGTGCAAGTCTATATTCTATACAAGACATATATATATATATATATATAAAGAAAATGCAGAAGAAAAAGAACAGGCCCCTTTCTTAGCCCTCCTGGGCCTCTGACCTCCTGTCCCTCCCCTCAGCATGCCAGAAAAACATATTATCATAGGTGAAGTCTTCATCTTCCCTACATCTGAGGGGGGCCTTAGACTGTGACCATCCTTGCTCACCATTTCTCCTCACACAGGCATCCTCATCTTTGCAATGGCTTTTCCCAACCTATCAGCCACCATGTTCATGTTGAGAATGCATTCCAGAATTACAGTAGCCTCTTGGAGTTTCACCCAGAGGGCTTGGAATTTCTCCCTGACCCTTGGAATTAAATTCTGATGTCACTATGCTTACTAATTATGGTACTATAAATTTTCCACACTGTTCTTTTCCACCTCAGTGACTTCTTCATACACTGAGGTGAGCATACTTATACTTACATTCATTTACTTGGTACTGATGTAGTGTAGATACTCATAACTTTGTTAGGTACCAATAAAGTGACTACTTTGTACACTGAGAAACTCATACCTTCATTAGGTTATGAGCCCTGCTCTCATGCTCTAATTCCAAAAGAGTTATTACACAGCAAGAATACCCACTATGGCAAAAGATGATCATTCCTTACAAGTCCCAACCTAAATGCAGATGGAAGCAACTGGCTATATTACAAGGCTTGGGTTGAATGGGCCATCAGTTCAAAAGGGCTGATTGGACACCTGACTGGCTTGGATGTGAAATCAGAGGACCCTTCAGCAGGAAAAGACTCCTCCTGGAAGCCCACAGCCACAGAGCAAAAACTTGTCAGTGAATACCCAGAAAAACTCTGGCAATGGGCAAAGGATGATGGATATGTCAAGCAGGTGATCACTGTGTCACTCCCAGAATCCCTATTCCTTCAAGTTCTGAAGGAAGAGACTGTGAAGAGTGTGTGGGGTGTCCTCACTGACCTTTTCCAAGACCACTCTTGCATTGTTGCAATTGATCTTTGGAGAAAACTCCAAGAATCCTGCTGTACAGAAAAAGGAGATGTCCATGCTCACTTTGACAAGATGTGCACACTGCATGAACAACTTGCTGCACTTGGTCAGTCTATCACAGACAATGACTTCACAGCTATCATCCTCAGTTCACTTCCTGCTTCATACAACTCCAACCTTGCAGCTATGATGTCTTCAGCCCTGGTCATGCAAAAGGACCTATCTCTGGACTTTATAATCAAAGTAATTTCTGATGAATATGATAGGTGCCAAATGTGGACAAAGAGAGTCAACTCTGCATCAGTAAATCACTTTTGCTGGCCAGAGCTGTCCAGAGCTGTCCAGCACTGGACAGATTACCTAGGACTACCAGCTCACAAAGTGGTTTACTGATGTGGAAACTCCAGAAATTCCAAAGATGCAGCCTATTCAGTGAAGGATGGAAAGAAGTCCACTTGTGAAAATTGTGGAAAGAAAGGTCATGTGCAAGACCAATGCTGGGAAGAGGGTGGTGGAAAAGCTGGACAAGTGCCCAAGTGGTTCCAGAACAAAGGCAAAGGGAAAAAGAAGGAAAAAGGCTCTGGAAAAGCAGCCACTGTGGCCAGTGCAACAGCCAGCTTGAGTGCACAGACCAGCACTGACTTGGAACCCAATGGAGTTTGGCTAGTGCACCTGCAGGATGATGACTGGCTAATGGAAATTGCAGAGGAAGAAGTTCTAAACCCCCAGGATATTGTTATTGATGAAGAAGATGCATATATGAACACCTATGACCATGCTCTCCTTGTGGGTGAAAACCTAAATTCTGCAGAAGAGACCATCCTGTTCAACTCTGGCACTTCATGTCATATGTCCTCCTACTGCAGCAAATTCCTTGATTACAAGCCAATTGTACCCAAACCTATCACTGTGGCCAACAACCACACCTTCCATGCCATCAGAAAAGGCAACCTTGCAATCTCACTCCCAAATGGCACTGTGCAAACCCACATTTGACTCAAGGACATGCTCTATGCCCCCAAGATGGGAATTACACTTGTTTCTGTTAGCAAACTTGATGTTGCTGGGAATGCAGCATTATTCTGAGACAAGTGTTGTCAGATTTTTGATGCTCAGAAAAAGAAAGTAGCTGAAGTTCTGATGCAAAAAGGCCTCTACTGCCTCAAATGAGCTCATCATGCCTTTGCAGGCCTGGCCAAGGCCACAGAATCCTTAACCATGGAGGAGATACATGTCAGACTTGGCCATATCACTCCTGAAGCCATCTGGCAGATGCTCAAGGATGGCACAATCACCAGAATTAAGCTGGTGTCAAGTCTGGGCCTATTCTGACCAACTCCGACACTGGACAAGGTCTGGGGAGAGGTTCGGAAGCAAGTCCAATGGAAAGAGCAGAACTCTGACTGGCAGAGTGTTGGTAGGAATGAAATCCACTGAGGTAAGGGCAGAGCGAAGTGAGGGTGTCAGGTTTAGCTCATGCACTACCCCTTTGCATGATCTCAGCCCTCATATTTCAGAGGGGGAGTACAGACAGACAGTTGGAGGTAACTCTGACAGGCAGAAGACAGAGACAGAGGGAGTAGGAACTAAGTCAATATTCATACTGAGGAATGGTGGAGTATGATACATGCTTTTATACTACTACAGAGGTACAGTAACTGGAATTGGAACTGACATATGGAGACCCAGAAATTTTCAAGTAAAACTTCCTAGATGACAAATGAAGGGCAGATGGAGGACATATGAACAGGTAACATAGAACATCCAGAAAAGGAAATAGTCCAGGCACTGGACCATGCAGTGTGTGTGCTGTGGAGTACCTGACTGTGAACTGTCAGGGAGGAGTCTGAAGGTAGTCACATGACCCCTCAGAGAATGGTCCATTCAGTCTGGTAGGAGAGCAGTACAAGTCTGACAGCAGTTGGAGTGGAGATGACTTGTAAACATCAGGGGGTGGGTGGAGTTGGTGCAGAGTGAGTGAATGACTGGTGGAAAGGGGTGTGGAGTGAGTGAGGACTTAGGATGAACACATGATCATGACAGCTGGATGAAGTGCATTCTACCATGGGTGTATGCAATTCATGTGAATATGCCAAAGCAACTTGGAAGCCCATTGGGAAGGAGTGTGACCCACCCCACCATGAACATCTAGGTGACGAGGTCCACACAGATCTTTGGGGACCTTCTCTGGTCCAAACCCCTGGCCACAGTCAGTACTATGCATCATTCACAGATGACCACACCTGCTACACCAAGCTGTACCTCCAGAAGACAAAAGCCAAGACCTTCACATTGTACAAGGCCTATGAAGCATGGCTGAACATGCAGTTCAACACCAAAGTCAAATGACTTTGCTTGGATTGTGGGGGAGAATACCTTAGTGTGGAATTTTCAGAATATCTGAAATCCTGAGGCACAGAACGATGCATAACTGTCCATGATACCCCTGGAACACAACAGAGTTGCAGAATGACTCAACAGAACACTCATTGAGCACATAAGTGTGATGATTCACACCAGCAGCCTACCCAAGAACCTCTGGGGGGAGGCCATCATGCATGCAACCTGGCTCAAAAACTGCTCATTGACTCACTGTCTAGGCACAAAAACTCCCTACAAAATGCTCTACCAAAGACCACCTGACCTCTCAAAAATTTTGGTCTGGGGATGTCATGTCAAGGTCCATGACACCTCTGGCTCCAAACTAGACATGTGAGCCTGAGATGGACACTGGGTAGGATTTGATCCTGAGAGTGATGGCCACCACATCTACTGGCCAGACACATGAGCAATTGGCATAGAATGCAGCATCCTTTTCGAGCACCAGGAAGTGTCTGTACCTTCAGGTGTGCCACTCAAGGGGGAGCAGGGAAATTCTGAAGCCTCACAAGGAAGTTCTGAGGCTACACAGACAGTCAAGCGACCCACTGAAGCAACTTCAGAAATTCTGAGACTCATTTCAGACTCATTCAGAGAAAATTTTGAAATGCCTCCACCTCAACCTTGTCATTCCACTTGCCAGTGTTTCAAATCAGACTATATGAGGTGCTTACATGCAGGTGAAGGCACTCATGATGGACACATCCCTCTCAACTTTGTAAAAGAACTCTGAGAAAGTGGTAGCAACCCAAACAGCCTGAAATCTTGAGAAAACGCTACCTATGTATTCAACAATGAACTAGCTGCTGATGAAGACAACACCAACATGGTGTATGCTATGGTAGCAGGGATGGCTGAAGCTGAAGGGCTGGACCCATCTACAGTACATGAGGCAAAATCCTGAGCTGACTGGCCAAAGTGGCAAAATGCCATAAATGTGGAATTAAAGAGCCTAGAGGAAGCACATACCTGGGATGTCATTGAGTGCCCCAAAGGTGCAAACATTGTAGGATGCAAATGGGTCTTCAAGATCAAACACAACACCACTGGAGAAATCAAGAAGTACAAGGCCCACCTAGTCACTAAGGGCTACTCTCAGATGCAGGGCATTGACTACAATGAAACATATGCTCCTGTCACAAGACATGCATCTCTCTGCACCATACTAGCAATTGCCACACACAATGACTGGGATATTGATGTATTCAATTTCCACTCAGCATTCCTAAATGGCAAACTCGGAGATGGTGAAGACATCTACATGGAGCTCCCTGAGGGCTACACTGTAGAGTGGAATTTTTCCTGTCCAGTTGGGAAGCTAAACATCACATTATATGGCTCAAAACAAGGCACACTTCAATGGTACCAGAAGCTATGTGCCACTCTTGCAGATCTTGGACTCACCAGGGCACATGCAGACTGGGGAGTATTCTACAGTCACATAGGATCAGAAATCCTCATCCTTGCCAGCCACATTGACAACTGCACTGTAACAGGCAGTTCCCCATCATTAATTCACTCATTCAAACAGGAGATAAGCACTTGTTTTAAAATCTCTGACCTAGGGCACATCAGTTGGCTACTTGGGATGAAGGTGACATGGAACAGAGAAGCCCACACTATATCACTATCCAAGCAGTCCTACATTGAAGCCATCCTGATGAAATATAACCCTGCCAACTGCAAGCCCACTACAGTTCCAATGGACCCTGGAATAAAACTATCTTGCAGAGAAATTCTGCAGCCAGCTGAAGAAGTTGCATGCATGAAAAATGTACCCTACTGTGCTGCTGTAGGCTCCCTTATGCACCTCACTGTTGGAATGTGCCCAGACATTGCATTTGCTGTCTCTACAGTTGTGCAGTTCAATAACACACCCAACATGACTCACTGGGAAGCTGTAAAATGAATCTACAGGTATATTGCCAGCACAGAAGTGCTCACTTTGACATTTGGAAATACAGAACAAGGCCTCAAGGGCTATACTGATGCAGACAGAGCTTCACAGGAGCATTGGTGGGCTATCAGTGGATATGCATATCTACTGGATGGAGGAGCTATTAGCTGGACTTCACAGAAACAAGAACTTGTAACACTCTCCACTGCTGAAGCAGAGTATGTTGCAGCAACTCACACAGCCAAAGAGGGCTTGTGGCTTCAATGACTCATCAGAGAAGTTTTCCGACCACTCAAACATCCTATCCCACTGTATTCTGACAGCCAATCCACCATCACACTCACCAAGGATGGCAGCTACCATGCTTGCACCAAGCACATCGATATGCAATACCATTTCATTTATTTCACTGTGGAAAACCATTCCTTTCATTTAATTTATTGTCCTACTGACAACATGGTTGCCAATACCCTTACCAAACCTTTACCTAGCATCAAGGTGAAACACTTTGCATCTGCACTTGGATTCTGTTCTGATTGAGGGGCAGTGTTGAGAATGCATTCTGGAATTACAGTAGCCTCTCAGAGTTTCACCCAGAGGGCTTGGAATTTCTCCCTGACCCTCAGAATTAAATTCTGATGTCACTACACTTACTAATTATGGTACTATAAATTTTCTGCACCATTCTTTTCCACCTCAGTGACTTCTTCATACACTGAGGTGAGCATACTTATACTTACATTCATTTACTTGGTACTGATGTAGTGTAGATACTCATAACTTCATTAGGTACCAATAAAGTGACTACTTTGTACACTGAGAAACTCATACCTTTGTCAGTTCACACTCAAACTTTCTCCCCTTCTTGCAAAACACATTCTGCACCCTTAACACCATGCCCTTCAAACATGGCTCCCTCCTTTCACAAAACACACACTCAACCCTTCTTGTAAATGACCCTTGACCCTCTGAACCCAGAATGCATGATGATGGGGGTAACTCTGGTCAAAGCAAACAAGGGGGTGGCAAATCAAGTATGAAGCAGAGGGGTGACTGCTCTTTGAAATGCAGTAGACAGCATGACATGGCAATGGGGTACTAGCTCAGCTCAGCAGCTGGCATGTTGGCCCTTGGCCATTATGTGTTAGATTTGGCAAGTCATGCATAGTCTGAATGTGTCCATGCTGAGATGTGAGAATTGCTCTCCATTTCATACTTCACATTACTATTGAGTGTGCAATTAACTTTCATGCCCTTGTGCTTATTGTGTTTACAGTGTTTTGCACTTATGTGCATGTTTCTTATTACTTATGAAGAATGTAGTGTGTCTCAAACAGACCACCCTTGTTGTGTAAATTTATTAAGTCCATGTCAAGGTTGGGGGTTGAAGGCCAATGTGACAACCCTTGGTCTTAGCTTGTGTGCTAGACCCTTGCACAAGCCAGGTTGAAGTCAGAGGGAGTTGAGGGGGTTCAGGAGTGAAAGCTGAGAGTCAACTTGGGCTTAAGCTGGGAGCTTAGGGGTGAACTAATTTGACATTCAGACTGGAGAGCTAAGTACAATGTATGTAGAGTATATATACTGAAGAGCAGCAACCTGAAGGCTGGGGCTACCAGTGAGGGGCTAAATAGTGATGCAAGGAACTAACTAAAAGTTAAGTGAGGAGGCAGGGATCAGGGAGCCAAAGGCAGTCACTGCCTCAACATAAGCAAGGGCAATACAAAGGCTAACTAGAAAAGTATAGTGAGGAACAGAGTACATTTTGGCATTCAGAATGTAAGACTGAGGTGTGAGTTTCTCAGTATATGACAAAATTATGGATTCAACATGTTAAGTTCATGACTGGGTTGGGGATCAAAGGCTGAAGGCTGAGTGCTGGGTGTGACAACCCTTGGTCTTAGCTCATGTGCTAGACCCTTGCACAAGCTGGGTTGAAGTCAGAGTAAGCCAAGGGGGGTCAGGAGCAAAAGCCAAGAGTTGACTTGAGCTTAAGCTAGGAGCTTAGGGGGTGAACTAGGTTGATATTCAGACTGAGGAGCTAAGTACAACATACATAGAGTATATATACCAAAGACTAGCAACCTGAAGGCTGGGGTTACTGGCGAGGGACTAAATAGCAATGCCAGGAGCTAACTAAAAGTTAAGTGAGGAGGCAGGGGTCTGAGAGCTGAAGACAGACACTGCCTTGGCACAAGTGAGGGCAGTACAAAAGCTAACTAAAAAAGTATAGTGAGGAACAGAGTTCATTTTGGCATTTGGCATTGACTCAGCATTCTGAACATAAGACTGAACTGTGGGTTTCTTGGTATATGACAGTATCCCCCCCTTAGGGTTGAGCCCTTGAGACCTGCCCTAATGTACATGAGGTTGGCAGTCACCATGCCAATAGAACATGTGTTCCCTGGGTTAAAAGGTGCAATTTTTGCAAAGACTGTTTTCTCCTGACCCTTCATCATGTTCTCTATTCATCAAGACTCTCCATGCAAATCCAATGACCCATCCAGCCTCCAAAGGGCCACCACACCCAAGCTCCAGATTACCAGTGATGATGAAGAAGCTGACATCCAGGCTAAGATGGCCAAGTGCAAGTGGTGCAAGGCTGTGATGGAAGAGGCTGCCTGGCTGGAGGCAGAGAGGCTCAAGAGGGAGCAACTAGAGGCAGAGCAGCATGAGAGGGAGTGGGTGGAAGCTGAGCAGTGTGAAAGGGAGTGGGTGGAGGCCAAAAAGTGGGAGCAGGAGTGGTTGGAGGCCAAGAGGAAAGAGTAGGAGCAGTTGGAAGCTGAGTGCCAGGAATGGGAGACCCAGGCACAACAGAGGACAGGGGAGCCAAAAGGCAAGGAGTGGGAGAAGGCTGTCAGTGTTGTGAGCACCAGGTCATGCTGACAGTGTGAGAAGGGTCAGGTGCCATGCACCTTTGGTCATGCACAGCAGAGTAAGCACAAGAAGAGGACATGTGACTGGTGCACTGAAATGAAGGTCAGGTGTGAGTTGTCCAAGGGAGTGGAGCCCAAGATTGAAGAAGCTGGGGCAAAGGCTGTTATGCCCATGTCAGGGGTCTTTCCTTTTTTGACTTCTTGTGGTCACATGCATCATGTGCCTCATCACATCCCTAATAACTGTCATCATTTTGGGCATGTCTATGCTCAAGGGAACCTTCAGATCTCCAGCAGTCATGGTATTTCCAATAACCACTGATGCTGTGCACCTGTAGGTGATCTGGTGTTCCACCCCCATGTCTGATGGATGCTATATTTCATGTTTTGTCTCTGACTCATGTTTAATGTTCTGGTTGTTTACTTCTTGCTCCAGTGTCAGGCTTCTTGCTGTGCATTGATTGTGCATCTGGTATAGTCTTCATTTCCTATGCTACCCCCATCATATGACACTGTATGACTCTTTTCTATTTCATTGTTTACTGCTGTGGATACTTACTGCCTGGATGGCACAACTGGTATGGTACTCTTGTCCTGAGGTATTTATACAGCCATACCATACCTTGTATCCTCAGTTTTTCAATAGCTTGCAACTCAGTTAATTACTTTGTTTTCATCCTTGTTCCTTCACCACCACAATCTCAGAAGAACTCACCAGTGGAAGAAACCTTTGTTGGACTTTTGTGGAAACTGAGCCATAGGGGTTACAACAAGTTTGGCCCATAGACTCCCCCTCATGCCACTCATGACTAGTCCATTTGACAAAGTCACTTGGCTCAGGCATAACAAAATCAAAAAACTCCATGCAGCTTTTATTGGACTCATTGCTCCCTATGCATAAAGCAACTTGTCCTCAGTTTACTGAACTTCAACAAAAACCTACCTCTCTTTGTGGATCTTCTCAAGGCTCATTTGTCTCCCTACATGTAAAAACTAACTCACCTGTGTCTTCCACTGCATAATCAAGCATGGAACGACACCCCTCTTATTATAATCAAGTACATTGCTCTACAGGCAGCCACTAGGCTTTAATAGATTGCCTCCCTAGAGCTGGACTTGTGACTCCCTTTGTGAAAATCCACTTGTCCATCAAAACCAACTCTTGCTGACAGGTTTCTTTCAAGAAATAATTCCTCCCTCAGCCTTTGTTGTCACTATCTGTTAAAGTGTCTACCCCTTATAGGCAGAAACCCCTGGTTCCCCCCAGACTGCCCATTGGTAGAGGACTAGGACTTAATCCCCCCTTACCTCTGGCATGTCAGACAGGACCTTCAGTCACTGCCACCAATCCCTGGTTATCTTATCTTAGTTGGTTCCAAGAAACTGAAGTTGTGCTTAGTTCAGAAGAAGAAAACAATCAGAAGTGTAAGACTTCTTTTGGATCAGTCCTCAAGGAAGAATAGGAAGAAGCACAAGGAAGTATGTCCATGACACAAGGTCATGGAGAGTCTGTTCCAGAAATGCCCCCTCATCAATACTCTGAGATGGAGGTGTAACAGAGGATGGAGGAGCTACAGGTACAAATGGCAGAGGATTTCCACTGGTCAATTATTGCTAGTGACCCATTCCCTCAAGGCACACCTACTGACAAAGTATTGTGAGAATGGTATCAACAGAATTTTGGCAAGTGAGTCCCTACCCCAGAGCCCCCTGTTGGTGGGAGCAGTAAGGGAAGGTTTTGCCCCAATGATGATGATGATGACTATTATCACAGGCCTCCTAACAGAGGTCAGGAATTTAATGTTGGATGACCTGGAGAATTTGATGGAAGCCACAATGGGCTTCAGACTTGGCTCACCCAAGTGGAAGGCTACCTAGCCTTGAACTGGCATGTCTACAATACAGAATTGCTCAAGATCTCTTTCACTCTCACTTATATGACAAAGGGAGCAGCTGTGTTGTTCACCAAAAACTACCAAAACAAACACAAGCTGTCAGATGGGACCATATGCTATCTTGATGACTTCAAACACTTTGTTGAAAGAATCAAAGCCACCTTTGAGTCTGGCAATCAAACTGCACTGGCTATCCTCCACCTGTCAGATATCAAGCAGGAGAAAAGAGAATTAGAAGCATATATTGGGGAGTTTATGGGCCTGGTCAATAAGGCTCAACTCAAGGAGGGATCTTGTGAAGCTAGAATCCTCCTCAGGAAAGGACTCAATAAGGAATACCATGATTGGATCTTAAACTCTGGACAAGTACCAACTACAGTAGTCAAGTGGATCCAATGCATGGGAGAAGCTCACACAGCCCTTGCCATGAAGCACATCCTAGAAGGGAAAGAATTGTGATATGAGCGAAGGTTCATTTCCTACTGTGGCAATCACTGAGATCCTAATGCAATGGATGTGGACAAACACAAACAAAACATGTGTTGATCTGGTTCAGAAGTTAAATGTTACAATTGTCAAGATGTCAGTCACATCAAACATGACTGTAAGAAGAAGCAACTGTCCAATGTTCATATAGTGGTTGCAGAAGATGGTACCAAGACTGCCTACATAGGCAACCAGGAAGCTAATGATGAGGAAAAGAAGTTGCTGTGTTTTTAAGGAGGACTGCTGAATCACCTGCTACAGTCAGTTCTGTTTCTGTGTTTTCAGCTAAATGTGCTTCTATAGATGATGAATCAACTATGTGAATCCATTCCCTGCTTGGATTGGTCATTTTACCTGACTACAATGCAGGTACATGGGCATGCATTGACTCTGGTGCTGAGATTTCCCTAATCTCCAAAAGAATGGTCCAGAAGCTCAAAATCCCAATGTACTGGGTGGAGCAAAAATTCAAGACCATGTCCTTCACTGGGAAGGATGAAGAATGGGTCACTCACAAGGTAACCCTGAAGATGGAAATCAAGGAAAGGATGGTAAGGGTCAAGTGCTACATCAGTCCCCTTGTGGGAAAAGAACATGTTCTCCTCAGAATGCCCTTTCTCAAGGAATTCAAGCTGCATATGAACTGGGAAGCTTGAAGAATTATGTGTTGGGATGATGGGTATGTATATCTAGAAAAGGAGAAGGTTAATGTTCAACAGGTAGTGACCTCAAACATGGGGAGTAAGAAGGAATCTCCTGGTCTGCCCCCAAAAGTAGTAAAAAGGGCTCTGGTGCAACCTCTGGAGGTTATAATTAACAAAACTACTCTGTCTACAGAGTTAGAGGTGACAATTGCCTCTGGAAAGGAGGAAGTTAAACTTCCTGAATGATACAAGGAATTCACCAAGGTTTTTGCCAAAGATGACATTCCACTGCCAAAGCATCAACCTGGGTTGGATCATGAAATCTGGTTGAAGGATGACTTTAAACCCAAGAAAGCAGCAGTGTACCTGATGTCCCTGGATGAACTAAAGGTGTTGGATGAATTCCTGGACAAAAACCTCAAATGTAAAAAGATTCAACCTTTGACATCACTGCAAGCAGTTCCAGTGTTCTTTGCTGCAAAGAAGGATGGTAAAAAGCAGTTGATTGAAGACTACTACTACCTCAATTTGTTCACCATCCAGGATGCACACCCATTGCTGAATGCACAGGCCTTGTTCAATGAGCTAGTCGAATTGAAGTATTATGCTAAGTTTGACATTTGTTGGGGTTTTACTAACCTCTGTGTCAAAGAAGGAGATGAGTGGAAAGGGGCATTTATTATGCTCAGAGGATTGTTTGAACCAACAGTAATGTTCTTTGGTCAATGCAACTCACCTCCCTCTTTTCAAAGGTACATGGATAAAACTTTTGAATCTCAATGAGGAAAATAAGTAGGATATATGGATGACATTGTTGTCCAAGCCAAAACTGTGGAGGAACTCTGATGACATGTTTGGGAGTTCCTGAAGATCTGTGAAAGGGAAGAATTGCACCTCAAGATTAGCAAATGCTGTTTCAAGGCTGAAGAAGTAGAATTACTCAGAATGATCATCAGAAAAGGGCATATGGAAACTTTGCTGACCAAGACTGATGCCATTTCTACATGGGAAGACCCTGACAATCTTACTGGGCTTCATTGCTTCCTTGGATTCTGCAACTTCTACTGCAAGTTCATCCCTTCCTTTTCAAGTGTCACTAGACCCCTTCATGATCTGACTAAAAAAGGGGTTTCATATCAGTGGACTCCAGAGCAGGACACTGCTTTTGATAAGCTAAAAACTTTGTTATGCTCCTCTCTGGTCCTCAATCCCAGGTTTCTCAAAGCCCTTTGCACTCTTTACAGATGCTTCAAAACTTGGAACTGGTGCAGTACTCACCCACCCAGAAAGGAGCTGACAATGAGTGGCACCTGTGCTCTTACCTATCCCAGTCCCTGGTCAGGGCTGAGCAGCACTACCAAGTCTATGACCTCAAGATGCTCACAGTCATCCATGTGCTGAAAGCCTTCTGACCCTACCTCCTTTCCCCAGTTGAACCCACAGTGGTCTTTATGGACCACAAGAATCTAGAATATTACTGAGAGCCACAGCAGTTAACCTCACAGCAGGCCCAGTGGGCAGCAACCATTCAATCCTACCCTATTTGTTTTTCTTGGCAGGCTGGCTGCCTGCAGGTCCCTGCCAATACTTTGTCCTGAAAAGGGACACTAGAGGAGCCTGCCCCCATTGCCACAGTTCTCCTGGAGAACCTTTGGCTTTTGGAGGGGGTGGATCCCCAAATTCGACTTGTTTCACCCATCTTTTCACTTACAAAAATACAAAAACAACAGAAAATCAACCGTCTTATTCAAATTAGACATCTTCTGGCTCAATTGAATCACAGCAAAAATAACTTGAAGCCATATTCTTGCCTGTCTGAGGAAAAAATCAAAGGAGAATGGGTTGCCTGATGCTTGCCCTTTGAGGAA